CAAAACTTTATTCATCCCTGGGTATCTGGGAGATTGGTTCCAGCAGTCGTCAGAACCCATGGATGCTCAAGTCTCTCATATAAAATGTCGAAGAACAATGCACACAGTCAGCATACTGTTTTTGATCCTTGCTTGGCTGAATAAGCAGGTGTAAAACCCAGAGACACAGAGGGCCAACTATATACTTATTGGGGAAAAAACATGCATGTAAGTGGACCTGTGAAGTTCAAACCCATGTTTTTCAAGGGTCAACTATAACTGGTTGTCTTCAACAATGTCAAGGTCATGAAAAAAAAGAAGAGACTGAGGAACTGTCACAGATGGAAGGAGAAATGACAACTAATTGCATTGTGGCATCCTGGTCTGGATCCTGGAACAGAAAGAAGTGTGTTAGTGAAATTAACTGGAGAAATCTGAATAAATTCTGTAGTTTAGTTAACAGTATTATAAACGACTAATTTCTTTGTTTTGTTCACTATTCTGTGGTTATGTAAGATGTTAACAAAAGGAGAAGCTGGGTAATAGGCATACAGGAACTCAAGTTTCTTGCATGTCTCTTGTAAATCTAAAGTCATCTAAAAACGTTTTAAAAAGTCACAATCTTTAGGTCTTTAATCATGAGGTTTTAAAATGATGGGTTTGGTTCAAGTATGGTAAATTGGAAAAAGTACTAGACTAGCAATTCCTTCCATTCTTGCCAATGGTGTTGAACCTTGAGAGAACCACACAACTTCCCTGAACCTATTTCCCTGCCAAAATGGTCTGATGCACAACTTATCTACCTCAAAGGTTACTTCAGGGTTCAATGACACAGTTGGTCCAAGTTGTACAGAAATGATATGCTTGTGCAAAATGCAAGTGTTACCACTGTATCTTTAGGCCTAAAAGAAAACAGTATTGAGACATTTTCTAGGAACGAAAAGATAAAAATATTAAATACTGAGCAAGGTGATGGTGGAAGCAAAGACTAAGACAAATTATGTTCTTCCGCAAAAGAGGGAACTTTTTTTTTAAAGGTGGGGACTCTGTAATGGTACAGAGTGGAGCAACGGATTAGAAATTGGTTCCTTATATCGATTGTGGGTGATGACAGCTATACCTGGGAAAATGGGAGAGATCTCATTTGCACCAGATCTTTTGCAGACCAGAACAAGAACAACCAATGGGGAGAGGGGAAAAGAACTGGTATCTTCCCTCATTGCTATCTAAACTTTAGCACAGCCAAAGCAGGCATACCACATCAAAGAGGGAAAGCATGAGGGTGCCTGGCACCACTGGGGACTTGGATGCAGACTTAGTATGTAACACGGCTAGAAACAAGGGAAGGAATCACATTTCCCAAAGATCCCACTACTAAAAGCTAACAGGTACTTCATCTTTGAAGAAATTTTTTGATCTGTAGGTTTATGATTCTAGAATGATGGGATAGCAGCTGCCTAGCCATCGTCCTGTATCCACAAAACTAAGCACAAATAACTAATTAAATGTTCAATCTTTTTTTGACTTAAAATCATGCTTTCTTAAACTTAAGCATTCCCCTATCTTCTCTATATTGAGAAAAAGTGATACTCCCATAAATTCTAATGACAGAACAGAAGTCAGCAAACTATCTCTTAAAGAGGTGAAAGTAAGTATTTTAGACTCTGGGAATCAGGTTTTGTTAGCAGCTACTCAACTCTGTCTTTGCAGGGAAAAGCAGCTATTGACAATCTGTAGATGAATGGATGTGGCTATGGTCCAATAAACTTTATTTACAAAAACAGACAGTGGTAGGGACTTGGCCCAAAGTTAGCTGTTTGTCTCCCCCTTGAAAGAATGCTAGGTAGAAACTTGCTAATTGAATCCCAGACATTTTCCTCAATGGATTGTGTGAATGTGTATATATATTCTGCATATTTCTTGCTATTTCATAATTCACAAATATTAGTTGAGGTGAGATGGAACCCAACAAAACAGGCATGATTTTCTTCATCATAGGAGAATGCTTTTGAGTACAGTAAGTTTTTATTTAACATCATCAGTAGGTTCTGCAACATTAAACAAAACAACATAAAACGAAACAAATTTGCCCTAACTGGTTTGGCTCAGTGGATGGAGCATCAGCCTGTGGACTCGGGTCTCAGGTTCGATTCCGGTCAAGGGCATGTACCTTGGTTGCGGGCACATCCCCAGAAGGGGTGTGCAGAAGGCAGCTGATCAATGTTTCTCTCTCATCGATGTTTCTGGCTCTCTATCCCTCTCCCTTCCTCTGTAAAAAAAACAAAAAAACAAAAAATCAATGAAATATATTAAAAAAAAACACGAAACAAATTTTACCACAGCCAACCATATACTCAAAAGTCGAGTTCCTATGTTAGTCCCTATGCCATCGAACAAAATGATGTTATCTGAGGCCCTGCTGGACTGAGCTCATCTTTTAGTTCAGGGGTGGGGAACCTTGTTTCTGCCAAGGGCCATTTGAATATTTACAGCATCATTCGTGAGCCATACAAAATTATCAACTTAAAAATTAGCCTACTATATTTGGCCAACTCACTTCTAATGCCTTGGCAGGGTCAGATCAAATGATTTCACAGGCCTTATATGGCCTGTGGGCCAGATGTTCCCCATTCCTGCTTTAGGTACTTACAAATTTGTTTTTCTTTTTTGGTGAAACCTGTTGTCAACTTTAATTACAAAAATGGAGATTTTTTTTTTTTACTAGGAGGTAGTTAATATCATTTCTTTAGAAGCCTAGTTTTTTTGAAGGGATAGATTTTATTGTTAAACATGGAGTCAGAATATGCTATAAATGCGTTAGGTTCCTTGAACACAGAAGATAATATACCAATTAAGTTCAAATAATTTCCCGTACAAAATTATTGTGCAAGCAGAACAAGTAATACCTTCTAATTTTCCTATAGCCATTAATAACCAAAAATAGTCTTGCTGACATAGTGAACTCAAACTCCACCAATTTAAAAGGGTCTCAACTAATTCTCCATTCATCTAAAATAAGGGCAGCACTCCTGACTGTTTTTATACATAGTAACCTGAGAGGATAAGAAAAGCCAAAAAAAAAAAAAAAAAAAAAAAAGAGAGAGAGAGATCCAAGTGTACTGTGATCTAAGTATCACTATGAAATTTGGGGAATTCAATGATTTTAAAAACCTCAAGGTCATGAAAAATAAGAGCAAAATTTAAGAACACTTCCTATATAATAAAAGCCTAATATGCAAATTGTCCCCTCAGGTGGTGGTTCAACCAAGAGACTGGGAGTTCAACCGCTCGCTATTATGTGTGCTGACCACCAGGGGGAGGCGCGGAACATGGCAGGCGTCAGTGTCGAGCTGTGACCTCTCGCCAGCTACCTGGGGGCGGGGGTGATGGGGATAGAGGTGCGGTGAAAATGCGAGATGTCTGCCTGAGCTTGCTCTCACTCCCCCTGCTATCCTCCCCCAGGCTGCCAGGGCTCGCATGCCACCCCCCACTGCACTCAGGTGCTGAGCGCCCGTGAAGAGCCCGCCCCACACTCGTGCCACATCTTCCGGGTGAGCTGGGCCGCAGCTGCCAGGACCGCAGGAGCCGGTTCACGCAGGAGCTGGTCTGCGAGGCTGAGGGAACATGCTGCCCGCCTAGCTTCCATGTGGCGCCACTGGGCAGCCCAGAGGCCCATGCTGCACCCTGGCCCGTGGCGTCTGGCTGTGCTCACCGCATCTCCGTGTGGGGACTTGGGTACTGTGACTCAGGCGGAGGGGAGCGCATGGGAGCCCAGGTGCTGCCCATGGCCCAGAGGTCAGCTGGGACTTGCCCTTCCATGCCAGACGCTCACACTTTGATCGTCGGCCAGGCCTAGGGACCATACCCGTGCAGGAATTTTGTGCACTGGGCCTCTAGTATGATTACAAACTATGTTCCTATATGTACATTTCTATGCTAAAGTTTCATTTATAAATTAGGCAGATTAAGAGATTAACAACAATAAAATAGAATAATTATATTAATACTCTCCAGTAATTCTTCTATTTTTCAGTCCAAACCTATTCCTGAATCTACTTGATGCCACTCATTTCAGGGGGCCCCTTGCTTAAGTCTTCCTATGGGCTCAATTCTTGCTGGTGCAACACAAAGCAGGATGGCACCAGATTTTATCATGCTACAAAACAGCGCACAATTTAAAATGTATGTTTCTATCTGGAATGTTCCATTTAATATTTTTGGATCATAGGTAACTGAAATCATGGAACACAAAACTGTGGATAAGGGGATACTACTGTATATAGATTAATGACCCAAGAAAATCGCATGGCTAAATCACTCATGCTAAGAAGCTCTTACAAGTAAATTCCCCCAAGTGAAGAATCTATTCCCAGGCTTCTCTTATTTCTTAAACACATGCAGTTTCACATATTTTGAAAAGAAATAGAATTACAAAGGCATATGGAAAAGTACTCAGTTCTATATCAAAACTACATAGGTCAAGAAATGGCTAGGCAACAGTGAGAGATTCAAAGTGTCAATCACTTATGTTTATGGATTTATTTTTTAAAAAAACCTCATTTTTCACAATGGTTTGCTCTCAACACTAAAGGTGCAAAATTCTTACATTATATTTTCATCTATTACAATGTAGTTAGAGATAAGAAAAAGCTGGATTAAAAATATGATCTCATCAAAATGTAATGACCATGAGCACATTTCTATCTAATAGAAAATGTTAGATCACTGCATGACAAACTACATAATAATTATACAACAGCATGCCAATTAACATGTTAGTAAACAAGTGCTAAATTTTTACTTTTCCTAAGATGATAGTTCTTAAATATTTTCAATTAACTTTTAAAGAGAAAAGGTAACCATACATATTAAGGACATTATAAATAAGTCTCTTAACTTCCCATGCATTTACTAACAGTCTACAGAGCTCAACAGCCTCTATAATATGCAGGCAATATAAATAGAAAAAATAAAAAAGGAGGCTTCCTGTCCCACTTCTAATAAATTGCAGAGGCATAATATTTTCTCAAGTTCATTTTATTAACAAAAAGAGCAAACTGTTTTGAACAAAAGCAAACCATGAATCATAGCAACTGGCAACACATTAGACATGGAAAAGTGAATATTAAGTAAAATATAAGCAGATGAGACGCCTCTCACATGTATATATATTCATGCTTTTTCAATAGTCTCAGTCAACTTTCAGTGTAATTTTCACCAACAGTCTAGCAGCTCAAACACAAATGCAGGAGCACAATGGCAAAAGTTTGGCAACTACTTTGGGCTCATTGCAAGTATGAAAGAAACCTATACCACAGTTTCATGCAAACCTGCAATTTGTATTTCTTTAAATGTCCCTGACATTGAAATCAATCAATGTCCAACTAATGAAAAAAAGGAGAACAAGAGGACATTAAATACTTGTACTTTAGAGGCAAAAAAAAAAATGAGATACTTTAAATGATCTTATACGCATTCATGTAACCAGGAATATAACCAATCCACATTAACTTATTTACTAGTAAAAATACACTTGTAAAAGTCACACAATAGAAAGATTATGAGCCATTGATCAGTGTGCCTGCACTTGAATAAACACACGAAAAGATAAATAAGTTAACTTTAGTTAGTGTAGTGTTACTTCAGTCATTCACATAATAAAGTATCTACGGGACAGAATCTACACATAAGTAATTTTTCTGTTCACTAATCTACAGGCACTAATGAAACTATACACTGGTTAAGACCCAAAAGCCAGGCACTTAAACACAACTGAGCACCTAGCCAAAAACAGGACAGGACCAGGAGCCAACATCACTGAGCACATGCACGTCTCTGGGGACATTTTTCGGTAGTTACTTGCTCTTCTGTTGTAGTCGACAAACTGCTCTTTAAGAATATACTACTTTACTAAATTAATTAAGGACTACATATTTATTTACTACATCACACAGAATTCTTCCCACACTTTTTTTCCTGTGTACTAAAGTCTTCTAGTAGAATTGTGCTACTTTCTAAAGTTTCATAATTATCATTTCAGGTAGATATGATGAAAAAAAATTAGACAAAATCTGATAGATGACAATTTGAGCACCAACTTCAGCAAATTTCAGGGTCAAGATAGCTTGCAAGTCAGTTCTCTTGGTTTGAAAATTACCTTCCACTGTTGTCTTCAGTACTGAAGCTGAGATCTTCAAGGCCTATTTGTTCACCATCAGGAAAACTAGAATGTGTATCTAAGATAAAAAAGAAAAGAAAAACATTACATTTTCTAATGACCAGTATTTTTTTGCATGTCTTTAAATGATCTTACCAAGTATGGTATTTAAGCAATAAAGACTTGCTGGGTTGTGAACAAAGCTGTCTTTAGGGAATTTGTGACCTGAGTCAGGTGCAAGCAAACACAAGGGGAAATAAAGGAGAAAAGAAAGGTGCAATAGATATCCATAGTTAGAAAATGAAAGGCATTGCCTCACTTTGTCCTCCAGGGACACTGTGGGGGCAGCTGAAGAAGGAACATGAAGTGGTGATGTACACTCTGAAGACTGTATAAACATAAAACGTATTGTAAAGCCAATTAAATTGCACATACAAATATCACGACAAACACCTACCAGCATTCAAAAACTTGCCAAAAGTTGGCTGCTTCTTTTGGAAGGAGAAAAAACTACTAAAAGTGTTTTAATACTTAAAAATCATCAAATGCATGGCTCTCTATTAGACACTAGATAGGACATGAGGGAAATATGTAAACTATAAAGCTGACAATTAGCACAAGCCTGGCAACATTCGCATCCCAGGAATTCTTCTGAATGCTCAGATTGACCATTAAGGTCTCTGGATAAAATTAACAGTGGGTGATAGATGTTAACTAAACTTACTGTGGCAATCATTTTGCAATACATACATGTGTATATACACAAAACATTATGTTTAATACCTCAAACAAACCAAAAATATTAACAATGTGTTTCTCTCAGTGAGTTTTTTTCCTAAGACATTTTTGGGGGGAAGAGGGAATAATAACTTATGATTCCATTATCTGCATATATGTCTAGAAAAATCAGAAAAAGTTCTAGGCTATAAATATTTCTAAAAAGAAAAAAGTCAAACATCTGAAACCTCCCTAGGGGCTGGCAAACATCTACTACAAATGGGCAGAGAGTAAATACTAGTACGTAGGTACCACAGGCCACAAATGGACTCTGTTTTATAACTTTACAACAGAAAAGCTATTTTTAAAAAAAATTTTTTTTAATATATTTTATTGATTTTTTACAGAGAGGAAGGGAGAGAGATAGAGAGTTAGAAACATCGATGAGAGAGAAACATCAATCAGCTGCCTCCTGCACATCTCCTACTGGGGATGTGCCCGCAACCCAGGTACATGCCCTTGACCGGAATCGAACCCGGGACCCTTCAGTCCGCAGGCCGACGCTCTATCCACTGAGCCAAACCGGTTTCGGCAGAAAAGCTATTCTTAAAGGACCACAGGCTACACTGGAGCAGGTTCCCGACCTCTGCTTCACTCAGTAAGTAGCACCCATTAGGTGTCTGACCAGCCAAATATTACTTACTAATTTTCTTCAGTTCTCACCATTTAGTTTACCCCATATATATTAGTATTGTCTCATAAATGACAATAATTAAAACAGAAAGAGAAGCAGAAGTAGAACAGAAGCAAATCAGCAGCAGCAGCAGCAGCAGCAGCAGAATTGGCTTTATTCATCTCTGTGAAGTGACACCAGGCTCTGCACCTTCATCTGGGGGCTGTGCTGTGAAAGAGTCGTTGAATCCGCCCAGGCTGGTGTGCTCTTCCTGCTCCTCGTTCTCGGTGTCACATTCCACATCACTGTCGCTACTCATTCCTGCCAGGAAAGAAGGGAAGAACATGTCTCTGACAAGCAGCCACTTCATGTGAAAGGCAGAGGAAATCTTACAACTAAACTGTGATTCCCACTGAATTTTACATTGAATGCCAAGACAATATAAGACACAATGCCAAGACACAAAACAAGGAAAACCAACCACACAAACCTCAGTTCTAATTATTAGAGCAGTGGTCTTATTTTTGTCCTCAAAGACTAAAATTAACCTTTCCACAGTACCTGAATTTGAAACCAGTATTAATTTCATTATACTGAGAATTTTTTTTTCTGAAGTCACACTGTATTTTCTAGAATCATAAGCGATAATAGTAACTCTCAATCCCGACTGGACATACATATAATTGTTTCTAGCCTAAAACATATAAACATGTTATGTAAACAAAATACACATTTATCTGTATATGCATGTTTTAAAAAATTCCAGTAATTCTAGCAATAAATGAGTTACTATCCCATTGGGCCTCCAATTTTGTATTTGTGTACTTAAGCTGATTTTTAAGAGAAAAAATCTATAGAAAGTATTTCTATTACAAGAAGATAATGATCAAGAAAATCTGAAAATATATCTGCTACACACCCTTATAAATGGTGGAAAAAAAGTAACCTTAAAATATTATTTTAACTAAGAGCCACATTTAAAAGAAAGAAGTGAAAAAGCCACAGCTGCCAAAAGGAGCAGGAGAAGGGAGACCAGTGGGTCCAGCACCACAGTTGTCCAGAGGGTGTAACTTGAAGGTCTTTCACACTCCCTTGGAGATTGGGGAAAAAAAAATCTTTGGACCTACCACAGAAGGGAGTCGATACTGAGACCAAAACTCTGCCGACTGGCATAGAAAGACAGCAGGGAATTTTGTCTGTTTTTGCTAGGCTCAGTTCATATAAGAATTCAAACTAAAGCCTGTGTACTTAAACAACTTAGGTTTGGGATTTAAAGTTAAGGTTCAAAGATAAGGAAATTAACATAAAAATTGGCTAGCAGCTAGGGTTATTTGAACAAAGCAAATGCAAAATCCTTTGAAGGGAAGGCTCTGGGTAAAGGGAGTAAGCACATCCCATCCAGTCTTTCCCACTGAATGGAACTATAAATGTGGACAGAATGCATGAAGCCGCTATTTAAGGACTCTGAAAAGTAAATAGAAACAAGCATATTGGTGTAGACCAGAATTTGAAGTACCACCAAATTGGTAGATTTAAACAAGACTCCGAGTCTCATAAAATCATATTAAAAATGCCCAGGATACAATCCAAAATTACCTCAGCAAATGAAGAACCAGAAAAAGATAATCAACAAACATCAATGCTGAGATGACAGAGATGTTGAAATTATCTAACAAAGAACTTCAAAGTAGATATAAAAATGCTCATGAACACTCTTGAAACTTGTTAAAAACCTCTCTGGAGGAATGCTTCCACAATCCAGGTACAAAATTATCACAGAAAAAAGAAAATAAAGAATTCTTGAAGGGTAGGGTTGGGAGTCTCAAAAAGTTGTGTTCCAATCAAAATTTACAAAACAAACAAACAATGTGGATTACAACATTACAATCCTGAAGAGTCAAGCAGATATACAGACAGAACAATACCATGAATCTTTCACTATCATGAAATAACTTGTAAAAGACTAATGTGGAAAACAAAAGGATACTTTTTAAATTACTAAGTACTTCTAGAAATGAAAGATATAGTCATTTTAAAATTAAAATATTAATAGATGAATTTAGAAAGTTGAAAAACAGGTTGCAAGCTTAAAGACAGAACTGAGGAAATTACCCATACACCGAAGAAAAATGAGATGAAAATTATAAAACAGAGGTTTAAGAAACAAGGGATAAAAGGGAATGTTTCAAACATACTGCCACAGAGATAGGGCGGGGGTCCCCTCAGGTCAGCCTGCACCCTTTCCAATCCGGGACCCCTTGGTCATACATCCCTTCTCACAATCCTGGACCACTGGCTCCTAATCGCTCACCTGCCTGCCTGCCTGGTCCTCCCTAACTGGCCCCCCCCCCCCCCCCCCCCGCCAGCCTGGTCGCCCCTAAGTGCCTCCCTCTGCTGGCCTGGTCGCTCCCAACTGCTCCCCCTGCTGGCCTGGTCAGCCTCAACTGCCCCTCCCCATCCTTGCCAGCCTGGTCGCCCTTCACGGCCACCACGCCACCCTGGTTGTCCCACGCAGCCTGCTGTTCAGTCGTCCCTCACTAACCTCCCTGCCAGCCTGGTCGCCCCACGCAGCCTGCTTGTCCAGTCGTTTGGTCATCCCTCACTAACCCCCCTGCCGACCTGGTCATTCATAGGCAGCCACCTTGTGAGGACGTGAGGGTTAATTTGCATATTACCTCTTTATTATACAGGATAGGCTATTAACTGGATTCTTTGAAACTGACCCAGTTGTTTCAATTGCTCTCCTTGCCTCCCTCCCACCACCCACACACATAGGGGTGAGGAAAAGTAGACTTACAGTTGTGGGTATGCAAAACATGGAATTTTCTTGTATTATTATTAACTAGAGGCCCGGTGCACAAAAATTTGTGCACTGGGGGGGGGTCCCCTCAGCCCGGCCCGTGCCCTCTCGCAGTTTGGGACCCCCTCGGGGGATGACCACCTGCTGGCTTAGCCCCGCTCACCGGGGGATTGGGCCTAAGCTGGAAATCAGACATACCTCTGGCAGCCCGGGAGCCCTCGGGGGATGTCCACTTGCCAGCAGGAGCAGGCCTAAGCTGCAGTCAGACATCCTTAGCACTGCTGAGGAGGCAGGAGAGGCTCCCACCACCACCGCTGTACTGGCAGCCGTCAGCCTGGTTTGTGGCTGAGCAGAACTCCCCATGGGAGCGCACTGACCACCAGCGGGCAGCTCCTGCATTGAGTCTGCCCCCTGGTGGTCAGTGTGTGTCATAGTGACCAGTCATTCCCAATTGTTCTGCTGTTAGGCTCAGTTTGTATATTACCCTTTTATTATATAGGATAGAGACCTGGTGCATGGGTGGGGGCTGGCTGGTTTGCCGTGAAGGGTGTCCTGGATCAGGGTGGGGGTCCCACTGGGGTGCCTGGCCAGCCTGGGTAAGGAGCTGATGGGTGTTTGCAGGCTGGTGGTCACACCCCCTTCAGGGTGGGAGTCCCCACTGGGGTGCCTGGTCAGCCTGGGTGAGGGGCTGATGGCTGTCTGCAGGCTGGTCAAGCCCCCCCTCCCAATGGGGACCCTCACTCAATGGAGGTTTGGCCAGCCTGGGTGAGGGACTGATGGCTGTTTGCAGGCTGGCCACACCTCCTTTAGGGTGGGGGGTCCCCACTGGGGTGCCTGGCCAGCCTAGGTGAGGGGCTGATGGCTGTTTTCAGGCTGGCCAATCCCCCTGGTGACGGAAGCTTCCAGCCTCTCCTTTTTTTCTTTTTCTTTTTTATTCTGGGATTTATTTACTTTCTATAATTGAAACTTTGTAGCCTTGAGAGGAGCTCAGAGCCGGCCAGGGCGGGAGGGAGGGAAGCTTGGTTTCCTCCATTGCCAGGGGCAACCAAGCTGCCTGCTCGCTCCAGCTCCGTGGCTACCGGCTGCCATCTTGGTTGGGTTAATTTGCATATAGTCACTCTGACTGGCTGGTGGGCGTGGTTTAAGGCATAGTGAAGGTACAGTCAATTTGCATGTTTGTCTTTTATTAGTGTAGATTCTTGTATTCCTTATTTTTCCTTTTTGAACAACTATAAACCTATGTTTGCCAACCCCTGTATATCCAGTATACTGGAGAGCTATCACCTGCTCCCATTTGTAATCAGGAACCACTCTGGCAAGTAATTTAAAAATATATATTTTTTTAATTGATTTCAAAATGGAAGGGAGAGGGAGAGATAGAAACATGATGAGAGAGAATCACTGATAGACTGTCTCCTGTATACCTCACACTGGGGATTGCGCCTGCAACCTGGGCATGTGCCCTGACTGGGAATCAAACCATGACCTCCTAGTTTATAGGTCGACGCTCAACCACTGAGCCATGCTGGTGAGGCAGGCAAGTAATTCTTAAGGAGTGGTCATCCCTGGTTGAGTCATTCAACTGAACCAGTGGCTCTCAACTGGGGATGACTGCCTCCATGGAGACATCTGGCAATGTCTGAACATTTTTGGTTACTGCAACTCGGAGGAGGTAGTACTGAAACCTAGTGGGTAAAAACAGGATGCAGCTAAACATTCTACAATGCACAAGGCAGCCTCCTACAACAAAGATCAACTGGTCCAAAATGTCAATAGTGCCAAAGTAGAGAAACCCTGAACTAGTAGGTTCAGAAATTATCAGCAACATATGCAATGCCAGGCAAATTAGAAGTATTTGTCATAAATGCTGCATTAATAAAAGGAATTCCAGTACATGCTGTAGTAATTTAAGACACTATAGTTTATAATCATATATATAAATATAGGCAAATAAACAACTACAGGTCCTTTAAATAAAGAACAATCATAATATTTCTTTCTTAATGTTTTAACAATCAACACTTCACTTTTAAAATCCTTTCCATTTTTTTTTTTAAATATATTTTATTGATTTTTTACAGAGAGGAAGGGAGAGGGATAGAGAGTTAGAAACATCGATGAGAGAGAAACATCGATCAGCTGCCTCCTGCACACTCCCCACTGGAGAGGTGCCCGCAACCAAGGTACATGCCCTTGACTGGAATCGAACCTGGGACCTTTCAGTCCGCAGGCCGATGCTCTATCCACTGAGCCAAACCGGTTACGGCATCCATTTAATTTCTTCTACTGAAATAATGCTGCTCACACCATAGGAATACCTACTAAGAAGGAAGACCAAAATGTTGAATGTTCTTTCACTGAAAACCTTGAAAATGCCACCACCCACATGCCCTCTCACAGGGTAGCCAGTGTGCTGGCACCTGTATGCATGCTTTTAGCTACAACTCATCAATCACTGAAATTAAAATAAGTGCAGAGGTGGAAGGTGGCAGTTTTACTGAGATTTTTAAAATTTTCAATATCAAATATTAATGAAGTTGACTCGTAGTTCTGTTAACATAAAAAGAACACAGCAAGGGCAATACACATAAGCCCTGTTTCAAACACCTTCCATATTACAAAATGTCGTCTATACTTTTACATAAAGAATGAGGAACCTGAAAGAACATGTAGAATACTAGAAATGTAACTGAAAATGAATTTGCAGGTTTTTTTTTAAAAAAATGGTTAAAGTATGGAATACTTCTACAAGAGCAAAGCAGTACAAACGTTAATCAAGACTCACTTTAAAAGATGAAGGATTGGGGGGAAACCAAGATGGCGGCATAGGTAAACACCTGAAATTGCTGCCTCGCACAACCACCTCAAAAATACAACTAAAAGACAAAACGGACATCATCCAGAACCACAGGAAGGCTGGCTAAGTGGAAATTCTACAACTAGAAGGAAAGAGAAAAGCACCCTGAGACTCAGAGGAAAGTAAAGTGCAGAGGTACGGAGGCGCACGCGGAAAGGGCTGGCAACTGAAGACGCAGTTGTCTTTTTCAATTGGGAGGGAGTCACATGCTCCTGCTCTGAACTCCAGTTCCAGGTGAGTCTCCAGGGACCCAGACTCATATGGGGAGAAACTGGACTGTCTGGCAGCGGGTGGAACGCGAGGGCAGCTTTCTCCCAGAGGTGCTTGCAGCGATTTCCGAGGGACACTGAGACCCGGGGCCTCTTAGGGCAGGACTGAGGATCAGCCATAGCTGTTTGCTCCGCCCTGTTGATTCCCTGAGACCCCGCCCACCCAAGCTGTGTGCAGAGGCTTTTGCATATGAATGACCTGGCCCTTTGCAATCTAAAATTACCTAACAAACTGCAGCTGGGTCAGAGAGACCCAGAACATCCAAAAGAAGGCCCAAGGCCCCACAGTAGCTTGCACTGCTTCACAGATGGGCCTCATCTGGGCACCTCCAAACCCCAAACAAGGAAGAGGAATCTACAGATCTTTCCGTAGCTCCTGCTGGGTAGCTTCAGGCAGAGGCTAAATTAGCACCCCTTAGAGATCCAAGTGCCAGTGTATCCAGTGGTCAGAGTGGGACCATCCAGATTACAACTCCTCAGATCCATAAGGGACACACTCAGGGGGCAGACTCTGAGCACCAAAGCCCCACTGAAGCAAGTCTTGCCCCATAAGGGTGTCTCCAGCACAGAAGTTCTCCCACTGCAGACACAACTGATTCTCACAGCCAATTGGCCTGGAGGTCAATTCCTCCCAGTGATACCAACTACAATCAAGGCTTAACTACAAGACTGTGCACACAGCCCACAGAGGGGTGCACCAAGAGTGTCCACCTCAGGTGATTGGGGAGGCTGAGCCACTGGGCCCTATAGGACACCTAGCACAGAAAGCCACCTTATCAACACAATGAAGCAGCCAAAATGCGGAGACAAAGAAACAGGTCACAAATGACAGAAATGGAGGAAAGCAAACTACTGGATATAGAGTTCAAAACCAAACTTATGAGGTTTTTCAAGAATTTTCTAGAAACCGCCGATAAATTTAGTGAGACCCTCAAGAAATCTAGTGAGATCCTCGAGGATATGAAAAAGGACCAACTAGAAATTAAGCATACACTGACTGAAATAAAGAATATTATACAGAGATCCAACAGCAGACTAGAGGATCACAAGAATCAAGTCAAAGATTCGAAATACGAAGAAGCAAAAAAAAAAAAACCCAACCGGAAAAGCAAAAAGAAAAAAGAATCCAAAAATATGAAGATAGTGTAAGGAGCCTCTGGGACAACTTTAAGTGAACCAACATCCGAATTATAGGGGTGCCAGAAGAAGAGAGAGGGCAAGATATTGAAAACCTATTTGAAGAAATAATGACAGAAAACTTCCCCTACCTGGTGAAAGAAATAGACTTACAAGTCCAGGAAGCACAGAGAACCCCAAACAAAAGGAATCCAAAGAGGCCCACACCAAGACACATCATAATTAAAATGCCAAGAGCAGAAGACAAAGAGAGAAACTTAAAAGCAGCAAGAGAAAGAAACTCAGTTACCTACAAGGGAATACCCATACGACTGTCAGCTGATTTCTCAACAGAAACTATGCAGGCCAGAAGAGAGTGGCAAGAAATATTCAAAGTGATGAATACCAAGAACCTACAACCAAGATTACTTTACCCAGCAAAGCTATCATTCAGAACTGAAGGTCAGATAAAGAGATTCACCGATAAGAAAAAACTAAAGGAGTTCATCACCACCAAACCAGTATTATATGAAATGCTGAAAGGTATTCTTTAAGAAGAGTAAGAAGAAAAAGGTAAAGATAAAAATTATGAACAACAAATACATATCTATCAACAAGTGAATCTAAAAATCAAGGTAATAAATAATCTGATGAACAGAATAAACTGGTGAATATAATAGAATCAGGGGCATACAAAGGGAGTGGACTGACAATTCTCGGGGGGAAATGGGTGTGGAGGGTGCAGGAAGAGACTGGACAAAAATCGTACACCTATGGATGAGGACAGTGGGGGGGGTGGCGGTAAGGGCAGAGGGTGGGGTGGGAATCAGGTGGAGGGGAGCTATGGGGAAAAAAAAGAGGAACAACTGCAATAATCTGAACAATAAAGATTTAATTAAAAAAAAAAGATGAAGGATTAACACTTAATATTCTAATTACTGTTTTGCATGTCTCCCCCATAAGACTGAATATATTTAATTTCATCTTTGCATTATCTAACAAAAACTCAATGACTGTCATGTAGGTAGCTTAATATATTAACTAAGCAGATAAACTATCCATAAATTTTCCCCTCCTGTAAATGTCTAGTAAGACATGTCCTTTAATGTAATCAAGTATCCATTTTGTCTTCCCCTTTGCTTAATGACCTAGTAAATAAAATTCAGTGGCACAATAGATGTTGTGTTTAGATTAAGGACATCAGATATTGCCTCAATAGCTTTTTTTTTAAAATATACTTTTATTGATTTCAGAGAGAGAGGGAGAGATAGATAGAAACATCAATGATGAGAGGGAATCATTGATTGGCTGCCTCCTGCATACCCCCCGCCCACCACTGGGATCAAGCCCGCAACTCAGGCATTTGCCCTTGAACGGAATCGAACCTGGGACCCTTCAGTCTACAGACCGACACTCTATCCACTGAGCCAAACCACTCTATCCACTGAGCCAAACCGGCTAGGGCGCCTCAATAACTTTTTAATTAACCAGTTAACTGCCACACATCCAAAATGGAGACCATCCCCATATGCCACGATATTTTGAATTTAATTGCGTCTATACTTGCCTATGGCATACAAAGGGTTAAACCAACCAATCACCACCACCAGCACCACCACCAAAAAAGGTCATTATTCCCACCTCCTGCCTAATTATGACTTGTCATTCCTTACCTTCCTCAGGGGCAGCTGAAGCTCCTTCAGGCAGTATAGCCTGTAATTCCCCAGTTTCAGAATTATTTTCCAAGTCAGTCATTTGCATTCCTTCCAGACGACCTCCTTTAACATTAGTCCTCAAAAAAGAAAACAGCTTGATATTTTTCTATAAGTACTCACTAACAATTGTATATTTTCTTCTCCTGAAACTGAGGATATATGCCACTCATGTCTAATAGTAAATTTCAAGTTTGTTTATTTTTCAAAATATATTTTTATTGATTTCAGAGAGGAAGGGAGAGGGAGAGATAGAAACATCAACGATGAGAGAATATCATTGATCGGCTGTCTGCTGCACGCCCCACACTGGGGATCAAGCCTGCAACCTGGGCATGTACCCTGACTGAGAATCGAACCATGACCTCCTGCTTCATAGGTCGAAACTCAACCACATCGGCCGGGCTCAAGTTTATCTTTAAAAATTCACTAGAGGGCCGAAGCCAGTTTGGCTCAGTGGATGGAGCGTCAGCCTGCGGACTTAAGGGTCCCGGGTTCGATTCCGGTCAAGGGCATGTACCTGGGTTGCAGGCACATACCCAGTGGGGGATGTGCAGGAGGCAGCTGATCGATGTTTCTCTCTCATCAATGTTTCTGGCTCTCTATTTCTCTCCCTTCCTCTCTGTAAAAAATCAATAAAATATATTAAAAAAAAATTCACTAGAGGACTCACTACAAAGGTTATAAAATGGACTACATCGGTGTCAACATCATGGCTGTGATATTGTATTAGTTTTACAAAGTGTTATCATTAGGAGAAACTGGTTAAGGAATACAGGATTCTATGTATTATTTCTTTTAACTGCATGGAATCTACAAGAAAAATTTCAATTAAAAAACAGAAGTCCAAAATAATATTTTCTCAGCAATATGGAAAAACTTTTTAGATATATTATTAAGAAAACAAATGCATCTTTTGTATTAAAAAAGCTATATACTCACAGTTGCTTAAATATGCATAAAAACTGAGAAGACACATACATCCTATATAATAAAAGGCTAATATGCAAATTATCCCCTTGACCAGGAGTTAAACCAAGGGGCGGGGCTGGACTGCCAAACACTCATGGCCGCTCCCCCCAGTCAGCCTGGCCAGATTGGCCCCAATCGCGGCGGGCCAGCTGGACCCCACCCGTGCACGAGTACGTGCACCAGGCCTCTAGTCATATACAAAAAATTAACAGCAGGAATGTACGTGGACAGGGGATGGGAAAACTAAGCAGATGGAAGACAAAAATGGGAAAATTTTCACTTAATAGTCTTTCTTTTGTTGACTTTTCTGAACCACTATTATTTAAAATTTTTGCTTACACTACTTTAAATCAGGAAATGAAAAGAAGACCCAAGCTGATGATACAATTAACTGTAAAATGAGGGTTAAGAGCTCCAGTCACTTATAAAGAATTTTACAGTCTAGAAAAAAGTCTACGTTTATATACATATAATGTTTATGGCTAAAGGCAGACAAATATCTCCATCATAAAATGTAAAAGCTAGTTGTAGCTTCAAAGTGAAAGGAACATGTATAAAATCAGGCTAACTAATGGAGAGGACAAGTTAATCACCAATGATTACAACACCTTTCCATTGCTTCAACTTGAGCCAAAACAGAAAATTAAACTACCAGCTATCCTTTTAGTTTTGGTAATTGTCCAGATCTTAAAACTGTATGAAGTTAATACATAAGAGATGTAAATATTTCTCTAAATTTAATTCAAAGTCTCCAAAGTAGAACCATTCCATTTTTTAATTATAAATGTACTTAATATCCATAAAATAGATCAGCAGATGGATATTATGTAAAGCTCATCTGGTACATTCATAGACAATCACTCTATCTTTTGAGGGGATGGAAGTTTAATTGACATGGCTGGGGTTTGAGCTTAGATAGATAAAAGTGCTGACTATTACATATATCATTTTGGGAAATTCCAACTATGAATTTTGACAACACTTTTATAAGAGGAGAGGAAAGGTGAAATAAAAAAGTGTTAAAATAAAATTTCCAGAAGTGCTTTGTTCCACACAAAGTATGTGTAAAAGGTCTATGAGGTACAATATAGCCCAGCAAAGATATCTTTGAAAAGTGTGGCACAGATGGCAAAAAAAATGGCTGACACACAAAAAAATATCAGAAGGCAGAGGTCATATAAGGTTTCACACCATTATTATCCTAACTTCAGTGAAAATGAGCTCCAACATAAACTAAATTTCTGGTACTATATCATCCCATTAAGAAAAAAAAAGTAAGGTTTTAGATACTTTTTTATTTATTTAAATCCTCACCCAAGGATATTTTTTTTGATTTTGAGAGAGTAGGAAAGAGGGAGAGGAAAAGAGAATGAGACAGAGAGAGAGAGAGAAACATTGATATGAGAAAGTCACATGGATTGGTTGCCTCCAGCATGCATCCCAACTGGGGCTAAGGATTGAACCAGAGCCCCTCTGGCATGGGGGCAGCAACTGAGCAACACTGGTCAGGGCAGGTTTCTGATACTTTAAAAGTTGCACTTTAATACAACAAATGGACGTTCTCTCTGCTAAAAACTTAACATACTAGAAATTGATTTTGTTCGTTATGAAGCTATTATTTCATTTCATAAACAAAAAACTTAATTTACCCCAAGGTGACCATCTTCCTCCTTTTCTCAACAGCAGGTAAGCCATTGATAACTGCAACCACAATAGCATTTGAATCCAAAGCCTGACTCTGCAGGTCTTCAGATTTCGGCAGAATATCACCGAAACTGCCATGTGTCAAGGCTCGAGGAGAACTGTGCCTGCTCCCAGACTGAGAGCTTCCTGGGGAAACTACAGAAAAGGAAGGGGATATTCAGATAAAAGGAAAACAAAATGTTCTCTCTCAGATTTCCACTTCAGATCTTATCATACATTTTTAAACTACAGGAAAATGCAAAAATAATTTTAAAATATATCATAATCTTTTTGATGCCAACTGTTTAAAATTAAGGCATCCAGAATATGCAACCTAATGGCTGCATTTTTTTTTTTACTGATGGCTCCAATTAATCTGTTGTGAGATCAAGGAAGTTTTGAATCACGTTTCAGCATTATGGTAGAGTCTAAAGCTATATGTAAGATCAATTCTGAATAACAGACTTCTACCCATGCAAATTACATTTTGAACTCTTCAAATTTACCTTCAGACAGAGGTTGACAGTCTCCCCTTGAATAGGTATTTTCCCCAGGGTCTACTGCTCTTCGAAGTGATAGACTACCTGCTATACTGGACCGAGCTGGCTTGGGTGAATTACTCTTCTTATTTGTGGCTGCAAAGACATTTAAAAACATTTCTGAATATGATAAAATAGCACAAAACTCACTACCTAGCCAGTCAGAGAAAGGTTTAATCTTAACATGCAAGAAAGGTATTCTAGCTACTATGTCAAAAATAAACAAAACAAAACAGAGGATGCTTTGGTCCCAACTGGTTTATTAGGGGTTTTATTCCAAAAGCACTCCTACTCTGCTGCTTGTGGAGCAGTGTTAACTTACAAATCTAAAAAAATAAGTAAGTCAGAAACTTCAAAAGAAAAATCATACCAGACATAGACTCTAATCTCCATGTAATTAAACTAGTATTAATAATAAAAATATAACCGGTAAACACTTGGAAATGGTAAAATATTACTGGTTTGGAAAGAAAATGCTTAACTAGTAATGAACCACAATTATAATGCTTTAAGATGTTTGTGGCTAAATCAGTAATTAGCAGAAATGGATGGCCTTAAAATGAATTAGAAAAAACTGATACTAAATGGCCTAACATGCAGAGACTCAAGAAGCTATAAAAAGAATTAATTTTTTTAAGAGAATAGATGCATTAAAAGGTAATAAACAGGTTCAGCAAAGTAGAACCATATATGACCAATAATCAATTGTGTTTTAATCCAAAAATCTGAGAATGAAATGTAAAAAACAATTCCATTTTGCAAGAGCATCAAGTAGAAAACAGAGGAAAAAATTAAGCAAAGAAATGTAAGACTTGTACACTGAAAACTATACACGTTGAAAGAAAAAAAAAAAGATAGGAAAATATTGTGTTCACTGATTGGGAGACTTAATACTGTTAATATGGCAGTACTCCCAAACTTGATCTACAGATTTCAACACAATCCCAATAAAACCTCTAGCTATCTTTTTTTTTCCTAATGGCTGAAACTGACAAACCAATTATAAAATTCACATGAAAATGCACAAGATCCATTACACCCCCAAACCATCTTGAATGGAGCACTCATAGTTCCTATTGTAAAACAATAAGCCTGGCTAGTGAGGCTCAGTGGTTGAGCAACAACCTATGAACCAGGAGGGATTATTTCCTGGTCAGGGCTTATGCCCAGGTTTCAGGCTTGGTCCCTAGTGGGGGACGCGCAGGAGGCAGCTAATCAATGATTCTCATCATTAATGTTTCTTTCTCTCTCTCTCCTTTCTCTCTCTCTCTCTCCCTCTCTCCCCCTTCTTCTTTGAAATCAATAAAAATTATTTTTTTAAAAATAAAACTACTCATTGGAACATACAACATATTTTAAACTTGAGAATAAAAAAACTAAAGGGATTTCTAAATAGAGTTGAAAAACATTGCCGGGGTCCAGCCCCAGCAGGTCCAGGGGTCCCCAAAGGTGTGGACGGAGTCGGCGAAGAAGGAATGACACGAAGACAGTGTTCAGTTGATCAGCAGCCTAGCCAGGATCTCCAGCCAAGTTCTGGTCTGGATCTCCAGAGACGTTCTGCTTAGGATCTCCTGCCAGGGTCTGTGTCCATGTTCTCTTGCTAGGTTCTCCAGGTTCTCCAGGTTCTCCAGCCAGGTTCTGTAGCCAAGTTCCCTTGCTAGGTTCTCCAGCCAGGTTCTGTCCAGGTTCTCCTGCCAGGTTCAGTTACCAGGTTCTAGTCAGGTTCTCTTGCCAATTTCTGTAGTCAGGTTCAGTCCAGGATCTTTTGCCATGTTCTCTTGCTAGGTTCTGTCTCTAGGTTCTGAGGCCAGTTTCTGTCCAGGATCTTTTGCCATGTTCTCTCCAGCGAAGTTCTTCTGTCTCTAGAGAACGTTCTGTGTAGGTTCTGTGCCTAGGTTCTGTCTCTCTTCATTCTGTATTCTTAGTTCTGTGTCTTGCTGTCTTATTACATCTGTATTTATACCAGTTGATTCAATCCTATCAATCTCTATTACAAAGGTTAGGGCGTTTCTTATCTCCATTCCAGGGAGTAAAGATTATGTAGCTTAAGCATGATTGTTCATAGTTAAAGTGATTAATTACCCACCTGGCACTAGTTAAGAGGTTTTATTCCCTCCCTAACTTCAGGGGAAAATCCCTACCTGGGGAAACAACCTTTCTCAGAGACCTTGGTTAAAACACATAGTGCCAAGAAGGTGAGCAAACATATTAAGAACAGTATGCCATATATGCCAGGTCCTTTGAAACAGCAAGGATGGACCGGCTCCCGGCAAAACATTACAAAAATTCTATTATTGCTAAGGCACAGCACAGAACTTCTGGCTGGACTTCTTCCATGACAGGAAGAGATGAGGCACTGGGAACCTGGGGCAGCCTTCTATTTCCACCCTAATAAATCTTACCACCAGACCTCATGCCCTCATGTGGCTTCCCAAAAACGCTTTTGTCACGACACCACAAGGACTGACTCCATTTCCACTCTCAACCCTTTTCAGTTCCTTCTCCACCCAACAAGCAAAGTAATCTTTGTAAAAAGTAAATCAGATAATAAATACTCCCTGATACCTATTCTTTAAAGACTTCCTCCTAAAACCAGAATAAAACACAAAACTCTTTATTGAGGTCTTACCAAAAACCCTACCTGAGCTAGATCCTTCCTACCTCTCTGCTTATGTCCTATTATTCTCCCCCGTGCTGTGTTCACCATATTCAGCCATAAGGTCTTCCTTCGAGCCTTCAAATATGCAGAGCAAATCCTTTATCAGTGACTTTGCATTTTCTGTTGTTTACCCAGAACACTTCCAACAGATCTTTGCATGGCTGTCACTTTCTTAACCTTCAGGTCTCAGTTCAAATGTTGCTTCCTCAGACTTTCTCTGACTACCCTAACTAAAGGAGCACATTCCTCACCTGTTCTTTCCACCCACTCTTCTGTTGTTTCCTTTATAGTACTCTTTACTTTTTATCAACTGCAATTATCTTTACTTCTTTACATATTTTAATGTCCAATCCCCACCATATAAATACATGAATGCAAGATCCATAAGGTTAAGGTTTTTGTGTTATTTATTGCCCAGTACAGAAAAAGCAATCAAGAAAAGTTAGCTCTATTATACAATTGAAAATATAGTCTGTTTTATTTTTTGTTAATCCTCACTGGAGGATATTTTTTCCATTGATTTTTAGATTGTGAAAGGGAGGGAGGAAGGGGCAGAGAAAAACATGAATGTGAGAGAAACACATCAATTGGTTGCCTTGTGCACATGCCCCAACTGGGCCAGGAATCAAATCCGAGACCCTTTGGTGCTCAGGCTGATGCTCTAACCATTGACTACAACAGCCAGGACAAAAATATAATCTGTTTTAGATAGGAGAAAGGGTGGTATATATCTGTAGTCTCAATTCATTGTAAGAGAGATTTTAAAGTATTATTACTCTGAAAATAACCTGTCCTCTAGCTTCCCAAATGACATGTGGAGAAAAGACACTAACAGGCTCGTTTTCACTTACAGTTTCGTATGTAGCAACTGGCAACTGATGACTTTGCCAAGAGCTCCATTCCCAAATCCTGTAATCTGCCAGAGTTTTCAGTTCCACATGCAGCCAGAGCTGCCTGGTCAGCAGAAAAAAGGCTTGTCTGCATGTCTCCAGAAGGAGCATTGCTGCTTTTTATTTCTGAAAGTGGATTCTTTACATCAGTCTTCATACATCGAACTTCAGCCATTTGAGTTTTCAGTCTTTTTAGCATCTTTAAGTCAGAGGGAACTCGCCACATTGCCTGCTGTTTCCTTTGATCTTTATCTTTTCGACAATATGAAACTTGAGAGACAGAGAGAGAGAGAAAAGAAGAGAGAGAGAGAAACTCATGTTAATATAGATGTTAACATTAATAAAACCATTCTGGCCCTAGCTGGTTTGGCTCAGTGGATAGAGCATCTGCCTGTGGACTGAAGGGTCCCAGGTTCAATTCCGGCCAAGGGTACATGACCGGGTTGCCGGCTCAATCCCCAGTAGGGGGTGTGCAAGAGGCAGTCAATCAATGATTTTCTATCATTAATGCTTCTCTCTCCCCCCCTTCCTTCCTCTCTGAAATCAATAAAAATATAAAAAATAAAATCATTTTGCATTGTGAAATATGCAAATTTGATGTGTAAATAAGCTACTTTAGGTGGTGTCAACAATAAATGTATGTATTACATGCCATTAATTAAAATAAATATAGTCACAAATATCTTAGTATTATTCATACCTTCAAAGTTATAATCTGGGTCACATTATAATCACCCAAATCTGTACTAATATTGAACTCTAAAGTTTAAAAAGCTGCACTATTTCCTGTGCTTTCTTCTTTACATTTCTCTTCTCTCAAATTTTCTACACTGAAGTTTTATTATATTCACTAGAGGGCTGGTACACCAAATTTGTGAACTCGGGGGGTGGGGGTGTCCCCGAGCCTGGTCTGTACCCTCTCGCAGTCCGGGAGTCCTCAGGTGATGTCCGACTGACTTCTTAGGCTCGTTCCCACAGCGGGCCTAAGCCGGCAGTCGGACATCCTTAGCGCTGCCACGGAGGCGGGAGAGGCTCCTGCCACCGCTGCTGCGCTCACCAGCCATAAGCCTGGCTTCTGGCTGAGCAGCACTCCCCCTGGGGGAGTGCCTTGACCACTAGGGGGCAGCTCCTGCATTGAGTTTCTGCCCCCTGGTGGTCACTGTGGGTCATAGTGACTGGTCATTCTGCCATCGGGCCAAAACCAGCTCTCCGACATCCCCTGAAGGGTCCTCGATTGCGAGAGAGCGCAGGCCAGGCCGAGGGACCCCACTGGTGCACAATCATGGCCAGGGAGGGATGCAGGAGGTTGGCCAGCCAGGGAGGGACCGCAGGAGGGTTCCAGGGCATGTCTGGCCCAGGGCGGGTTCCAGGGTGTGTCTGGCCCTTCTAGCTCAGTCCCGATAGACCGGACCCCTGCAGCAAGCTAACCTACCCAGAGCATCTGCCCCCTGGCGGTCAGTGCACGTCATAGTGACTGGTTGACCGGTTGACTCTCTGCCCCCTAGTAGTTAGTGCATGTCATAGTAAGCGGTTGAGCAGCCTTAGCATATCATTAGCATATTACCCTTTGATTGGTTGACCGAATGACCAGACACTTAGTATATCAGACTTATTATATAGGATAATTTTAAAACATAGCCAACTACTTAGCCAAATCTGATATAAAAATATATATATTCTAACTAAATTCAAAATGTTGATTTACCGAAGTACTAGCCAAGCATATGTAGTTATTAAGTGCCACAGAACATCACAAAAGAATAGTTCCCTGCCACTGAGTCTACAGCCATTAAAGTAACAATGTTTTCTTTCTTCCCAGAGAAAGTAGTTGAAGCTATTTTTAACTTTTCCCCCTACCCAAATATTAAAATGAAAGCTATGAGCAAGGAAAATACACTTTCCTCTCAGGAAGGAAAAGAGCTAAATATTTTGGAAATCAAAGAACATTATGGCTGACTTAAAGCAAAATGAAACTAAACCAAATAAACACACACAAAACACAATACCTGCACACACATAACACATCCCCAAATGGGGCCAACAGGCACTCAAACCAGACAAAGAACAAGTCCTTTATTAGCAGAAATGGCTACAACAGCCTTCTGCCATAAATGAGGACATACAGTAAAAGGTAGGTGCTGTAGTGTATCAGCCATTTCCCCTTGCACAAAAAGGATTCAGACTGTATTCAGGTATCAGGTGAGCAGCAATGCGCTCAGGGAGGTTAGGTCCCTCCCTTTGGCTCCAGTAGATATGGGTCCAGGACTGGTCTAAGCTCATTCCTCTTTGATAGTGGACATAAGACTCAGTCTCAACCAAAAGACTGGGGGGAAGGGGAAGAGAAGTAACTTCTGGGAAGATTTTCTATCATGATTTGTTGTATTTATTTAACAAACATCTATAAAGTGAGTATCAAATATTTTTAAAACATTAAGTCATTTAATCCTCTCATATCAATCCTCTGAGGTAAGTACTATTACCTCCATTTTATAAATGAGGAAAGACACATAAAGGTTACCCAACATAATACTCAAGGTAACACAGCTAATAAGTAGAAGAATTATTGTATTATTTTCCATACAAACAACTGTAAACCTAGTTCTGCCCCATCCTGTATTTGTTGGATAGTTTCAAACTCTGATTTTTCTTTGGAATATACTCCTAAAAGTAAAGTTACATGATTCAAAGACAGAAATATTTTTGAGCCCAGCCACAGTGGTTCAATGGTTGAGTGTCAACCTATGAACCAGAAGGTCACAGGTTTGATTCCCAGTCAGGGCACATGCCTAGGTTGTAGGCTTGATCCCCAGTGTGAGACTTGCAGGAGGCAACCAATGATTCTCTCTCATTGATGATTTATCTCTCTCTCCCTCTCTTTCTGAAATCAATAAAAACATATTAAAAAAAGAAATATTCTGAACCTACTATAAAATTTTCCTTCAAAAAGGTTAAACCAATATACATTCCTACTTCCAGAACCAGAACTTGTCTGTCTGTTTCACTAGGTCTTTGCAAATATTGCCCACAGTTTTCTACAATAAAAACGCCTCAGAAAAATATATAAAATCATATACAATGTGGTAAGTGCTACAAAAGTACAAATATAATACAAAATGTACTTGGGCATCATAGATAAAAGCAATTGTTTTATAACTTGGTTGTAAGCCTACAGAAGTATACCTTAGAAAGGAAAGGGCCTAACTTAATCCAACCTCTGAGAGTCCATTCCCCACTAGGTAGAACAGCTCTAATTCTCTGATTTCTACATGGAGGCTCTACCTTAGACTTTGTTTGAAAAATGAGTTCCACTGCTTTAAAGAATCAAAATCATTGTTTTAAGCCACGGATTTAATTTGTATAGTGCTGTTGTTTAAGAAGGTAGGAAAATGTTTGGTATATTTTTTAAAAGCTTTCCAACAAAAATAGTTTTTAAAATGTGTCATTTAAAGGTAAATCCTTAGCTATTCAAAATGACCATGCCATAGCATTTTGAAAAGTCAAACTTTAATATGTATGCGTATAAACTGTATTACAGTAACACAAATGTAATTTCTCTTCAACAAATAACCTTTGTACCTAAACACTGCTGCTAGCTGGTTTAGGTTTTTTGGCTACCGAACATCAAAGTGTGGGTAAACCATCTTTTTCTATATTCAACTTAGACAGAGTTCCACTTGGAAGTTACGGTATTCGTGAGTTGTGCAAAACTCTAAGTCCACTCATAAAGAGGAAAACTGTATTTCATATGGATCAAACTGTCAATTACATACAATTTAAAGGGCAAACCATTAAAAAACCAATCCTCCTTACGGGCATTTTGACATTATTTTCACACGAAATACCTTTGAACAGTAACAAAATATTAATTTGATTAATATAAATGTCATTTTATGACTTACCATGAAAAAATCAATTTGCTACAGAAATATACCGTATTTGGAATAAGAGTTCTTTTGGGGAACCACGAAAAAGGAAAATCACTGTTAATATTTTACCTGTGGGCTGCAACAGTGACGCAGGTGGGCGAGGTTGTAAGCCCCACAAATTTTCCATACTGTTCCGGCCCTTAAGGTCCAACAAATGCATTAAAATGAAAGGATCAATGTCTAATAAATTACTTGTAGTAGCAGAACATAAGTGTGTTCTTCTTGACATTCTACTACTGGCACCAACATAGCCATGGTTACCACCTGCAAAAGAAAAAAAAATATAGAAAGTGCATGCTATATATGTGTACAAATTTAAGTATACTTAAAAGAAAAAAGTAAACTGCTTGATGTTTGAATACTTGTCTCTTAGGATTTTATTTTCATAAGAAGAAGCACAATGAAGAAACCAGATTGCCGTAGAGGTGTACACAAAGCACAGTGGCTGAGCACTGGCCTCATTACTATCCAGAATTCGGGAGCAACCCTCAAACTCATCCTGAGCCCTAGAAATAAAAAAGTGACAATGTATACAGTATATACAATTAGTGGAATGAGAATTAGGAAAAGCTAACATATCTCATAACCCAGTGGTCTTGGATTAAAGACAAATCTCCATAGTATAACAGATTCCAAGAACTAGACACCAAAATAGGAATCTTCTCCAGGTCTCTGGATAGCAAACTGTACAGATCTATGACATGTTTGGTAGACTTTTTTTCTAGCTTAAGTACTGGAACACAAGTTGAAGTTTTTAGACCGAACTTGTTACTGACTGATGGCATAGTACAGACTGTGAGCAAAAGTCCTATTTGTATCACCTATGTTGAACTAAGCTTTAGGCCAAGAAAACCACCTGACTTTTCTCTAGTGCCTAGTACAATGCCTAGCAATATTGGATTATGAAAATATTGGTTAAAAATCAACCTTTAATAAAGCTATTTAAATATATTTTACACTGTAATACCTGGAAGCAAGTCACTAAGCATAGCTTACATTTAAGGATGGAGAGTTACACTTCACCTCCTTGCAGAGGCAATATATAAAAAAATTATTTGGAATTCTTTTGTATGTGCATGGTCTTATATATATTAGTTATATATCTATTCACCTTCAGATTATAAATTACTTAAGAGTAACTCTTTTTCATTGTATTTTCCAGAAATCTGGAAATAGGAAAGAATTTCAATAAATGCCTACCTAATATATAAAATTCCCCAAAGCACAAAATACAAATTAACTGTTTGATTTACTATTGTATCCTCAGCATCTAGAATTCAATGTCTGAACTATAATAGGTGCTCAATAATATATATATATTGAACTAATAAATTATAATTTCAGAATTATAGAACATGAGGTCCATGAGAACAGGGACATCTTTTTTCCAATACTGTAGTTCCTGAAAGTAAAACAGTATTCAGTTTCAGTTAAGTGCTCAGTAAATATTTGGTGAATGAATAATTGAAAAAATATAACCTCCGCTTACTCAGTGTCTAAAAATGTTATATATAAGAATTTCCCTACAATACAGTTTAAGAAAGGAAATCAGATTTAACCAAAAAAAAAAAAAAAAAAAAGTCTGCCCTAGCCAGTTTGGCTCAGTGGATAGAGCATCGGCCTGTGGATTGAAGGGTTCCACCAGGTTCAATTCTGGCCAAGGGCACATGCCTGGGTTGTGGGCTCAATCCCCAGTGTGGGGTTTGCAGGAAGCAGCCAATCAATGATTCTCTCTCATCATTGATGTTTCTATCTATCCCTCTCCCTTCCTCTCTTAAATAAATAAAAATTTTTTAAAAAGGCTGAAAGCCCTAGCCACTTTGGTTCAGTGGATAGAGCATTGGCCTGCAGACTGAAGGGTCCCAGGTTCGATTCTGGCCAAGGGCACATGCTGGGTTGCAGGCTCGATCCCCAGTAGGATGTGCAGGAGGCAGCCAATCAATGATCCTTTCTCATCATTGATGTTTCTATCTTTCTCTACCTCTTCCTTCCTCTCCAAAATCAATAAAGAAATATATTAAAAAAAGAAAAGGCTGAAAATATTCAGTAACCTTGACGCAGTACACTCATCTTCCATTTTATACCAAGATGGCCTCTGAATTTTTATGCACTATTTAGAACCTTAAAAATTACACTGAAAACTTAGTAATAAAGTGTATTTACTCAATGTTTATGTGAAAAATATTAAATGATCCCTATTATACTGTTTAAAGTGCTAGGAATACAAAATTCTGACACACATTATATTGCTTCATGGAGTTCAGAGGTGAAAAGCAAAATAGCTATATAAGCAATAAGAATAATGTTTAACATAGGTTAAATAGGTTCTACAGATTCTAATTGGTTAATGTGAGAAAGCAGAAAAGACACCCAGGGCAAGCAGTCTAGGAGGGCTTCCAGTAAGAAATGAAATAAAAGCAAAAATAAGGAGAAGGTAGAAGGAACAACACATTGGGAAGCAAAGATGTGAGAAATACCATGGCACATTTAATGGGCTGAAAAATGATGCAGAGGAGTGTAAGCAGGCTAAAGAAATGAGCAGAAGCCAGCACATAATGGACCTTCTACACCATATTAATGAGTTTGGATTTTATCCATAAGTAACTGGAATCCAATAAATGGTTTTAAGTAGAGAAGTTACATGATCAGATATCAATTTGAAGGAAAAATCACACCCATTCTGAAGTCATGCTGTGGGAAACAGAATGAAGGGGAGCAATAATTGATACAAGGAACCCAGATGAGAGGCTATTTTGAAAGACAGTAGCCTAGAATCTCACAGACTTTTTAAAGTAAACTAGGGGCCGGGTGCACGAAATTAATACACTGGAGCGGGGTGGGGGGGTGTACCCCTCAGCCCGGCCTGCGCCCTCTCACAGTCCAGGACCCCTCGGATGATGTCCGCCTGCTGGCTTAGGCCCAATCACCCCCTGGGGATCAGGCCTAAGCCAACAGGTGGACATCCTTCTCACAGTCCGGGATCCCTCGGTCCTTACCACCTGCCTGCTCACTGCTCCTTACTGCTTGGCTCACTGCTCCTTAGCGCTGCCACGGAGGCAGGAGAGGCTCCTGCCACTGCTGCTGCACTTGCCAGCCGTGAGCCTGGCTTCTGGCTGAGCGGCACTCACCCTGTGGGAGCGCACTGACTACCACGAGGCAGCTCCTGCACTGAGTGTCTGCCCCCTTGGTGGTCAGTGTGCAACACAGCGACCAGTCGTTCTGGTCATTCCACCATAAAGGTCACTTAGGCTTTATTATATAGCTGAGATAAGGTACACAAAGTGCATTTGCCTGGTACATGAGTACATATCAAATAGCTATATTATTATTTTAAGAGCTAGTGGCTGCCACATATTAAAATATGATATGGTCAAAAAAGAACAAAGGGAAGACAGAATGGCTTATGGGCTTGACCCTTGTACCTGGAGGTCCTGCAGCAGCCGAATCTTCCATCAGTTCCCCCTCTTCCAATTCCATGTTGTTGTACTCCACATCATTTTCTCCAGACCTAAGAATACACAAAATTCATTATTCCCACAAAGTTAAGCAAAATTAACATTATTTATCACACCTCAATGAATTTTATAACAATAATGCACAGCTTTCTCTTGTGAAGACAGATATTACTAAATACAAAAATGAAGAAAAAGACTTTGGTCATTATCACATGTATAGTTAGTTGTAATACTCAAACTACCTTTAAAAAATACCAAAATAGCTTGGAAACATTAAATGTTTAAAAGAGAAAATCTGAGAACCATTGTAGAGCAAAAGATTATAGCTTTAAATAATATGTACCTTAATGATAGTAACTTAGGCTTAAAATACTACATTTTAGCCATAGCTTGTCTGGCTCAGTGGATAGAGCGTTGGCCTGCAGACTTGAGGGTTTCAAGTTCGACTATGGTCAAGGGCATGTACCTCGGCTGCAGGCTCGATCCCGGTCCAGGGCCATGTGTAGGAGGCAACTAATCCATGTGTCCGTCTCACATGGATGTTTCTCTTTTTCTGTCCCCCTCCCCCCCACTCTCTCTAAAAATCAATGGAAAAATATCTTTAGGTGAGGAATAACAAAACAAACAAAGCACCACTACATTTTAAGGTTAAAAAAGAAAGATGCTCAAATTACTGCATATATTAAATATTTTCCTAAAATATTATTTCAGAATAACTGGTAATATCCTCTTATCAAAGTCCTCAAAGTATATCATACCAAAAAACACTATTACCTTATTTTATTTTTTTATATGTAAATTTTTATTGATTTCAGAGAGGAAGAGGGAGTAAGAGATAGAAACATCAATGATGAGAGAGAATCATTGACCGGCTGCCTCCTGGACGCACCCCACTGCAAATCGAGCCTGCAACCCAGGCATAAGCCAGGACTCTTTAGTCCGCAGGCTGACACTCTATCCACTGAGCCAAACCAGCTAGGGCTTTTTAAATCTTTTTGCTATTTTGTTGGTATTTCCTTTGAAAAATGGGCTGATGCCAGGGCTGGAACAGAGAAAGTACAAGGTGAACCTGGAATGTCTTTTAGTGCCAGAAAATAAGAAAGTGCTTTAAAAATTATGAGGACATCTCAAAGGACACAGGAGTTATCTCTTTAACAGGCTCCCATTGGCTAAATCTTAGATAATCTGAGTAATAAATTATGATAATAAATGGGTTAAATTATTTAATATAAGAATCTGTGAGTCCATACTAATGAAATTAATCAATTAATTAATAGGGAAAGTTCTTCCTTAAAGTAAAATTCCAACTAAGTGCAGAATGAATAATGGTATCATCATCTGGCAATCAACACAGTAATCTTCTCCAAGCTAGTATCATCAATGGATGCTAAAATTAATGGACAAAAGTACAATGAGAAAAAGTTATTTACAGTCTCAAATTATGTTCCCAAGAGATATTTATTATTCACAAAAGGAAAAAGTCATAATTGTAGAGAAGGGAAATCAGGAAGACACCCTCTTAACCAAGTATCTAAATCAATCAACCCTAATGGGACAGATTAAAGACATGCCTCCACTTCCCCCTCATACAATATACTGAAAACATTACCTCACCACTCTGTAGTGTTCTTCCCACAGGTGCATAACCTCAGTCTAATGGTGAGGAAACATCAGACAATTGCAAACTGAAGATTTTCTACAAAATAACTGCTATGTATTTCTCAAAAGTGTCAAAGGCATATAAAACAAAGTAAAAAAAAAATGAAATAAAAGACTAAGTGACCCCAATTGGGGCAAACTAAAGAGACTTAACTAAAAGCAACATTTGATCCTGCACTGGATCCTAAACCAAAGGACATCACTGAATGCAAAAATTTTAAAAGGTCAGATTATAATATTACAGCAATGTTAGTCTCTTGATTTTGATAACTGCACTGTAGTTACATAAGAAATATACTTGTTTTCCAGAAGTACATAATGGGAAGTATTCCCACCTAATCTCAAATGTCTCACAAAAAAATTGTATGGTGAGAGAGAAATATAAAGCAAAATATTAACATGTGAGGAAAGAATACAGGCAGTTTTTTTAAATAGGGGAATTCTTAGTATTTTTTGAGACTTTTCTTAAATATGAAATAACGGCAAAATTAAAAGTTAAAACAAAAATTAAAACTCAGGCCCTGCCGAAACCGGTTTGGCTCAGTGGCTGGAGCGTCGGCCTGCGGACTGAAGGGTCCCAGGTTCGATTCCGGTCAAGGGCATGTACCTGGGTTGCGGGCACATCCCCCAGTGGGGGATGTGCAGGAGGCGGCTGGTCGATGTTTCTCTCTCATCGATGTTTCTGACTCTCTGTCTCTCTCCCTTCCTCTCTGTAAAGAATCAATAAAATAAAAAAAATAAAAAAAATAAAAAAACTCAGGCCCTGGCCAGGTGGCTCAGTTGGCTGGAGTGTGTCTCACACCAAAAGGCTGCAGGTTCAATTTACGGTCAAGGCACATACCTAGGTTGCAGGTTTCATCCCTGGGACAGGAGGCAACCGACAGATGTTTCTCTCTCTTTCTCTCTCTCTCTCTCTGGCATGCACGCACAAATCAATAAAATATATATCCTTGGGTGAGATAAAAAAGAAAAATTAAAACTCAGTTTGGAACCCAGAGATGAGAGAGCGAAAACTAATTCAAGTATCTCCTTTAAAATCCTTTATTTATAAAGATTATCAAGAAAAAATGCTAAATATCCCCACTTTTAGATCTAGTTAATATCCAATTATCATGTAGGTGTTTTATATGGTAGTTAATGCACAACACTCACATAGTTTCTTCATCAATGTCATTTTCCTCCGTGTTACTTGTTGCTGTGGAACTGGCAGAGGAACTGCTACCATCGAGGTGGTTTACTTCATCTTCACCAACAAGATCGAGATCCAGATCCCCATCTGAAAGCTCATGCTAGAACAAGGGAAAGAAATAAAGACTTTTATCTCAAAGAACAATTGAGTATGGAGCAAGCACCAAATAACAATGCAATCATCAGAATTCTCTGCTCGTGTGCCCAATCACCTAAGCCCCGTAGAAAAAAAAAAATCACACAACCACATTACCTGGTACTACTGATTTATTGCTGCCAATTTCAGCGGGGCCCTTAATGTAATTGGAAATGCTTCCGGTATTCCATGTTAGCTTCCAGTAAGGCTCCATACAGAGTAACATTTCAAATTATCATTCCTCAAGTCCTACCTAACCTCTATTATCCACAAGGTCATTGTAAAACCTGCACCTACCTGCATAGAAAAGCACACTGGCTATTAAACACAAATTACTCCAACTTTCAGCTGCCCTACATGTAAACTCCATCTTTACCTCACCCTATCAAAAGATTAATGCAAGTGCTCAGTTCCAGACCCTATTAGTTTCCTTATATACTTGGGATTTGTCAATACCTTAAACTTATCTTTAGTCTCCCTAATGGCTCCTTCATTTTTTTTTTTTTTTTTTTAAATTCTGGCATCAGTCTTTATTATTCCTTCAGAAACCATGTCTCCATTACCTCAGAGAAAGCATGTCAAATTCAATGGCTAACAAGGGCCAAATAAACAAGGTTTAAGTTTATGTGGGCCACAAAAAAACAAAAGCTTCAATTTTCATAGAAACGGAGGTTTATTTCAATAGAGACATGCTGAATACAAAGGGCTGAAATAAATGAGTAATCATTAACATAAAATAATAAAACATTTAAATAAAAATATTTTTTCTTGAACATTAACTTACCAGACACTGAATAACTGCACAAATTAATAAGCCTAATGCAAAATAAACCTATTTTTCTTGTTCTCAGAAAGCAAAATATTTCCCATTGCACACACCAAACAAGTCAGTACAAGACTAATGATGGGGCAATCGACTGCTAAAATATTCGCTGCTAGCATTAGTGGAGAGAAATGGCGCGCCTGCGTGTAAGGCACGTAAGGGAAATGAATGCAACACAATTATAGTAATCAGTCATTAGCGAACGTTGTAGTTCATCATTAATAATTATGTGTAACAGAATACTGTAAAAATTAAGTTACGAAATTTTTGTTAAAATGTTTCTTACATACCGTTATATTGCCTGGGCCACAAAAAATATTCCCTGTGAGTTTGACATGCTTGCCTTAGGGCAACGATTCTTTTTTAAAAAAATAATTCCTTATTGTTGCATGTATTACATAGGCCCCCCTTTTTCCCTCATTGACCCCCTCCAGCCCACCCTCACCTCCCACCCTCACCTCCCCATTGTCAGTGGCCATGGGCTATGCATTTATGCATACAAGGTTCTTGGTTGATTACTTCCCACCTACCTACCCTCCCCGACCTTCCCTCCAAGATTCTGCCCTCCGTTCCCAGGCTTCCATGTCTCTGGATCTACTCCGTTCATCAGTTTACTTTGTTACTGAGATTCCACATATGAGTGAGATCATGTGATACTTGTCTTTCTCTGATTCACTTATTTCACTTAGCATGACACTTGCCAGGTCCCTCCATGCTGTCTCAAGGGGTAAGAGATACTTTTTTTTTTTTTTTATTACTGCACAGTATTCCATGGTGTAAATGTACCACAGCTTTATCTACTCATCTACTGATGGGCACTTAGGCTGTTTCCAGACTTTAGCTACTGTACATTGGGCTGCTCTGTAGGGGTGCATACATTCTTTCTGATTGGTGTTTTGGGTTTCTTAGGATATAGATATTCCTAAAAGTGGGATCACTGGGTCAAATGGCAGTTCCACATTTAATTTTTTGAGGAAACGCCATACTTTTTTCCATAATGGCTACACCAGTCTGCATTCCTGTCAGCAGTGTACTAGGGTTCCCTTTTCTCTACATCCTCTCAAAAAGCTTTTCTCTGTATCCCTATCTTACCTCAAATAAAAACAACCACTCCTTGAATTCTCATTCTGTTCATTATTTAGCTGTGACAAAACCTGGCTATCTCCCAAGTCCTAAATGAATCTATCTACATATGCAATGACAAGGCATTTACTAGTTTCAGTGAATAAAAATACAACACATTTTAAAAATTCACAATCTATAGTTTCTAGAATGTACATCAGTTTGTTGTGTAGAATGTAGTTTTCTACAATAAATTAATTTTAAAACTTTAAACACTTTGATTCAGCAACTTCTGACTTGACTAACAGATAAGATTTTTAGCACACTGACTCCTCTACATCACATGATAAAAACCATGATCTTATTAATTTCTCTTATCAAACACAAAATAAATCTAAAAACCTGGTGTATTACATGATAATCCTCATTCTGAATCTTCTCCTCATCTTCATCCTCTTTGGCCTCTCTTACAGAAGCTGAAATAGGACCATCCTGGAGAAGCATGTCAGCACAGGACCCAGACTTCTTAGATCGTGTCTCAGGACTGTCATCATTTTGGGGGCTAAGATGATTAGCTGGTGGTGACAAATCTCTTGATTTCTGAGTTCGAGATAACTCAATAGTAAGTCTCTTTTAAGACAAAAACAGCACGAATAAACAAGTTATAAGCGTGTTTCTATGGAAAAGCAAAAAAGATTTAAAAAATATATATGTTCTTAAAACCATTTCTTGCACCATCTCTCTCACCACCTGCTGCCTTTTGCTTATGGAAAAATCTGTGACAAAGAAAAACAGCCCACCCTGGCCAGTGTGGCTCAGTGATTATAGCGTCAGCCTGAGGACTGAAGGATCTCGAGCTCAATTCCTGGTCAAGGGCACATACCTGTGTTGCAGGTTAGACCCTGGCCCCAGTCAAAGTCTGGGTCAACTACCTAGGACTGCTTTACAGTTCCCCAAAGAGTGTCATGTTCTAAATAACCTATATTCTAAACTGTCACATCAAAGTCTCTCTCTTCTCTCCTTCCCTTCCCTCCCCTCCATTCTCTCTGGAAAAAAGAAAGAAAAATTGCCTAATTTATTCTCATCCTTCTCCTATCCAGCCCAAGCTACAAGTACAGTGAGCGAACTCTAAAGTAAATATAGGCAGTTTTAAATAGTACATATAACATGAAAATCTCTGAAAGTATGTATTTATTCATATATTACTCCCTGATCTATTAGCCAATTTTGGCACTTCAAAAGCTTCCACCCCATCTCATTTTCAATTGGCAGAAAGAAACATTCCTTACATATTTAGTTTACCGTGGTAAAATAAAAATTAATTAACTGATTCTCCCCAGTGCTCAATTCAACAATAGTGAGAATTCAAGATGGGGCAATTTTCAGTTGTTCTATAGCTTTGAATCCTCTAAATTCAAGACAGCATGGGGAAGAGAAATACAGAAGTCACTGAAAAAAACACAGAGAGATAACCTCAAGCTAGAGCAGCACTGTAATACAATTTTATGCAATGATGCAAATGTTTCTGTATGCAATGCCCAATATAAGCATTTAAAATGTGGCCATGCCCTAGCTGGTTTGGCTCAGTGGATAGAGTGTCAGCCTGAGGACTGAAGGGTCCCAGGTTAGATTCCGGTCAAGGGCACATGCCTGAGTTGTGGGCTCGATCCTCAGTAGGGGGCGTGCAGGAGGCAGCCAATCAATGATCCTCTCTCATCATTGATGTTTCTATCTCTCTCTCCCTCTCCCTTCCTCTCTGAAACCAATAAAAACATTTTTTTAAAAATTAAAAAAATAATAAAAAGAAAATGTGGCCAGTGCAACTAAGGAACTGCATTTTTTTTAAGTTTACATATTTATATATGGCTAGTGGCTACTGAGCAGTAAAGACTTACAGGTTCAAAGGTGGTAAGAATGGACAACAGCCGAAACCGGTTTGGCTCAGTGGATAGAGCGTCAGCCTGCGGACTGAAAGGTCCCAGGTTCGATTCCGGTCAAGGGCATGTACCTGGGTTGCGGGCACATCCCCAGTAGGAGATGTGCAGGAGGCAGCTGATCGATGTTTCTCTCTCATCGATGTTTCTAACTCTCTATCTCTCTCCCTTCCTCTCTGAAAAAAAATCAATAAAATATATTTAAAAAAAAAAAAAAAAGAATGGACAACAAAATAATTGGACTTTTCTACAAAATTACAAACAGCAAGAAGTACCCCAAATCTAATTATAAATGTTAACAGGCCAATAAGATAAAACACTAAACCCAAAATATGTATTTTTGTCCTTACCTCTTTAAGGTTATTTATTTGTTGGATATAGCTAGTCTGTGCAGCCTCCAATTGAGTAATATACCAATGCTGGTCCCGGCATTTTTGAAAGAAAGTTGGTGAACGAACCTGAAACCTTAAAAAAAATAGCTGCACATGAAAAATAATCCAAATAATAAAATATCATCAAACAAGCCTTGAATCTATAACTATAAATTCTAAAATTTTAAGTTTCATTATCATGTGAGGCCAAAATTCAAAATGTACTCAGAGCTCTTCATATTTCCCATTTATACATGTACTTTACAAATTATAGTAAAATAAGGTTCTGTAAAGTCATCTATAAATCAGTTGTCTAAACTTAAACTGTAGAGTTCTAAAGAAATACCATTACATATCATGGTTAACCTACTAAAGCATTATTTGTTATAATAATCTAGCTAAAATACAAGGTTGATCATGACTCAAGAACAGGACCATACTATGCAGGAAGGAGGAAGCTAACATTTCTTGACTAGGTCAGGCCCTAGCAAAATAGGTAGTTTTTAGGCACTGCCCTTTTTCCTTCCTTCTTCCATCTCAATTTCCCTATTTCCTGTTCCTCAGTAAAAAATGACTTAAAAGGTCAACTGCCCAGAACTGCTTTACAGTTCCCCAGTCTCATGTTATAAATAACCTATATTCATGTTCTAAATTATATTCCCAACCCCTCCAGAGAGCAACACAAAATCAAAACTCTGCATATATCACAATATAGTATATTTTAGCTAGAGTTAAGAAAAAAAACAAATATCTAAATTAATGCCTATGGTGAATAAATGACAGGGTCTTAATCTATTCAGAGCTATCTCTGTATTTAAAAAGCTAATATGCATTAAAGCAGGGGTCCTCAAACTTTTTAAACAGGGGGCCAGTTCACTGTCCCTCAGACCATTGGAGGGCTGGACTATAGTTTTTAAAAAAACTATGAACAAATTCCTATGCACACTGCACATATCTTATTTTGAAGTAAAAAAACAAAATGGGAACAAATACAATATTTGTATTTGCATGTGGCCTGCGGGCCGTAGATTAAGGACCCCTGCATTAAAGCAAAAGAAGCCTTCCACCTTTGTTATATAGCCTAATATGACTCCAATTACAGTGGAAAAAAATTACAGTAACATATAAAGATGTTTCTAAAGAGTAACAAGAGGCAAGGCTGATTTGGAAGCTTGCAAATCCTCTATCTAGTCTTGCCAATCTTATGTTAACTACCATCCCATTCTTTTCCTACAATTTTACAGCTAGTGTAAGAAGCTACTGACCATCTAATAGTTGTCTGCAGCAGGTGTCTATTTTCCATAAGGATATTCATGTAGCAGAGAGTGGAAAAAGTTTACTGGACCACCATTCTGAGTGGATAATGCCTAGTCAGTATCCTATATAATAAAAGCCTAGTATGCAAATTGTTTGACCGGGAGTTCGACCACTCGCTATGACATGCACTGACCGCCAGGGGGCGGCGCAGAACATGGTGGGCGTGGGCGATGAAGTGCTGGAAGCAGGCGGGCAGTGGAGTTGCTGCCGGCCCCGATGGGCCCCGACAAGAATGGGACTGCAGCGGGATAGTGGAGGTGAGTGGGCGGTGCCAGGCCAAGGTGGGTGTGAACAGGGGCCCGATTACCCAAAAGACAGCGACAGCGTCAGGAGGCGGGGTCACCACCTGGCTCCCAGGCACTGAGGGAACTGGGTGGGCAGCCCGGCCACAATAGATCATCCCACCAACGGGATGGTGGAGCAACCAAGCCACAGTGGAGTGCCAGGTGAGGCTACAAGGCTAGGAGTGTGAGCTAGAGCCCAATCCCCACAGGCTACCCCGAGGGACCTCACCCATGCATGAATTTGTGCACCTGGCCTCTAGTACACGAATAAGATCTTTGAATGACTAATAAAAGCATGGTCAATCCTCAACATTTTTAGTGCCAAAACAAAAGCAAGCAACCCTGACCAGTGTCTCTCAATGGTTGGAGCATCAGCCCACATGCCCAAGGGTCAAGGGTTTAATTCCTGGTCAAGGGCACGTACCTAGGTTGTGGGTTCACTCCCAGTCGAGGCATATGCGAGAGGCAACTAGTCAATTTAACTCTCTCACATACATTTTCCTCTTTCTCTCTTTGTCCCCCACCCCTTCCACTCTCTCTGAAAAAGGAATGGAAAAAATATCCTCAGGTGAGGATTAACAACAAGAACAACAAAACGAAAGCAAGCAGAAGATAAAATTCCTTAACTTTCTTTTTTTTAATATAAAATAAATTGTTATTGATTTCAGAGAGGAAGGGAGAGGGAGATAGAAACATCAATGATGAGAATCATTGATCAGCTGCCTCTTGCATGCCCCCTACTGGAGATCAAGCTAAAACTTGGGCATATGCCCTGATTGGGAATCAAGCTGTGACCTCCTGATTCATGAGCCACACTGGCTGAGCTACACTTTTTTTCTTTCGTTAAAATAAAAAATAAATACATATCTATATGCTAATTGTTCCTCCAACCATTTGACCAGTCACTATGATGTGCACTAACCACCAGGGGTTAGACGCTCCAACCAGTACAGAGTCTATTTTTTAAGTATGCAAGTCCCCATTTGTAACATCAAATTAAAACATCTTGTAATGATGCTCAAAATTTCTGACTTGTGACAGTTACCCCAACATTAAATGGGGCTGTTGTGGTATGATAGTGTTTATGTTCTGTCCTTTCTTGCAAATAACACACTAACTAGTATCACTTAGTTTGATTCATCTCTATTCCCTTACTTTTCATTTGCTGTTATCTAGAAGGAACTGAAAATATTTTTGTGAAATTCAGCTTATAAAACCTGTCACCTTAATGTCAAGTGAAGAAAAAAAGCAAGTGACCGTGTTTTTGATTTGCAAATAGTGAGGTTGCAATAAGTTCAATGGATAAATAGAACCTTACTATATTTATTAGAAGTAGTAGTTTCCTTTTTATGGAATTACTAACTAAATGTCAACATTTCTAACTTAAATTATTCACTGACTACACAAGACTCCTGAAAGAAATGGTTAAGAACATAGTAAGATTATAGTTGGTATGAATTTCAATATTCACCTTTGTTAAATAGGCTTTTAAAATAAAGTTCTGGTGACATTATTCCCTCATGATAAAAACCACAATATCAAATGTTACCTATTACCTTAAAATTACTGTATCATTTTGTCGATTCAAGTATCCTTCATTTGCAAGTAAGTCCAAACGGAAAAATCTATTATAACCCCAGCATTCTCCAACTTCAAAGTCAGATGCAAACTCTCGAATGATGTTTTTCGTAGGATCATTGCAGGACTGATGAACCATTTCTACACGATATTCATATCTAAAATTAAAAAAACTGAATATTAATATAGTTGGTAAACCAGAATAAAAAGACTCATCAAAACATTATGGTCATTAATTACCTGAGAAGAAACTTTATATACAATTACATTTCTTTCAGAAGGATTGTATTATTTATAAAGACAGCAGTGTTATGAATGGCCTATCCCAACATGACTGGCAGTAGGTCTCTCTTTCCTCCCATATTGTTTATCAATATAGCAGGTGTAAAACATCACCTCAGTAAATAAACAAATTTGTATAAAATAGTACTTTCAAAGTTACTTTTGTTTGTTTTAGCAAAGCTATATGCTTTTTCATATATTCATTACCAATATTTCTTCACATGTAAAAATTCTGCCATTTCCTTTGAGATTTATCACCATGCAATTTTAAACTAAACAGTAAATTTTAAATACTCTATTTTTCCAATTCAAGTTAAAATAAATTAACTGTGCATTCAGAAATTCAAGCCTATAAACTCTTCTAACAGAAAATAAGTATAAATTGGTAAAGCCAATATATTCAGATTTCCCTATCTTATAAAGTATAAAACTTTCAAGTCTCCAAACTCATTTTTACTAAGAAAGCATTATTACAAAAAGAAAGAAAAGTGAAGAAATAAAGATAATCAGAAGGAAGACTCAACACTAATGTGGACAAAAAAGAGGTTCTATGAAAAATAACATCACAGGGTAATATGATCATAAATTCCTAAGTGCCCAGGTCATGGTGGGTAGTCATGCAGCAGGCCTATAATGTCTTTAAGCAAGGTTTTAAGCCAGCCCTGTCCATTGTTCTTGTGCATCTAGGTTAATACACTTAGAAGTAATACCCCCTGAATACAATCTTAACTATCCTTTAATCCATTCCCCACCTTGCTTTCTCCAATCTTTCTCCCCTCCTAATTTCAAATGCATAAAAGCTGCTGCAAGCCTGCTATTCTTGGGAGCATTTGAAATCCTGTTCACCAGCATATGTCATCAGTCTGGCTCAAATACATTTTTATAAAAATTCTCTACAAGTTTGCACATTCTTACATCAGTAGTAACCAAAATGCTTCTCCTTTTTGGCGGAGGTAAATTTTGTATCTGTGTGTGTGTGCTTTTAATTTAATTTTTCAATTACAGTTTACATTCAATTTACTTTGTATTAGTTTCAGGTGTACAGCAAGGTGGAGGTAAAAAAATTTTTAAATGTGTTTTTATTGATTTCAGAGACAGGAAGGGAGAGGGAGAGAGAGAGATAGAAACATCAATGATGAGAATCATTGATCGGCTACCTCCTGCACATCCCCTACTTGGGATCTAACCCACAACCTGGGCATGAGCCCTGGTCAGGAATCAAATCATGACCTCGTGGCTCATGGGTCAACACTCAACCACTGACCCACACCAGCCAGGCTGGAGGTAAATTTTTTAAAGAAAAACACAATAGCTCAACCTATTTCTGCTGGCAAAGTAGACATAAGAAAAAAAATTACAGCTCCTTACCTACAAATACTATGTGTTAGTATTTCTTTAAGCACTGTCAAATTATTTTTATATTAGTGTCTCTCATAATGTGTTATCTAGATTGATGACACAAAGAACTAACCAGTACAAAAGCTGTGATATTTTTTTGACTGTCTACATTTTATAGAAGTCATGAAGCCAGCTCCATAGTACAAAGGGTACCACTATATGTCCAGAAATAAACTCAAATATTGATGCACAATTGATCTTTGACAAGGGTGCCAAAATCTTTCAATAGAAAAAGAAAAGTCTCTTCAACAAAAAATTAACTCAAAATGGATCAACAACCTAAACATAAGGGGTAAAACTTACTTTCAGAAGAAAACATGGGGATACATCTTTATGAATTCAAATTTGGCAATGGATTTGTAGATTTGACTCCAAAAGTATAAGCAACAAAAGAAATCATAGATAACTTAGACTTCATTAAAATGAAAACTTTTTGTGCCCCAAAGGACATTATCAAGAAAATGAAAAGATAACCTACAAAATGGGAGAAACTATTGTCAAATCATATACCTGATAAAAATTTAGCATATGAGATAAAGTATACTTATAACAATTTAATAACAAAAAGACAAGCAACCCAATTTAAAAATGAGCAATGAACTTGAAAAGACATTTGTCCAAAAAAAGTTATATACAAAGGCCACTAAGCACATAAAAAGATGTTCAGTTTCACTGGTCATTAAGGAAATGCAAATCAAAACCACAATTAGATACCACTTCATACTAGGATAGATATAAAATATATTTTAAAATGGAAAATAAGTGTTGTTGAGGATGTGGAGAAATACAAATTCATGTAAATTGCCAGTAGGAATGTGGAATGGTACAGCCATTGTGGAGAACAGTCTGGCAGTTCCTCAAAATGTTAAACACAGAATTACCATATAAACCAACTATTCCACAATTAGGTATACATTAAATAAAGAAAGCATATGTCCCTATAGAAACCTGTACATGAATATTTATAGAATTATTCATAATAGCCAAAAAGTGAAAACAATCCAAATGTCCATCAACAAACCAATGATTAAACAAATTGAGGTATATATGTACATTGGGTATTATTCAAACATATTCTCCTATATAATAAAAGGCCAATATGCAAATCAACCGGACAGCAGAAAGATGGGTCACTATGACGCACACTGACCACCAGGGGGCAGATGCTCAATGCAGGAGCTGCCCCCTGGTGGTCAGTGCGCTCCCACAGGGAAAGTGCCACTCAGCCAGAAGCCCTGAGCCAGGCTCATGGATGGTGAGCACAGCGGCGGTGGTGGGAGGCTCTCCTGCTGCCACTGTAGTGCTAAGGATGTCCAACTGCCAGCTTAGGCCTGGACTGCAGTAAGACGCAGGTCAGGTTGAGGGACCAGCCCACCCCCGTCCCTGCCCTGACTGCATGAATTTCATGCACCGGGCCTCTAGTAAAGGAATAAAGTTGATACGTGCTACAACATGAGTGAACCTTGCAAACACTATGCTAAGCCAAACACAAAAGTTACAATATTATATGAACTTTTATATGAAATATCCAGAATAGGCAAATACAGAGAGAAAGCAAAGTAGTATTTGTCTAGGAATGGGCAGTGCTTACTTAATGGGTATTCTGGGGTGAGAAAAACATGCTGAAATTAGAGAGAGGTGGTAGGTGTACAACACTGTAAATGCACTGCATTTCACTGAACTGCATATTTTTATATGGTTAATTATATTTCATGTAAATTTCACCTAAAAAATAAGTTTTTTTACTATTTTAAAAGTGCGTAGTGAAAAACTCAAAACTCACAGAGAAACAATCAAGAATACTGAAAAATTCGGGAAGATATTAATGCAGATGGTCAAATACATCCAGGAAAAGGATAGGTAGAAGTTTAAAGTCAATATAGAAGTTTTTGAAAAATCAGTCCCTTTGTATGAAAAATCATATAATGCTTGAAAAAAAGTCATTTTTTCACTGCATTAGTTCTTTAAAATCATGACTAATATAGACCTATTTTTCTAATAAATATGGCAATTAATCCAAGTTAAATTACACAGCACCTCAACTTCAATCTTAGATAAAACGAAAAACTTAAATTGGAACATTCCAACTTAAATTCTTTCCTTCTATCAAACTGAAAGTCTGAATAAATTTAACAACTGTTAAGTTAAAATTTTAGTCTGACTAAAATTACTCCCCCAGAAAAATTCTACTCTTTCCTTCAACCACTCAAATTCCTGTTTCTAAAACAAGTCACTCAGCATATACTGTTAAGAGTCAATTCCAGGATGTCACTCAAGTGCAGATTTCCTCTGAAAGCCCACACATATGTGAATGCTAACACATGCCTATTGTATTGAGAAACTTAAGCATAATAAAATTATGGAAAAGTACTTCTGCAGGGTCCCAGGTGATATTAAAATCTACTAGACAATGATACAATAATTTTTTATTCCTTATTTTGACAGTTAAACTACCTCAACTGTTAAACTCTTAATTGCATAATTAAATGACATTTCAGTATTTGATGAAAAAGTATTCAAAACTCTTCTCTAGGATTACTGAAGCAGTAAGAGAATTAACAGATAATAAGATATCTTTTTTCAGAACTTATCACCATCTAGCTTTGTTATTATACCACTGCATATACAGTATCAGAACCATGTTCTACCATCCTGTCCTTTATGCTTTATTGTCATGTATTTTACTTCTACATTTATAAACCGTAAAATACAATGTTAATATTTGTTGTTTAAATAGTAAATTATCATTTAAAGTTATCTTAATAGTAAAAAATTTTTAACTTAACCAAGCAATTTCCATTTCTGCTGTTCTTAATTTGTTTAGATTCAGATGTCCAACTAGTATTATTTTCCTTGTATGTACAGCAGGTGCTTTAACATTTCTTATAGTCCATGTTTGAAAATATGCCTGAAAATGTCTTTACCTTACCTTTATATTTTAAAAGATATTTTTGCGGGGTACAAAATCCTAAATTTTTTTTTTCCATCAGCCTTTCTAAGACGTCCCTTTATAATTCCACTGGTACTGTTCCCAGTGAAAACTCTTGATTTTATCCTTACCTTTGTGCCTCTATAAATGCGGTTTTTTTCCACTACTAGTTTTTTTAAATATATTTTTATTGATTTTTTGCAGAGAGGAAAGGAAAGGGATAGAGTTAGAAACATCGATCAGCTGCCTCCTGCACACCTCCTACTGGGGATGTGCCCACAACCAAGGTATATGCCCTTGACTGGAATTGAACCTGGGACCTTTCAGTCCACAGGTAGACGCTCAATTCACTGAGCCAAACTGGTTAGGGCTCCACTGCTAATTTAAGATTTTCTGTTTATCAATAGTTTTGAGCAATTTGATTATAATGTGCTTTGATGTTCCCCCTTCATGTTTCATCTGCTTGTAGTTCATTGAGTTTCCTAAATCTGTGTGTTTTAATTTTTATCAAGTTTAGAAAGTTCTCCCCATTTTTTCTTTATTTGTTCTTCTGATTCCCTCCTTTAAGGAATCCAGTTATCTATACATTAAGTTGTTTCAGGTTGTTCTGTTTTGGAATTTGTTTTTCTATGCTTCATCTTGGACAGTTTCTATTGCTATGCCTTCAAGTGTGAGTAATCTTTTCTTTTGCAATATCTAACCTGTCATTCATGCCATCCAGTGTACTTTTCATTTCCAATATAGTTCATTTTCAAGTTCAATTTGAGTCTTTTATATATCTCTACTTAACTTTTGAACAAGTGGAATAGTTAGAACTGTCTTAAATGTCCCTGTTTCCTACTTCTCACATGAAAACCAAGCTCTTTTTTAAAGCCAGACATTCAAAGATTTCAAAAAATCTAAAACACAAGCTTCTCATCAAATATTATTTCACTTCAAAAAAGTTATATTCATGAAAATGGTCTTTATGTTAACACATAATTATAATTTTTAAGTGAATTAATAAAATTTTTAAAATCTTGTTTTAATTTCTAATTCAGATAATATCAATAGATATAATCCACATAAAGAAAAAGTTCTTGCTTAATTTTGACTGAGTATTCTCATTATTGGTTATGTCTTCCCATCTCTTTGAATGCCAATTAAACTTTGATTGAACAGCACATATTGAATATTTTACTTTGTGGGGTGCTGGACATTTTGTGATCTTACAAATTTTCATGAGCTTTGCTCTGGGGTACAATTATTTGAAAATATGATCCTTCGAGATTGTGCTTTTATTTTTTAGGTAGGTCTAGAGCAGTGCTCAGTCTAGAACCTAGCTGTTCCCCTCTACTGAGGCAAATGCCTCATGAATTATAAATTTCTCCACTGTCATAATGGGAACAGACAGATCCTGGCCCTGTATGAACACCAGACACCACTTCATGTAATCCTTTCAGATTATTTTTTCCCCAAACTCAGCTTCCTCACAAATGAGCCCTAAACGGTACTCTTCTGAGTACTTGAAGGGAACACCCTACAGATCTCTGGAGCTCTCTGCCTATGCAGCTCTCTCCTCTCTGGTATTCTGTCCAATACACTCAAGCTACGTCAGTCTTCCTGGACACTCAGCACTGTCTACTCCATGCAGGGAGTCTGCCACACTATCTCAGTTCACCCTCCTGAAAATTCTCTCATGGCTGTAAACTGGGGTAATCATAGAACTCATCTGTCCATTTCTTATCTATTGGGAATTGCTTCCATTGGTTGCCTCATGTCCAATGCCTAGAAAATGTTTATTTTTCTCTTTTCTTTTTGGTTATTCCAAGAGAAAGGGTTACTCTTCTATTACTCCATTATAACTGAAAGCAGACATTTCATATCACATCAATACATTTTAATGTAATAAAGTCAAATTTACTAATATGGTTTTACATTCCACATTACAAATTACATTTACCAACCAAGCACTCATTCAATTTGGTGTAATGTCAAAGAAGAGTCACAATTATCTAAAACTGCTTTTTCAAATGTTCCTCCCTTTTAACCACAAGAAAAATTTCTTTTTATAACTTTGGTAACAAAGACTTATTGTTATTGATCATTTCTCAGTGCATAAAAATACTGAATTATTATACTGCACACTTGAGACTAATATAATGTTATGTGTTAATTAGACCTCAATATTAAAATAAATATGTTTATCCTTAACAAACAAAGGAGATTAGTGGTTGCCCGGGACAGGGAAAGAGGAATAGGAAGTGACTGGTAATGGGTATAGAATTTCTTTGTGGGATGATAAAAACGTTATAAAATCAGATATTAGGGATGTGTTGTAGAACTTGGGGAATAACACACACAAAAAATCTACTGAATTGTACACTTATTTATAAGATAAATTTTATGGGAGTTAAATCATATCTCATTAAAAAAAACTTTTCTCAACTGCATGATATTCAAAATCTGTGAGGCTAGATTTTATATATAGATTTCAACCAACAGAACTTATTGCACACAAATTAAATATAGAAGCAGATATGGGAATCCAGCCATCTTCTTTTTAAGTATATATCAAGAGATTTCCAAAAGTGCAAAATACATATATTTTTATCAGGAAAAAAATATTTATGTTAATATACAATAGGTTATTATTTTTAAATTAATACAATTTTTGTATTTTTTTCCTCTGTTTTAACTTCTAATTCAGAAAGTATCACTAGATATAACACCCATAAAAAAAATACTCATTAGGGTTCCCAATAAACTTTAAGAGTATAAAGAGTCCTGAGGCCACACAATTTGAGAACTGCCAGTCTATGTCATCACCCTATTTCTGGGATATACACTTTCACAAATGTAATACAGTAATTAACAAAAAAGTTAATAAAAAAATTATAAAGAGGAATGTACCAGTATGTAAACACACACTAAACTTTGTTATTTAATCACATGTCTTACTTGGAAGTTTCAGGCAAGCCAGCTGAGAGTTCCAGAAACACAGATAAGTAGTAACCACGAACAACTCCATTTCCATCCTAAAAAAAAAAAGAAAAAAAGAAAGAAGTTATAGAAATACAAATTCCAGCCACAATTAAAAAAAAAAAATACAGACTAATATATGATATTTGGATTGGGAAGTACTTCTAAACTTAGAAGCAATAAGAAAAATAACAGAAAGACCAAAAGATTTGATTTTGTAACAATTCAAAAAACTTTTTTACATTAAGAAAAATACCTGATGGCTGCCTTTCCAGCCACTTTCTGAGCTATAGAGGCATAACATGCACTCGTGTCTTGTTGGCTGGTTTGCTGTATATGTTATTGTTAATAATAAATGTTCCCTCCTGTTCAGATTGACAACAAAGTGGCACAGAAGCCAACTTGAAGAGATTAAATATGTGTAAATCCATGAGTTCATATTTTTTAAAACTTAATTAATCACTTTCAGAGAATATGGAAAACTGGTAAATTACAGGAAAGAATCCTGCCTCTTCTAAATGAACTGTTATTGATTAATCAAATAATAAAGGAAAGTATCTCTTTATAAAAGTATGACAACTACTAGTAAAAACAAAACAAAAAAAACCCATAAAATGAGAATATCACAGTTTTTGTTTTGAAATATATTTTATTGATTTTTTACAGAAAGGAAGGGAAAGGGATAGAGAGTTAGAAACATCGATGAGAAACATCGATCAGCTGCCTCCTGCATACCTCCCACTGGGGATGTGCCCGCAATCAAGGTACATGCTCTTGACTGAAATTGAACCTGGGACCCTTGAGTCCGCAAGCCGATGCTCTATCCACTGAGCCAAACCGGTCAGGGCAGAGAATATCACTGTTTTGAGTGATATAGGCAATGAGCATCAATAGCTGCCAATACCACAAAGAGATACGACTAGACATCATGTGATTTAAAAAAACAGCACTACTTATATTCTTGCCATAGGAATGAACTATGTATCTCATCATGCCACTGAATCCAGCTGCCAATTTACAGAAAATACATAGATCAAGGGAACATACTGAAATTTACAATGAGTATGCAATTAGCATACGTATGCTCTGATGGCTTTCTGTATTTTATTTTTAAAAATGCTTTTAAAAATTTTAAACACATCTTCTGAAGACAAGAATCTTCATACAAACAAGAAATAAGAGTCAACAATGTCTGGATTCATACTGTTCATATTTAATTCACTTTTCTGTAGAATTAGTAATAGAACTTATAAAGAAACATTAAAATTGTCTTTAATTTCTTACTCCACCAAAAAAGTGAACCAGTGTACTACAGAACCCTGAAAGAAAGATCTTGGGTTTAAAAGAATTATTAAAAATATGAAAAACTTACTGGGTAAACTTTTAATCTCCAACAAAGTCCTGAAACTTGAAGAGGTGGACTGTAAACAGGATCTGCTCTCTGGCGCAAAGTGCTAAAGTAAAAGAAAACCAATCAAATCAAAGGATCAAAACCAACCACTTTACTTATGTTACTTACTTTAAGCCATGGACAAAGTAAAAGGTGACTAATCAAGTCAAGATTAGACTGGATAAATTTATATATAGTTGCATTTAGAAATAAAATAAAATTTAATAATACTGAAATATTCAGCAGTATCTTCAGTTTTAGGTCACCTCAAAACTGTGATATTTAAGAGAAAAGGGAAAATAACTAAGTATACTGAATTTAATTAACATTTCAACAAGTAATCTTTCACCAATAAAAAAGAAAAAAAAAGCCTCTCTTCCTCATATCCCTGGTAGTATAATTACCCTTTTTTTTAAAATGGAAAAACAAAAAGAGCTTGTGCTAAATCTTAATGTATGTGGGGAAAGTCTTGGAAAGTTTATATTTTAGCCACAAAATTATCCCATAAGAAAAACAAATTATGTATGAAGTGGTATAAATTCTCAGTTTGCCTTATTTTGATGGTTAGCACCTCCTGGAATTTTCCTCCCCAGGCAAGACCTTATATTCTTGGTTTGCAGCCCTTGAAGACAAATTTCTAGGACCTTTTTTTTTATGGTCTTCATTCATAATCTTAGAGAAAAATAATGGCTAAAAAAAAAAATTAACATGTAAATTACAAAGCTTAAAATAATGACTTCTTGTCCTCACTTTTGAGTTCAGAGAAAATGGACCCAAATGGACTTGTTATTCTCACTTTTATTTCTAAAGATGGGTAATGGGCTCATTGACCCCTATCATCCCATTCACCCCATCTTAACAAAGGCCAAGTGGACCCTATTGTATAAGACATGACTCCCTTCCCCTGACTAGAGAAGCAATTGGTCCTGAAGAAATAATACAATCCAAACAATTGACCATTATGCTTCTAATAGGAAATTTGTTTCTGCTAAGACAACACTGAGTGTCACAGTTCATTAGTCTATATCCTACCCTGGAATAACACCTTCCTGGTACATACTAAAATCCAGAGTTGTCAAAAACTCTTACCTGAAATTCTCTAAAACAAAAGTAGCTGAATCATAAGATGGTACTAATTCACTAAAAAAAAGGAAAGGCAAATTATTATTTGGCTTCTGTAAGTTTAACGTTTCATTTAGTTAAAAAACAGAGTCCCTTTATTGAATTAAAATAAGTCCCTAAGAAAATTCTTAATCCTCATTAAAAATAACATAAAATCAAATAAATTCATAAAACCATCAGAAGATTAATTACATCAAATGTTTGCAATGAAATAGAGGACTAAACAAATACTTTATAAAAAATCTTTTTTTACAAGGCAATATATAATTAAGTATTAAAATAAGAGACAAAACAGTACTCATAAAATAGGAAAAGGAAGAAACTGATGCTTAGGCTAGAAACCTGAAATACAGAACCAATATAAACAGATTTAAAAACCAAAAGAAACAACAAAAACAAAAGACATCACAATAAATTCCCAAACTTCCGTCTTCAGAACAAATTATGAGGAATACTGAGAGACCCTAAAGAGAATTTTTACTAGGAAATAAACCTATGCAATATTATAGGATAAGAATACATAATCACAAAAGGGGCAAGCCTTAGGATGGACTAGCACATTAACAGTTCTTGGCAAAGCAAGATTACCTCAGGCAACTTTAGTGTCATAAGGGCTTCTCCAAAGAGAAATGAACTATGATCACATAAGGTAGGCACAATGATAGACCACCTGGCTGCTAAATATCCTTATATCATGAGAATAGTCTGTAGCATTTTCATTAGAATACCATAGAGTCACAGTCACTAAAACTTTTATGATACAGACACTGCCATACATAGTACTGTAACACAGTGTTATACATTTAATATATAAAACTATAAATTTACCATTAAGATAAAACTGTAAGCCATTCACATCTGCCGATCTACTTATTGAAGTTCAATTCATGAAAATTTGTGATTACCAAAATAAGATATAAGATCCATCCATACCATTTTCACACTATTATAGTGCCTAAAAAAATTTGTGGTTTGTGCCCTAGCCGGTTTGGCTCAGTAGATAGAGTGTCAACCTACGGACTGAAGAGTGCCAGGTTCGATTCCGGTCAAGGGCACATGTCTGGGTTTCAGGCTCGATGCTGAGTAGAGGGCATGCAGGAGGCTGCTGATCAATGACCCTCATCATTGATGTTTCTATCTCTCCCTCCCTCTCCCTTCCTCTCTGAAATCAATAAAAACATATTAAGAAAAAATTAGTGGTTTGCCAGTAAAAATATAGATTAAAAAATTCATTATTGTTTTTTTTTATGATAATAGCTCACATCTTTTTTTCATCTCCTTCAGAGGTTATCTGAAATTGTGCCAACGTTAACCACTCGGCTTACAAGTAAGGTACAGCTTTATCTTCTCAGTTTTCTTTATTTCTTTACCTCCTCTACTCTGGTCTTTAAGATGACTGAATTTATTACTTTAAACAAAAAATTCTTATCTTTTATGTTCTACCTGAGGACAACTATACAGTCTTATTTCCTACAACACCCCACCAATAGTCCTACAAATTCTGGTTGAAATAATTTCCTTGCTATCCTCCAAATATAGCAGCTCCTATCACATCCTAAATGTTTCAAGATCTTCTATGATTTCTTTCTAGATTATAAAGTTTTGACCACACTAGTCTTTTCAGAATTTCTGACAGAAGAGTATATAACTGAGTAACACATACTGGAATTTAAGTTACAATTCTCTACTATTTAATTTGAAATATATACTCAGTAAATTAGTTCCTCTTCCATGTCTCCTTTGCAGCACCCACAACAGCACTGAGCACATAGTCTTGAATAAATAACATTGCATTTGCTTAATGACCTTTTATTCTCCATTGTGGCTCCATCACCAATCATCAATTGATGGAATTTCACCCAGTCCCATGATCTTAAAGCTTAGAACATTCACCACTGCTTTGCACATCTAAACTTTGGTCTGTAACTTAATGTCAATAAATGCGGCCTTTCTTATTTGGCCCTCTTTCTTTGCTGATCAATGCACTAACATATGAACACACCTGTTTCCTGTGTACTGATTGCCACTCATAAACTAAGTTTATAATAAAAATTATGGTTCAGTTATAAGACAAAATTTCCAGTAAGAATAAGCATTCCTGGTGAGAGGGAGTACTACAGGGACCTTCACCCATGGCAAGCTCCCTAATTATCAGATTTGTAAAAAAAAAAAAAATTTTTGGTGGTTTCTTCTTTATTGATGTGCCTTCTACCGAAACCCTCACCCCCCTGGTGTCTGTGTCCATTGGTTAGGCCTATATGCATGCATACAAGTCATAAGGCTGTTTCTTAAATGTACCACAGTTCTCAAAATGCTAGAAATACTTGATAGTATTTCATAAGCCATGTCTAAAGTTTAAGATGAACTAAAGTCTGTCATACCAATGTATTTCTCTGAAGCAGTGGTTTAACCTCTCATCTCAGGAATAAGCTGAGTTAAAAAAAAGAAAAAAAGACTACAAACTCCTACCTGTAGCCAATGTTACGGACTGAATTATGTCCCCCCAAATTCATATGTTGAAGCCCTAACTTCGAGCATGACTATATTTGGAGACCTTTAGGGAGATATTTAAGGTTGAATGATGTAGTAAGAGCAGGACCCTAACCCTAACCAGGGTTTGTTAATTAACAAACAATATGCCTCGTTTCTTTAGAAGAGGAAAAGACACCAGAGAAAGACACCTTTTCTATGCATGAAGATAAAAGGTCATGTTGAGAACAGAGCAAGGAGCCAGCTGTCTACAAGCCAAGAGGAGAGCCTCAACAGAAATCACATTTTCTAGCACTTTGATATTAGACTTCTTCACCCCCAGAACTGAGCAAATAAAATTCTGCTGTATAAGCCATCCATTTGTGGTATTTTGTTATGGCAATCCAAGCAAACTAATACGCTCACAGAGATTTTATTTCAAATGTCCTGGGGGTATGGGCCAACAGTGGTAAATTTCCAAAAGAATCCCAAGTGAATCTAACATACAACCAGTGTTAAGAATCACTGCTCTTAACAGCACAGGGTAATTTAAACATGCTTAAAAAAATATGCTGTTCAGAAGAATTCTAAGACTGCCCAGGGTAAAAACTAAAAAGATACATAGAAAGCAACCAACTATTATTTCCAGATTTTTTAGGATCTGGAGAGAACATCTTATCACCATTAAAATCTTTTGGCACTTCATGCTTTATGTGTTTTCCTTTTGAGAACATACATGTAAATGAGTTATAGTCACTGTGTAATAAGATATAAGTAAACTCAAAGGTAAATAAAAGGATGGATATGAGAAAACACGGCTGGACCTTGAGAACATTATGCTAACTAAAACAAGTCAGACAGAAAGAAAAGTGCTATATGATCTCATGGATATGAGGAATCTTTAAAAGAGAAGTCAAAAGGTACCAACTTCTAGTTACAAAACAAACAAGTTTATAGAACTATATTTTACAGCATGGTGATTATAGTAATAACACTGTATTGCATATCTGAAACCTACTAAGAGAGGTCTTAAGAAAAAAATGTTTTCTATGTATGGTGATGGATGTAAACTATAATCTAGACTAATTGTGATAATTTCTCAGTATATAAAATATATCATTATATCATCCTGAAACAGGATGTTATTTCAAGTAAGAAAAGGAATGAACGGACAGACATGAAATAAACTGTGATCAATTATTTCTTCTCTACAGTATGGAAGATGAAGATCCAGGAAGAAACCAATTCCTAATTCACTACCACCCTCTCTTTTCACTAAAAAATGCATAAGTCCACAAGAATTTTTTTAAACCAGATTTATATGCATAAACTAAAGTTCGCTAGACCACATCATTATAAACAGAACCTTAAAAAATGAAGCAAAGAAAAACAGCGTTTTTTAAAAACGATTATGTGCATTTGCACATAAACTTAATATGAAAATGAAATTTAAAAACTGTGTCATACCTGGTAAAATCTGGTGGAACAGGAGTGGTAACAAAGGATGCCATGGGCTTGCGATGAACTTGCTGAAACATCATGAGGATCTCTGAGCTCTTAGATATCAACTCACTCTTACTACAAGATCGTAACTGTGTGAGGAAACAAAGTACCTGACTAAATAAACAAAATTACTGTTCAGTGGCAAATAAAAATTGTTTTGGTTATATACTGAAAAAAATTAGGTTAAAAAAATAGAATGACTTAAAGTGGGTTTTAGAATGAAAAATCTACAAAAAAATCTAGGTTATTTATTTCTATTCTAAACAATATAGTCAGGGAGTAAGTGTATTTGATTTTAAAGCATTTTTCTCTCCTCATATCTTAGGGTAAATCCAATTTTAAAAAACTACAAATATACTTTGCACTACAGTGAAGTCATTAGGTATATTAATGAACAAACTCCTATAGGTTTATAGCCTTCAAATAGGTTTTCTCAAAATGTATTCCAGGGACCAGAGAAACATTAAGATGTAATGCACACACAAAAAGTTTTAAGCTATATCGATTTGGGAAACAGCCAAAGGTAAAAAAGTGGTAAATCCAACTTTAGTAAAATAAGCATGGTAGTTAAGACTACTAATTTTGTATTCAAAACAACTAGTTCGAAGTTCTAATTCTGCTACAAACTAATTATATGATGCTGTCAGTTCATTTGCAAAACTGAAATAATACCTATGATTGTTTTGCTGGGTTTAACAATCATGAAGCTGAATGTGAAAAAGCTTTGTAAACTATTAAGAGCTAAACTGTGTCTCCCCAAAACTCTTATGTTGCAGTCCCAATTCCTCAGAATGTAATCGTATCTATCTATATATAAAAGCCTAATATGCAAATTGTCCCCTCAGTTCGACCGGGAGTTCAATCTCTCGCTATGACATGTGCTGACTACCAGGGGGCAGTGCAGAACAAAGGAAGGCCCCAGCTGGCAGCCTGGGAAGGGAGGCCCTGATTGGCCCTGATCGCAGGCCAACCCTAGGGATGCTACCCTGCATGAATATCATGCACCGGGCCTCTAGTTTGGAGATAAGGTCTTTAGAAAGCAGAGAGAAGGCAGCCATTCACAAACCAAACTGAAGGACCTCAGGGGAAACCAAACCTGCCAATATCTTGATGTAAACCAGCCTCTAGAACAGGGGTGGGCAAACTTTTTGACTCCAGGGCCACAATGGGTTCTTAAACTGGACCGGAGGGCCGGAACAAAAGCATGGATGGAGTGTTTGTGTGAACTAATACATGTTAACACTGCTGCTGGTGAAGGAGCGGAGGGGAGAGCAAGAGAACCCTCTGCTCTTTCGGCTCCGCAGGCCAGATAGAACAGCCGAACAGGCCGGCTCTAGGCCGTATCCGGCAGGCCGTAGTTTGCCCATGGCTGCTCTAGAACAATGAAAATAAATTTTTATTGTTTAAGCCTCCCCCGAGGATGTTTTTATTGACTTTGCAGTGGTTCTCAACCTTCTGGCCCTTTAAATACAGTTCCTCATGTTGTGACCCAACCATAAAATTATTTTTGTTGCTACTTCATAACTATAATGTTGCTACTGTTATGAATCGTAATGTAAATATCTGATATGCAGGATGGTCTGAGGTGACCTCTGTAAAAGGGTCGTTCGACTGCCAAAGGGGTCGCGACCCACAGGTTGAGAACTGCTGCTTTAGAGAAAGAGTAAAGAGTAAGGGGGATAGAAGGGGGGAGGGGAGAGGGAGTGAGAAAGAGAAAGAAATATTGATGTGATAGAGAAACATCGATTGGTTGCCTTCTGTACATGCCCCGAAAGGATCAAACCAGCAACCCAGATATGTGCTTTAAAAAAACAACACTTTTTTGAGGAATAACTGACATAAATGATGTAAGATAAACTGCATGTATTTAAAGTGTGTAATTTGATTAAGTTTTGACAAATGTATATGCCTGTGAAGCCATCACCATAGTCAAGATAGTGAACTTTACCATTATCTCCCAAAATTTGTTTGCGCTTGTTTGTAAGCTCTCCTGATTCCTTCCCCCTCCAGGCAACCTCCTATCTGCTTTCTTTCATTATAGATAAGTTTCCATTTTCTGGAGTTTTATGTAATTGTAATCATACACATTACGTACTCATTCTATGTCTGCCTCCTTTTTTGAGCAAAATTATTTTGCAATTTGCTCATATATCAATTGTAGCTTTATTTGTAAAAGCCAAAAAAAAAAAAAAGAAAAAGAAAAAGAAAAAGCGCAACCCAAACAGCCATAAACAGCTGAATGAAAACACAAATCATGGTATATAACATATAATAAAATACTACTCAGCAATTAAGAAGGAAAAGCAGCCCTAGCTGGTCTGGTTCAATGGTTAGAGTGTCGGCCCACAGACTAAAGGGTCAAGGATTCAATTCTCGTCAAGGGCACATACCTTGGTTGCAAGCTCAATCCCGGGCCTGGTTGGGGTGCATGCAGGAGGCAACCAATCAATGTGTCTCACATTGATGTTTCTCTCTATCTGTACCCCTCCCCTTCTATTCTTTCTAAAAAACAATGGGAAAAAATACCCCAAGTAAGGATTAACAAAAAAAAGGAAAGGCAGATGAATCTTGTCCCCTCTTTAGCAGCACATATACTAAAATATGAACAATACAGAAAAGATTAGTATAGTCCCTGCACAAGAGTGACACGTTAAAAAAAAAAAAAGACGACTATACCAAATAGTTATGTAACACTACACAATTATTTATTCATTCACTATATACTTAACACTCACCTACCAGCAAACTAAAATATAAACTCTATGGGGACAGATTTTTTTACTATTTTGTCCATTGCTATGTTCCAAATACCTAAAACAATGCCTGATCTTTGATACTTAACTAAAATGTACTTAATAAATAAAAACACTAAGTTTATAATAAAAATCACATAGTATATATAGGTAATAGGCAATAATATTCTGTCTCAAAGGCACCACTTAAGTCACAAGGTCAGAGATTTTAATCTTTTATAGACTTAGATGCTATGCACCATTCTTACAAAACAGAATAAATCTTAATTTTATTTAGTTCCCAAACCTGATGGAGAAAACATAGAATCAGCTAAATCCTATTTCATAAAAATCCCTAGTATAGCACATAGATCACAAGATCTTTTGATCTTATATAATCGCTATCAAAAAGAATTTTAAAGTATGTGGACAAAAAAGGGTAAAGACTTCATTACATTTAATATTTCATTACCTGGTGCTCTACCTCCTGAAGTAAGGATTCCAAAAGCTCTGTTTCTTGTGTTAGAGAAGTCTTCTGACCTATTTAAAAATAACAAAACACCAATACTCATGCTCATTATTATTTTAATAAAATTAACTTTCACGAAATACATTCAATTACAAGAAATTAATTTTAGGAAAGCAAAACTTCATTACAGCTATCCTAAAAATTTTTCTCAGAGCTTTAAGAGGTTGATTCTAAATTCTAATAGCTCTGACAAGAGGATTTCAGAACCAACCCTAACTACAGTTTTAAACAAAATGTAATTTAGATTTTTTATTAAATTCATCTAAGAAATATACAATGACAATATACTTTGTAAAGAAATTAATGTTACTGCTTCTTCTAAAAGGGCTATAATGATTTAGAATAGTAAACTTTTTACTCAGTCAACAATTCTGAAATAATTCCTCCCCAAAACTTAAAGTGTTGGCATAAAAAAAAAAAAGTAAGTGGGCCATATATTTATGTTTACTGTCAGCAAAAGGTTATGTTCTTTGAACATAAGAAGAACCTGTAAAAAAAGAATGCCCCAAAGTTCTCAAGAAACTGGAAAAACACAGGAATAAAGGAATCATTATTACAGAAATTACTACCAAAAAGGAAGAAAGAAACTGCTTCATAGGTTAAAAAGAAAGTTAACAAGATAGGCATACTTGCCTAATCAGACCATTGTCTTTTTAAATCACAAAGTCTGAAGAGCTGGAAGCATATCCAGTGAGGCTAATAGAAGTTATATTAATTTGGAGTAATGTTTTTGATAAGGGGAACACTTAATAGGAGGAATTTTTATTTTTAAACCAATCTTTTCCTAGCATAAAGAACTCACCAACCTTTTCTCTTCAAAGATTGAACCTGAGCCCCAGTTACTCCAGCAGCATAGAAAAACACTCACCCATCAGTGTTATAAGCTTATTCTTCAGCTGCGTGTCTAGTCGTGCAATCATCATCTCCACTGCATTCCTAATTTCCCGAACACGCTCATCTTTTGCATTTCTTACAGCTTCTACATTTCTTTCCTAAAAAATAAACAGGTAGCAGGTTCAAATCCCAGTCAGGGCACACACCTAGGTTTGGGGTTCATTACCCAGTTGGGGCACATACGACAGGCAACTAATCGTTTTTTCTCTCTCACATCGATGTTTCTCTCTCTCTCTGCCCCCCCCAACCCCCCACTCCTCTCTGTAAAATCAATAAACATATCCTCAGGTGAGGATTACAAAAAAAAAAATAATAAAGAAAAAAAAAGCATAAGCTAATAATCCTTTTTAATTATTCATATATCATAGAAAAATCATGGCCTTAAAAACATTGTACATTGAAAAGAATCAGGAAATATATTTCTTAAAATTAAACAATAAAGCTGGGCTGGTGTGGCTCAGTGGTTGAGCGTCAACCTATGAACCAAGTAGGGGACATACAGGAGGCAGCCAATTGATAAATCTCATACTTGATGTTTCTATCTCTCTTTCCCTCTCCCTTCCTCTCTGAAATCAATAAAAATATTTTTTAAATAAACAATAAATAAACCATAAACAATAAATAAATAAAGTATAAATAAAAGATAGGTATGTAATTACAAAAATTGGTTTAGGTAACATACAGAACACATACTCAAAGCCCCAATTATATCTCTTATAAGAAACCATTTCAAACCAAAAGTTTACTAAGGGGAACACTTAATAGGAGGAATTTCACATCGTGCAAAACCCTAAAATAATTTAAAAAATTTTTAAACCATATCTACAGAGTTTTTTTTTTTAGAAGAAAAAAATAGATTTTCAAAGACTGCAGAGTACATGGAGATTTTTTAACAGCAAAACTCAGAAAAAAGCATCATTTCCTATACTTACTATTATTATAAATACAAGCAGTAAGAATCGCAACCTAGAATACTCTTCCTAATAACCACATTATAATATTGCCAAGAGAAAACAGAAAAAAAAAAAAGGTAAAGGCCAAATGATTTTGTAGATAGTATACATACAACTCAAAAACATTACTTTCTGTATAAAAAAAGTTATAATGATCTGAAACTTTATTCCTGAAGGTGGATAAAGATGACATCTTAAGTTAGGAATGGTCCACAAATCTCATTTATAACAATTATCAATCTGGCAACTTTAAACAAAATATATTCCAAAAGTATATATAGTATTTAAATGTTTGAAGCTTAATGAATTTTCCCACAGAACTATTATAAATGGTAAATAGCTCACCAAAACTGTTTGACCCATACAGCATCCAAAGAGTACTATTACATATTACTCTTTTAATTCTGCAGAGTTCTAATTCAGGACATCAGAAATAATTCATTCCTTCGCAGCAGAAACCCCAAAAGCTGGGGGCCCAAAGAATGAAAAATTTAATGACTTTCTAAAAGTCAATATTGAGTGTATAACAAAACAGGCTTATTTAACTCATTAACTGATTCCAGACAATTCTCTGGCTCCAACTACAGAACAGGCTAGGGGTTTAGACTCTAATTCCTAGGCTAGGGTGACTATAAATATATCCTATCAAATTTTCAAATTTTGCCTGGCTGGCATGGCTCAATGGTTGAATATTGACCTGTGAATCAGGAGGTTACGGTTCAATTCCGGTCAGGGCACATGCCCAGATTGCAGGCTTGATCACCAGTGTCGGTCGGGTGTGCAGGAAGGAGGCAGCTAATCAATGACTTTCATCATTGATGTTTCTCTCTCTCTCTCTCTCTCTCTCTCTCTCTCTCTCTCCCTCTCCCTTTCTCTCTGAAATCAACAAAAAATATATTTAAAAATATATATATGCCTAAAATTATTTTAAATCTTAATTTCAACATCTGATTGATTTATATTATAAAAATATATAGTATAGACTATAGTATACATAGTATAGACCAGGGGTGGGCAAACTTTTTGACTCGAGGGCCACAATGGGTTCTTAAACTGGACCGGAGGGCCGGAACAAAAGCATGGATGGAGTGTTTGTGTGAACTAATATAAATTCAAAGTAAACATCATTACATAAAAGGGTACGGTCTTTTTTTTTTTTTTTTTAGTTTTATTCATTTCAAACGGGCCGGATCCGGCCCGCAGGCCGTAGTTTGCCCATGGCTGGTATAGACTATCAAAAGGATAATCATCTTTTAGTAGTAGTCTTACCACTTCTTGAACTAAGCTGATTAGTTCCATGAGACGCCGACGAAGTTTAGCTACCTCTTCATTCACTTTAGTAACATGCTGCTCGTATATTTCCGCCAAAGGTTTAAAGGTATGTCCACCGTGCTATTTAAATTAATAAAATAGTTAAAAAAACATCTTCATATATCTCATCTGCATTTACATTCCTCTATTAACACTCTATGAACACTAATATACTGGCAAATATTTCCAAATGAATTTTATTTTTTTGGCTCCCTTTGTTAAAGTAAGTCACAGCTTGCTTAAAGTCACTTGGCCCATGTAAAAAATCCTTCAATTGTGGATAAAGATCTTAAGCAAAATGTTTACACTGATCTGGAAATCTTCACTCATTAGAGAGAACCAAGATACTTAATCATGGCTCAAAGCAGCTGACACAACCTCATTTGTCACTCTTCTCTTGATCAGCACTAGCCTTCTGTCCCCCCATCAGGCCTTTGCAAAAGTAGCTCGTACTTATTCAAAAATAATTCTCCATCTTCCCTCCCAAACTTTCCACCTCGTAACTCCTACTCATCCTTTGGAACTTAGCTCAGAATTAGAGGGTCAGGTCTCATAGTTATCCATTCTTATCAGACTGTGTACTTATTCCTAATATCTATTACAACAATTAAGTACATAGCTAGTTATTTGATATCTATCTTGTTTTTCACTGAATACCTAGTCTCTAACACAAATGAATAAATTAGAAAGACATTTGAGGAAAAGACCCATGGTACACTATTAGCAAAAGCAATAAACCCATTCTTCATGCCACAAAGAGTTACTGCAGAGACAGAAGGCCCATACAATTTAGACTTACAAATCCAGCTGTATTCAAAGAACAACTTTTTAAAGCTAACAGCCTAAAATCAATTTCCTATCCAATTTATGTACTGTATTTCATCACAATCTCTGGACTGGTAAGTAGAACTTAAATTTCTATTACAAGGAATTTCCTGTAACAGAAAAGTACTTATTAGAATTGTCTTATTTGCCCAGCCACTATGGCTCAATTGGTTGAGCCTCGGGCCATGCATCAAAAGGCCATCGGATCGATTCCTAGTCAGGGTACATGCCCAGGTGGATGGCTCGATCCAAAGGAGGGGGCATGCAGGAGGCAGCTGATCTATGTTTCTCTCTTATTGATGTTTCTATCTCTCTCCCCTTCCTCTCTCTTTAAAATCAAAACATTTAAAAAAAAAAGAAAGAAAAAAGAACTGTCTTATTCAACCAAAACACCCAGCCATGGTCTCTAAGAAAAAAATGACATGGATTTTTGCATGTCCACTTAAAATATGAAAAATACTGTTTCCATTGCTTCTTACAAAGAAACATTTATTTAAAGTACTAAGTTGTGGGACATAAATTTTTTCTAGTCGGCACAAGAGTATTCAAATACCAACAGAAAAGCTCTCTAGCTGGTTTGGCTCAGCGGATAGAGCGTCTACCTGTCAAGGGCACATGCTCAGGTTGTGGGCTCGATCCCCAGTAGGGGTGAGTGCAGGAGGCAGCCAATCAATGATTCTCTCTCATCATTGATGTTTCTATCTCTCTCTCTCTCTCTCTCTGAAATCAATAAAAATATATTAAAAAGCAAATATCTACAGAAAACTCTGAACTGAGTTCTACTCAACCAACTTGCCTGGCATTCTCTCCCAAAAATGTGCAAACTGATGACCTAAGAATGATTAATTCTCATTGCTAACAGACACCTCTAGATGTCTGCCCCCACTATGACTAACTTTCCCCACCAAGAATCTACTGTTTATTCTCAAACCTATTTATGCTTATTGTACTTATTATTGTAAGTATATAATTTAATTTTAATTAAACAACAGGACACAAATATAAAATAAAAAGCTACTTATAGGAAAACTAACTTCAATGTTTTAGACTTGATAAAGATAGATAACTTTAAAAAACTATTTTGAATTAGATTGGAAAAAATAAAAATTTAAAAAAATAAAAAAACCTTAATTACCTAAAAAACAAATCCTAAGATCTAGAGTTTACATTCATATTTTTCACAAAGTGTTGTTACATTTTAAATAAACCAAAATTGAAAAATTGTGGCCAGGACATGAGATCAACTGAACTTTAATGAAATAAAGTAATTTAAAAAGACCTTGATCCTACAACTAAAGATTTGCAGATGAATATATACATTTTATAATTAAAAGAAAATATTTATGTAGGGGGTATACATCCCACATCAAAATCTCCCACAAGGGCTGTTTTTCTGACATAACAGAAAGAATGATACCTTCTGCTATAAAGGAAAATAATTTAATTTTCATTCTATAAACAAAGTAAAATATTATTTTCTTATCTAAATCAAACAAGTATTTCAGTGTTTTTAGTCTCTAAGCAAAAATAATTTGTTCTGCTCACCATTCCTCCCCAAAGTGCACACTGATGGCAGATACACTTCTTACAGGTCCAGCAAAATACACTAAGTTTTTCATGATGATTTTCACATCTATATATTATGAAAAGAAAATACAGCTATAAATTAAACTAAAATTGAAAAATAATTACCTTAACAAATTCCTAAGTTTGGGTAAACAGGTTGGTCAATTTTAAACAATTATATCTCAGGAAATAATATAAAATGTGTTCCATAGTTTCTTCTGCAAATTAAGCTAAATTACAATTTTCTTAAAATTCTGTTTTCATTAATCTATAAGAACTTGAAATCACATGAAAAATGCAGACTAGTTTTTGAATAAAGCACAAATATAACATCATTTCCCAATATTACTATAGATCAGAAATTTTCAACCCTTTTTATCTCATGGCACACAAACTGCTAAAATTCTGCAGCACGCCAAAAAATTTCTTTTTTGCTGATCTCACAGAAAAAAGTAGGTATAGTTTTGATTTATTCACACTGAACGGTTATTGTTACTATTATGTTAGCTGTTGTCATTTTTTTATTTGATAATGTAGGAGAAAAGAGGTCAGTGCCCCTAACTAAATAGTCAGATACTGCACATTTAAAAAATTCTTGCGGCACACCAACTGAAAACCACTGCTATCGATAATAAATCCTAGCCTGCTACTACACTTTGGGACAAATCAGATTATGTGTTTGTATCTACATGAGCATGTATGTACGCACAAATACTTTCCCTACATGTGGTCAATGCTAACAATAAGACACGTGATTAACTGCACAAAGTAATGCCAGGTTCTTCTGAAAAATCAACTCAATTTTAAAGTTTTCCCATGTTCACTTTGGCAGCATATACACTAAAATTAGAACAATACAGAAGAGATTAGTGTGGCTCTTGTACAAGGATGACACACAAATTCATGAAGCATTCCATATTTTAAATAAAATAGCCCAGCCAGTGTTGTTCAGTGGTTGAGCACTGACCTATGAGCCAGGAGGTCATGGTTCAATTCCCAGTGAGGGCACATTGTGGGCTTGATCACCAATGGGGGACATGCAGGAGGCAGCCAATCAATGATTCTCCCTCATCACTGATGTTTCTCTCTCTCCCTTCCTCTCTGAAATCAAGAAAAAAATTAAAAAATAAAATAAAATAAAACATTTTCCCTTAAGTTGGAGATCTACATGCAAAGGAATGAAGATGTACATGGTTATTAACTGAACTGCATTCGCCACGTCCCAAATTCCTATGTTGAGAGCCCTAAGATAACTGTACTTGGAACAAAGACTTTAAGGATGTTAAATAAGGTCATAAGGGCAGAGGCCTAATCCAATAGGACTGATGTCCTGACAAGAAAAGAAAGATGCCAAAAGTGTATGCAAACAGAGAAAAGGCCATGTAAGAACACAGAGAGAAAAAGCCATATCCAAGTCAAGGAGAGAGGTCTCACCAGAAAGCAAACATGACAATACCCTGACCCTGAACTTCCAGCCTCCAATACTGTTTAAGGCACCCAGTCTATGCTATTCTATTATGGCAGCCCTAGTGGAGATTAGTTGGGTGACAATGTGAACATACTTAACACTACTGACCTGTACACTTAAAAATGGTTAAGATAGTAATGATGTTATGTGTATTTTAGCACAATAAATTTTTTTTTTAAGTTTTCTCTTGCTGCCTGACAAGCGTGGCTCAGTGGTTGAGTATCCATCTATGAACAAGGAGGTCGTGGTTCGATTCCTGGTTAGGACACAGGCCTGGGGTTGCTGGCTCGATTCCCAGCAGGGGGCATGTGGGAGGCAGCTGATCAGTGATTCTCTCTCATCATTGATGTTTCTCTCTCCCTCTCCCTTCCTCTCTGAAATAAAAAAAATATATATATATTTTTAAAAAAGTTTCCTCTTGCCTTTAAAAGAAACAGTGTGCCTTTAAAAGAGACAGTGTTGCATTTGTTCTGTTCATCATTAAGCTTAGAGAAAATACCTAAATAGGTCTACATTTTATATTTTCATTTATAAGTAATATGAATATCCAATAGAAAATCAATAAAAGTATGAAGAAACAGCAGATTAGATACTGTCTGGAGGCTAATTTAGAATGATTTCCACACCACCAAATTTAGGATACATCTTTTAAAATATAGGAAATTTATCAGAACAATTCTTAATCAATGACCTATAGGCAACTTCAGCAAACCCAAGGAGAGCCAGTAGGCATCAAGAGGCAAAGAAGAGAAATTATTAGCACACCAGCAACTATGGCAGTTCCACTCCTTTTATGAAAGCCTCTGATAAAAGAAGCCATTCAAGAGTTAGAAAGATATTTCCAAATAGTGATACCCACACAACATCAAATGAAAACTATCTGTGTTCGCCTACAAAACTAAAAACTAAATATCTTTAAATAGTTTCATTAAAATAACATGTACCAAAATATATGAAATACTTAAAGAAATTGAGGACATACTTGTCCTTTTCATTTTCTTCATGTTTGGTGAGACTACAGAGTTGAAGAGTATCAAGCTGTTGTGTTACTTCTTCTGCCCAACGACAGTTTACTAGTTCTCGTATCTGGAGTGGAGCACTAGAGAGAAGATATATATATATATTTTTAATTCAGGAATTTGAGTTAATTTTCTAAGACAAACACATTCTAGCCCGACTGGTGTGGCTCAGTGACTGAGTGTCGACCTATGAAACAAGAGATCATGGTTTGAGTCCCAGTCAGGGCACAAGCCCAGGTTGTGGGCTTGATACCCAGCAGGGGCTGAGTAGGAGGCAGCCAATCAATGATTCTCATCACTGATGTTTCTATCTCTCTCTCCCTCTCACTTCCTCTCTGAAATCAATTTTAAAAAGATATTTAAAAAAAAAAAGAGAGATACAATTTTCATCTAGCAAAAGGACAAAAAAAGATAGATTGGTAATATACAATATTGGCAGGAATGTGAGGAAAAGGCACTTTTGTATCTTTTATTAGGAATGTAAAATGGTAAAAACCTATTCTTCAGCACAATCTGGCATCATAATTTGAAATTACCAAAAGTGGAAACAATCTAAATGTATCTCAATATAAGCATAAATAAATAACATATGGTCACATAATAAATAAATCAAACATTTTTAAATTTAAATGACATGTGTACATCAAGAAAGATAACACTATATTTTATACTTAAAAAACAAAACAGTACTATATCATTTGTGTTGTAAGAATACACACACACACACACACACACACACACACACTAGAGGACCGGTGCACGAAATTCATGCACGGGTAGGGTCCCTAGCCCTCCCCAACGATCAGGGCCGACTGGGGCCTCCCAGCTGCCAGCTGGGGCCTTCCTTTGTTCCACGCTGCCCCCTGGTGGTCAGCGCACGTCATAGTGAGCAATCGAACTCCCAGTCTCCTGGTCAAACTCCTGCAGGGACAATTTGCCTATTAGCCTTTTATTTATATACCAGAAGCCCGCTGCACAAAGATTCACGCAATAGGCCTTGCTTCCCTTGGCTGCTTGCACCAGTTTTCCTCCGGCACCCAGGACCCAGGCCTTTGGTCCAGCCACAGCGAGGCTTGGCTTCTCTTCAGTCCTCGCTCCGTGCCTGCATATGCAAATTAACCACCATCTTTGTTGGGTTAATTTGCATAGTCACTCTGATTGGCTGGTGGGCATAGCGGAGTGACACCAATTTGCATGTTTCTCTTTTATTAGTGTAGATATATCAGTACACAGAAAAATGTTTAGAAGATTAGAAACAACCCCAATAACTTCACCTGAAAGTGTTATTTCATGACAAGACTAGGTGAAGAATAACAGAATCAGAAGACTTTTAAGAAATATTTACCTACACTATTAAGATTTTTTAAAACCAGAAACCTTTATAAGTTAAACATGATTTTCTAAAATAAGGTAAAAAATTTAATGCTATGTAATTCTAAGATAAATTAGTTTATGCTGTATCTAGAGAGATTATTTTCTTTTCAGCTGTATTCCCAAAGAGGCAAAATGAAGCAGATTACAGAAAGAATCTTATTAATATTAGGGCACACTCCAACTCCATTACCTTATTATTTTCCAAATACACAAATAATCATAGCAAAACACTTACCGGCAATGAGGACATTGAGCTCTCTGCTCTGTCAGCCAGCGCTAAGGAGGCAAAAAAATAAATTAGCTTTGATTGTAGAAACACCACAATTTTAATTTGTACATATTGAATACTTATATACCAAATTTAATAAGTTTAACTTTTCTAGTGCCTGCATTAATTATAAAGATATTTATAGAAATAGTAGACACCTACTGTCTTCCTCTCATTATCATATTGACCAGGACAAACTTTCGAAGGGACAGAACTCATCCCCAAATAGTTAAGAAGCTATTCTGGCATAGGAAAGAAAGTGATTCTAGGGCTATTTGGATCTCAGAGGGAAGATGTGGATAATCTTCACAAAAATAATGATATGGTCACTACCATCTCCAAACATAAACCATAGGGTTTTACTTCTAACTAACCCACCATACTTCTAACTAACCTACCCTACAATCTGCAAGGAAGTTTAACTAACTAACAAACCATAAAATCCCCAAGGAAATTTAAGGTACTAATACATTTCTTTTTAGAAAAGCAAATTAATTTTGAAGAACATACACTATAGATATAAATTAGACCTAAAATATGAATAAGCAATATAGCAAAACCATTTTGTATCTTGAGTTCCACAGTTCAATAACTTTTAAACATCTACATAACTTTGCTTCCTCATAATTATGAAAAGGTTTTACAAACCCTTTTAACTGCAAAATGTCTCCACTAAACCTCAAATTATATTAATTTAATCACTGTAATTATTACTGAGTAGGAAGCAGTATCACACCATATACAAAGGAGATGCTAAGATTTTCTGAATGCTTTCCAAAAAAAACCAATATTTATGGTTAAATATTTTTGTTTTAATAGTCTGGTAAATTGGTTCAGAGGTAAATGAATGTATTCCAGTATCTGATATTTCTGTTTATCCCTATGTACTTTTATAAAAGAACATAAACTTTTACCTAAAGTCAATTAATTAACTCAGAAATAAAATTGCCAAGGAAACCTTAAAGGACAATAAAAATTAGACAATAGGGAAAAGGTACCTCACAGCAAAATCCTATATAATAAAAGGCTAATATGCAAATTGTCCCCTGGACCAGGAGTTCAATCGGGAGTTCGACCAGGGGCGGGGCCGGCTGGCCAATCGCCCATGGCCCCTTCCCAGAGCCAGCCCAGCCCCATTGGCCCTGATCGGGGTGGGCCAGCCGGACCCCACTCATGCACTAATTTGTGCACCAGTCTTCTAGTAAAGAAATAAAGCTAGAAGAAGAAAATACATGGAAGAGGATTCCTCCATTCTTAATAACCTTGAAAATTATTTCTTCAGTCCCTTGGTAAAAACAAAATTTGGGTGAAGTTTCTTCCGCTGAAAACTCTACTAAAGTCATAGCACCTCCCCCCAGGGTTGTTTTCAGCCCACACCTCCCTAGCCTAGTCCTCTACCTCAACCTAGGGCAGGGGTGGGCAAACTTTTTGACTCGAGGGCCACAATGGGTTCTTAAACTGGACTGGAGGGCCGGAACAAAAGCATGGATGGAGTGTTTGTGTGAACTAATATAAATTCAAAGTAAACATCATTACATAAAAGGGTACGGTCTTTTTTTTTTTTTTAGTTTTATTCATTTCAAACGGGCCGGATCCGGCCCGCGGGCCGTAGTTTGCCCACGGCTGCCCTAGGGGAACCAGCAAAGTTAAACCTTTAAATATATTTGGTATCTCTCTGCCCAGGGTATTTGTCAATACCTCTCTTCAAATAGTTTATTCCTACTCATCCTTTAGATTTCAGTTTATAAGCAACTTCCTTCAGAAAGCTTTCTGACTCTACAGCAGTGGTTCTCAACCTATGGGTCACGACCCCTTTGGGGGGCGAATGACCCTTTCACAGGAGTCACCTAAGACCATCAGAAAACACATATAATTACATATTGTTTTTGTGATTAATCACTATGCTTTAATTATGTTCAATTTGTAACAATGAAATTGGGGGTCACCACAACATGAGGAACTGTATTAAAGGGTGGTGGCATTAGGAAGGTTGAGAACTACTGCTCTACAGCAAGCATATCAAACTCAAAGGCTAGCATGGGCCAAGTAAACAAGGTTTAAGTTAACGTGGGCCACAAAAAAACAAAAGCTTTAATTTTCATAGAAACACAGGTTTATTTTGATGGAGACATGCTGAATACAAAAGGCTAAAATAAATATGCGTTAACATAAAATAGAACATTTTAAAAAAAATTAACTTTTCTTGAACATTAATTTACCAGACACTGAATAATTGCACAAATAAGCGTAATGCAAATAAACCTATTTTTCTTGCTTTCAGAAAGCGAAATATTTCCCTTTGCGCACATCACACAAGTCAGTACAAGAATAATGACGTGCAATTGGCTGCTAAAATACTTGCTGCTAGTATTTGTAGAGAGAAATGATGTGCCTGCATATAAGGCATGCAAGGGAAATGAATGTAACAGGATTATAGCAATCAGCCATTAGCGAACGTTGTAGTTCCTTATTAATAATTATGTATAACAGGATATTATAAAAATCAAGTTATGAAATTTTTATTAGAATGTTTCTTACATACCATTATATTGGCTGGGCCACAAAAATTATTCGTTGTGGGCCACATGTGGCCCCTGGGCCAAGAGTTCGACATGCTTGCTCTATAGACTATTTTAGATACCACTGCCATGCTCTACCACAGCAACCTACACTTCTCCCTTCATTGTGGTTGTAGTCTCCCCTCCCCTGCTTCACAACAAGCTCTATAAAGGTTGGGACCAATATATTTTTTTAATAAACTTCTCCCATCCAAAAGGGCTATTGTTGCAATATATACCACTCTTGACATCAGGACTGTCTATTTGCTTATATAGTCCCTCTCTCTATGCGCTCTCACATAAGAATATCCATTGGTAATAACCATAAAACTTTCCTGCCTATCCCAAGCTAGTGACCTTTCCCTTCTCTATATATATGTAGCATTTTTACCTTGTACATATCACACAATCTAACTTAATCACAAAATAAATGTGGCAATTTTCATACTTTGGGGGAAACAATGTTTCTTCCAAACCAAAACTCAAGGTAAAAACCAGTGAACAATATTAATGCACAAGAAATATTAAAGAAACATCTTTATAGTAATTCCTTCACAATCAACTGAAGAACTGATTTCTCTCCCTCATTAAATGGAAACACAAGCTTTAGACAGTATTCAGACCTCAGTCTGATTCCTAGTTCTAGCACTTATTAAACATATGAAATAGACAAGTGACTGAGCTCAAGTTTTCTTGATTATACGCCATGACCAAGTGATTTATTCCTGGAATGCAAGGACAGTTCAACATACAAAAATCAATTAGTGTAATATATCACATTAATAAAACAAAGGAAAAAAGGCATCTGACCAAATACAATATCCTTTCATGATAAAAACACTCAAGAAATAGGAATAGGAGGGAACTTTCTCAACTGATAAAGTCCTTATTTTATTGTGATTGTTAATCCTCACCTGAGGACATTTTTTTAATAATAATTTTTTAAAATATATTTTATTGATTTTTTACAGAAAGGAAGAGAAAGAGATAGAGAGTTAGAAACATCGATGATGAGAGAAACATCGACCAGCTGCCTCCTGCACACTCCCCACTGGGGATGTGCCCGCAACCCAGGTACATGCCCTTGACCGGAATCGAACCTGGGACCTTTCAGTCCGCAGGCCGACGCTCTATCCACTGAGCCAAACCGGTTTCGGCATGAGGACATTTTTTCATTGATTTTTAGAGAGAGTGGAAGATAAGGGCAGAGACAAAAAGAGGGAAACATCAATGATGAGAGAGGATCATTGATTGGCTGCCTCCTGCACACCTTTACTGAGGATTGAGCCTGCAACCTGGCATGTGCCCTTGGCCAGAATTGAACCTGGGACCCTTCAGTCCACAGGCCGACGCTCTATCCACTGAGCCAAGCCGGCTAGGGCTAAAATCCTTATTTTAAAAACCCACAGCAAACCATATTCAGTGGTTAAAGATGGAAAACTTTTCTGTTAAGACCAGGGAAAAGACAAGGATGCCTGCTTTCAGCACTTCTATTCAACATAATACTGAAAATTTCAGCCAGAGCAATTAAGGAAGAAAAGAGAAACAAAAAGCATCTAAAATGGAAAAGAAATAAAATTATGTTTATGATGACACATGATCAGATATGTAGACAATCCTAGATTTCACAAGAAACTTAAGTTAAAGCTAATAAATTCACCAAAGTTGCAGTATACAAAAATCAACACACATAAAGCACTTTTATTTCTATACACTAGCAAAGACTCCAAGGAGAAAATTAAGGAAACAATACATTTACAATAGCATCATAAAGAGTAAAATATCTAGGAATAAATTTAACCAAGGAATTGAAAAAACTGTATGTGGAAAACTACAAAATATTGCTGAAAGAAATTAAAGAAGCCCTAAATAACTAGAAAGACATCCCATATTCATGGATTAAAAAAATTAGTATTGTTAAGATGGCAATACTACCAAAAGCAATCTACAGAATCAATGCAATTCCTATCAAAATCACAATGGTGCTTTTTTTCAGAAGTAGAAAAACCCCATCTAAAATTCAAAAATAATCACAAGGGACCCTAAATAACCAAAACTATCTTGAATTTCCTAATTTCAATTTACGACAAAGCCATAGTAATCAAAACAGGTTTGTACTGGCATGAAGACTGAAAGAGAGACCAATAGAGAGCCCAGAAATAAGTACTAAAAAAAATGTATTGTATAATTGGGTTTATATGAGGTACTTAACTAGTCACATTCATAGAAACTTAAAGAATGGTGGTTACTATGGGTTGGGAGAGAAGGTAATGGATAGAAGTAATGAAAGCAGGCAGCCTTGTCTTTTTCCCGATCTTAAGGGGAAAGTTGAGGTACCCTTACTAAAATTCAAGACTGAACAAACCAAGTGTTGGCATTAATATGGAATTAGCACTCTTATACATACCAGCAAGAATGTAAAATGATAAAGTCTGACAATATGTTAGAAGACAGTCTGACAATACGTTAAACAGTTAAACATCTACCTTATGATCTAGATTCTAGATACTCCATTCCTAATTATTTACCCAAGAGAAATGAAAACTGAAGTTCATTCAAACACTTGTATATAAATGCTCATAGCTCTATGTAAATGCCAAAAGCTAGAAGCAACCCATGTATCCATCAACAAGTGAATGTGTACAGTATGGTGACTGTATGTTAATAACAATAGTATTATTAACATATAACCGTAACTATGGTTAATAGTATGGTTAATAATATGTACTACATATTTGTAAACTGCTAAGAGAATAGATCTTAAGAGTCCTCATCATAAGAAAAAAAAATTTTGTAACTACATCTAGTGATGGATGTTAACTAGTTAGTGTAGTCATCATTTTGCAATATATACAAATACATACAAATGTTGAATGTAGAAATATGTTGCACATCTGAAATTAATATAATGTTTTAAATGTCAATTATACCTCATTTAAAACAATAAAACATGTGAATGGATAAACAAACTATGGCATATGCATACAATGCAATGCTATTACTGCGCAGTAAAAAGGAACACTATTTATACACTTGACATAGGTAAATATTAAAATAATTTTGCTGAATAAAAAAACAGACACATAAAAGTATATATTATAAGATTCCATTTGTAAAATATTCCAGAAAATCCGCACATATCTATAGTGGCAGAAAGCAGATCAATTGTTGCCTGGGAACCAGATAAGCAGGAGACATTACCCAGAGACACAAAGAAACTGGGGGGTTGTAGATATATTCACTATCTTGACCATGGTGATGGTTTCTGAGGTATATACATTTGTCAAAACTTATCAAACTGTACACTTTAAATGTGTAGTTTATTGTATGTAAATTATATCCGATTTTAAAAGTGTGCAAAATTTAAGACAAAACAAAGTCAATAATTGTAGGCAAACATAAAGAGCTACTTATGCTAAAAATCAAAAAGGGATTAAAAAAAAAAAAGAGAGAGAGAATTACAGGGACAAAAAAAGGGGGCAGAAAACAAACAAAAAAATTAAAAAACACACAAAAAAACAGGTAGTAAGAGAGAATCAACTAAGTGTAGCTAGATAATTGAAGATCTAGTCTGAAAACATAGCCAAACAAGTATAAACTCTCCCTCCTCTGGGTCTCACAAAATTCTGTTAGTGTCTCTTTATGACGGTACAGAAAGTCCATTCTCTTTATTAGATTTAAGTTCCCTCAGAGCAGGCACTTTGTCATTTATCTTCATATCCCTCAACCTCAAACACAATGGAGGCCAGCCCTTTGTAAGTACTTGTTAAATGTGCAATGACTTAATAATGTAAATATATTAGAATTTTAGTGGATTTTGGTTTCCAGACATTTCATTCATGGCAGTTATCATTTGATGATTATTCATCTCCAGAGTACTAAGCAACATACACTGATGGTCTCCCTATTAAGGAACATTCATTGAAGACATTTTTTTAAAAGGACACAAAATCTAAAATGAAAAGATAAAGGAAATGATTAATTTTTACCATTTTATTTACCAATTTATCCTACATATGCTAAATGCATGTGGAAAGAAAAATACAGCTTACCCTGATACAGCTGAAACAACAAAGCTTGGAGCAATGAGGACACAGGCGTGCATCCCGCAATTTCTCCATACAGATGAAACATCGAAAAACCTCAGCAATGCTCTGAAAATAATAAAAGATGTAAGGTCCACCAGGTTAGGCTACTGAATGAAGAGTAAAAAGCATGATTAAAGTAATTTGCTTATTTACATTTATTTTAGGCTGATAACATCTCAATTTTAAGTTTATTCCATATCAGGACTTGTTAGCCAAGATGGAGTACCTCAGAACATCTAAGCTTCACAATGGTTCTATTCTAAGGAAAGGATATGAAATGCACAAATATTTTTACTGAACATTAATTATAATGGCAAGAATCTGGCTGGTCCAAATATTAATTACCACAGTTAACATAGATTACATTAGTCACTACAAATATTTCTTCGATTATTTAATGATACAGAAAAAATGCTTACGTTTAACAGTAAGAAAAAAAAAAGGCAAACTACACGATTAAAGGAACAATATGAACTTCTTACTTTCTCTGCAATTTCACAAGGAGGATGAATTGCTATGATAAGTTTTTAAGAGATACATATCCTAAAAGCTGTGAACTTTGATCAATGCCCTGGATAGGTAGCTCAGTTGGTTGGAGTGTCATCCTGATTGGCCAAGACTGTGGGTTCAGTCTGGTGAGGGGACTTAACCAATGGATGTATGAATAAATGGAACAATCACTAAAGCCCTGGCTGGTGTGGCTCGGTTGAGCTTCCTCCCATGCACCAAAGGGTCTCGGGTTTGATTCATGGTCAGGGCACATGCCCAGTTGCAGGCTAGACCCCCAGCAGAGGGCAAGCAGCAGCTGATGGATGTATCTCTCTCAAATGATGTTTCTCTCTCTTTCTCTCTCCCCTCTCCTTCCCCCCTCTCTCTCAAATCAATAAAAGCATATATTTTTAAAAAATCAATAAAAACATTCTCAGGTGAGGATTAAAAACAATTTTTTTAAATTTACTTAAAGAAACTAACTCAGAATCCAGAAACCGGAATTTCTGCCCTGATACTGCAACCAGGTAGCTACTTACTTGAGCCTGAGAGTCTACCCCTATTGAGAATTTTAGTGGCAGTTCTCCCAATGCTTTGGGAAGAAAAAAAAAGATCACGTAAATTAGGAGAAATAGGAGGCTTGGCAACAAGCCTCATATGAATCAATTTAGGAAGTAACTAACAAGAAAAAGAGATATAATTAAATGTAGGTTATTAGATATTTTAAGTTCATTTTTATAGGGCAGGAGAATTAAAACTCTCATAAAACCAAGGTCAAGTTACCAAGCCTGTAAAATACTTTCACATGCGAGTCTAATCATGACTGCAAGCCCGAAGAACCTGGGCGGTGCAGACGCTGGCGGGGAGGGGATGGAGGTGGGGGCGTTAACACCATTGGGTGAACTAGTTTAAAAAGCCCTGTCACATCGCTGCCCTTACTAAGAACGAAGCAAGGATTCAGTGTTTTAGTATTTCGACAATTAATACAGTATTTGACAATTATTACACAATTATGTTCAATAACCAATCTTTTTTTAAATTGTCCCTAGCCTTTATGTAAATACCCCAACACTTTTAAATCAGAGCTTACAAGTGCCAGGTATAATAAAAATGAGGTTGTTCTGGCAAACTACAGCCCAATAAGATAATCAGAGAATATGCTCATTCAACCTAGGAAGGGCAGAAGTCTACAAAAATGTACCGCTAGGAAGAAAGGTTATCCACTCGGAGGGAGATTTGGATCCGCGCAGAAATCACAAGCACTGGTTGCGAGTGTCAGGGCACGTCCCTGTAATGAATCTGCAGTTTTGCTCTGCACAGGCTGCAGTCTGCAAAAGCCCCGTGGGGATGAGTGCCCGGGCGGAGACAACCTGAACACGCCAAGATGCGCACCACCTGCCTGCGGGAGCGGCCGCAGCACAGGCACCAGGGGCTGCAGCACCCGCCGCCGTCCTTCGCCCCCGGCCCGCCTCTCCACGGCGGCGGCGGCGTCCCTACCCGAGAGGACTAGGGAAAGGCGACCCGCTTAAAAAAACACTCAGCGGGTAGCATGGGGACACGAACCACCAACCTCCTCAAACCTCCTCACCTCTACACTCTGTTCATCCATTGCCTCCGACTCGCGGCGGGGCCTACAGCGACCCGCGGAGTCCGTGATCTGACCTCTTAGGCGCCGGCCCGAGGTCGCCAGTTCAAACTGCCGCGGCGAACCACCCCGCGCCCACCTCAGGAGGCTCCAACGACCGCCCCGCGAGTGCGCCCCATCGCTTCAGGTTCCGCGCCAGCTACCCCCACTTCGCCATTTTATCCGCGTGCCCGCCCCTAGAGAGCAGTAGGAGGGCGAGAAGTGGCCGCAGATCCTCCCTCCCGGCTCAGCCGCCCAACGGGGACCGCGAGACAGCGGCGGGCGGGCGGGCGAGCGCGCGCGTGTCGAACCGCTACTGAAGCCTGGCGCCTCAGGTCTCCAGCGAAGCAGGCGCTGCAGGGAATTCACAAACACCTACGGTAACCAGGGCAGCTGGAGGCGCGGCGGCGCAGAAAGGCTCTGGCGCGCATGCGCGCAGGACGCAGCGTTAGAGGAGCGGAGCCGAGAGGCGGGCACCTAGTTCCCGCGGTGCGGAGGCGCACACGAGATTTGGCTGCTCCCTGCGGCAAGGTAGCTCGCCTTCGACCCCAGGATAAGGCAGGCATTGGCAGGGCCCCGCCCCTTCAGGGGAGGGGCGTTGCCCCACCGATCTCAAAACTTGCGCGCGAACGAGCAGAGCCACCTGGAGTGCATGTGAAAAACGTAAATGCAAAGCCACGCCCCTAGGTATTTAGACTCTGATTCTAGGGTAGAGCCCCACTAAATCCGCACTTTCAACAACCTCTCTCGGTGATGTTGGCTGCAGGCGGTGTATGGCCCCCCCCCCTTTGCAAAACCGTGGTGCAGAGGTTACCTGGCTAGTGATTTTTTTCTTTGGGAGGAAGCCTAGACTCAGGTTTTTAAGATTTCTGCTCCACCTGAAGCGAAGCTCCAGACTGTGAAGCCTAGAGCGGTATAGCTTCTCATTTCAGGGCTGGGAGAACGGGACCACAGGTTATGTAGACTTAAGACCCACACCACACCAGGATTTCTTGCCACGTGATGTGCGCGGTTGCCATGAGACTACAAAATGAAAAGCGGTATCAGCTGTATTCAGCTTTCCTAGATTGGAGGCCGCTTTCTACAATACTGTATTGTAGTTTAAAAATTGCAGGAGTTGAAGGTATGAGACAAGAGGTGTGCATCAAATTCTTGATTTGAATTTAATTTTTTCTTTCTAGTTTGTTGCAAACAACTATTACACTTAACCCAACCTAGAATGCACGTGTAGAGAATCAACAATAACCTAGAAAGATATTGACTATTAAAGCATTTGGATTTTATTATAATTAGTGGGCAACAACTTTATGTGCCAAAAATTATTTATGTACAGGAACTTTATTAATATTAATTGCCTGAGCATTGAAAAAAATGAATATCTGTTACTAAAATGTAACTGTAAATTAAAGGAGGGCTTTCTGTTCTTGACATATTCAAACTGGACAGGACAATTTTAACTGGAGCTACTCTCCTAACCCTGTTTGTCAGTTATTGTAAGTTGGCCAATGGACATACATGATCATAAAAAATTCTTAAAATTATATTAAAGTATAATTCTACTAGAGGCCCAGTGCACAAAAATTTGTGCGCTCGGGGGGGGGGGGGGAAGGGGGGGGTCCCTCAGCCCGGCCTGTGCCCTCTCGCAGTCTGGGACCCCTCGGGAGATAACGACCTGCTGGCTTAGGCCTGCTCCCGGGTGGCAGAGGGCAGGCCCAATCCCTAGGTGCAGCCCCTGGTCGGGCTAAGAGCAGGGCCGATTGGGGAGTTGGGGCGCCGCCCCGTCATGCACAGAGCAGGGCGGATCGGGAGGTTGCGATGCCACCCTCGGTCACGCTCAGGGTAGGGCCAATTGGGGGGTGGGGGCACCGCCCCTGTCACATTCAAGGCAGGGTAGATGGGGAGGTTGCGGCACTACCCCGTCACTCACAGAGCAGGGCCCATCAGGGGGTTGGGGCGCTGTCCCCTGTCATGCACAGAGCAAGGCCCATCAGGGGGTTGGGGAGCTCCCCCCTGTCACGCACAGAGCAGGGCCCATCAGGGGGTTGTGGAGCTCCCCCCTGTCCCTCACAGAGTAGGGCCAATAGGGGAGTTGGGGCACCGCCCCCTGTTACACACAGAGCAGGGCGGATCAGGGGGTTGGGGCACTGCCACTGTCACACTCAGGGCAGGGCCAATGGGGAGGTTATGGCTCTACCCCGTCACACACAGAGCAGGGCCCGTGGGGGGGTCGGGGCACCGCCCTCTATCACCCACAGAGCAGGGCCGATCAGGGGGTTGGGGCACCGCCACTCTCACACTCATGGCAGGGCCGATGGGGAGGTTATGGCTCTACCCCGTCACACACAGAGCAGGGCCCGTGGGGGGGAAGGGGTTGGGGCGCCGCACCCTGTCACACACAGAGCAGGGCCGATCAGGGTGTTTGGGCGCTGATCCCGGTGCCGGGAGGCCTCGCGGCTCCGCTGATCCCGGTGCTGGGAGGCATGTTACCCTTTTACTATATAGCATAGAGGCCTGGTGCACGGGTGGGGGCCGGCTGGTTTGCCTGAAGGGTGTCCTGGATCAGGGTGGGGGTCCCCACTGGGGTGCCTGGCCAGCCTGGGTGAGGGGATGATGGCTGTTTGCAGCTGGTCACACACCCTTCAGGGTGGGGGTCCCCACTGGGGTGCCTGGCCAGTCTAGGTGAGGGGCTGAGGGCTGTTTTCAGGCTGTCAGGTGACTGAAGCTCCCAACCACTCCTTTTTTTCTTTTTTTATTCTGGGCCAGCTTTAGCTCTGGCTCCAGCTCTGAGGCCTCTGCTGCTGAAAGCAGGTACCTGGTTTGTTTGTGTTCTATAATCGAAACTCTGTATCAACTCCAGCTCTGAGATCCCGGCTCGCTGAAAGCAGGTTTCTGGGGTTTTGTTTAGCTTCTATATTTGTTACAATGTTTCAAACTGCAGGCTCAGAGGCCGGCAAGGCAGGCGGGGAATGTTGGATTCTGCTGTCACTGAAGCAAGCAAGCCTCATTCATGTTCGCTTTAAGCTGCCTGGCTGCGGCCGCCATCTTGGCTGGCAGTTAATTTGCATATCTCGCTGATTAGCCAATGGGAAGGGTAGCGGTCGTACGCCAATTACCATGTTTCTCTTTTATTAGATAGGATAACCTGCAGACCTAACATTTTATGTATTTTTCCTAGTCGTTTCAATGCCTCATTTTTATTACATATATGGAACTATCATTTATTGAAGGATTACTAAATACAGTGGGGCCTTGACTTACGAGTGTCCCGACTAACGAGTTTTTTGAGATACCAGCTGTCTCTCCACCGATTTTTTGCATTGAGTTGATAGAGTAATTTGAGTTAACGAGCTCCTTAATGAGCTCGGTCTCGAAACAAATTAAACTTGTAAGTCAAGGCCCCCCTGTATCCTTCAATATTTATCCTTCAAAACCAAACAACATTTCATTGTGCTTCCCACCATGCAGGCACAGAGAAGTTAAGTGATTTGCTCAGGGTAAAACAGCTGGAATTTAAAACCTGCTATTTACATCTCAGATATGATGTCAGAGCCCAATTTTAACTTCAGAACAGCAATATCTGCTTCCATTCCCCCATTCAGCATTTCCCTGAACATTAACAGTAATAATTTATAGGCAAGTCTGGCCTCCTATTGCATAGATACATCATGATATACACCAGCCAGATGTGTCTGTATTACTATTGTAAATAATCCTGTGATTACCATTTATACCAAGATCTGTCCTGTAATTTGGACAATTACATTATTGTCAAGTTATTTAAAAATAAATAGGGATATACATACAAACACACAAAACTAGCAAGCAGCAGTTGGCAGTACTCTTCTGATTTCAATTTCTTAGCTTTCATATAGAATAAACAAGTACAATAATATAGGCTGGAGGAGAACAAAGGCTGTACTGAAATACAACAGGGGAGAGTCACAGAAGGAGATGTGACAACAGAAACAAAGCCAAGAGGGAAATCGTCAGATGTTATGCTGTGGAAGAATGCAGGTAGCCTTTAAAATGGAAAAGGTTGACTTCCCTTCCCACCTACTCAAAGTATCCAGAAGGAGTTTCTGAAGAGATTATGTCAATTATCCAACATAATAAAAGGGTAATATGCAAATCGGCCAAATGGTGGAATGACCAGTCGCTATGATGCACACTGACCACCAGAGGGCAGACGCTCAACGCAGGGGCTGCCCTCTGGTGGTCAGTGCGCATTCACAGGGGGAGCACCGCTCAGCCACAAGCCAGGCTGACTGCTGGTGAGTGGCCCTAAGCCAGGGATGGGCAAACTTTTTGACTCGAGGGCCACAATGGGTTCTTAAACTGGACCGGAGGGCCGGAACAAAAGCATGGATGGAGTGTTTGTGTGAACTAATATAAATTCAAAGTAAACATCATTACATAAAAGGGTACGGTCTTTTTTTTTTTTAGTTTTATTCATTTCAAACGAGCCGGATCCGGCCCGCAGGCTGTAGTTTGCCCATGGCTGCCCTAAGCTGTCAGTCAGACATCCCCTGAGGCTCCTGGACTGCAAAAGGGCGCAGGCCGGGATGAAGGACCGCCCCCCCCCCCCCCCCCCGCACGAATGTTGTGCACCAGGCCTCTAGTAGAAATAAAGTTGCTATATATTCTATTTTTTTTAAGAAAAAATTTTTAAAGCAATCAAAGGACTACATTTTATCAAGAAAATAGCTCAGTAGAGAACAAAATGATGAAAATATTGATTTTAAATATTTTTCTAAAAAGAAACACAATAAAGACAACCTAAAATAGCATTTGAAAGCAGAACCTTCATGTTGCTCAACATTAGCAAGCAAAAGGAATAGGACAAAAATAAAAGAGGCTGTCACAGAGAAACCAGCTTATTACAAAGGTTAGGTTTTATGGGACACTATAGGTCACTTAGCAATCTCACTAATAATGTGACCACATCTTCAATTAAAATTTTCAAAAATAGAAAATTTATACATATATAATATATAATACAAATATTTTTCCATCTTTAATTTCCAATGCACATTCATTCACATTTGACTGATAGTACATAATCATTCTTTTATGATAGGACATCTTTGTTATCCTGATTATACAAAAACAGATGCAAAATAGTGTTAAGACTTTCTTGCCTGAAATTGCAAAACTAAGTGTGCATATATTTAAATCCTTTTCCCATTCCATCCTTTTGACTGAAATTTACTCATATCTGTCCTTATATTTCCCTCTTGTGAAAGGCATCACTATCCAGTCACCCAGGCCAAATTTTCTTTCACCATACCCCACCTCTAGTTACCATATGCTAACAAGACATCTTCCTAAATCTCTCTGGAATTGATCTCTTCTCCACCAGAGTTCCCTTTTGCAAGTCCATTTCTTCATAAATCTGACATGTGAGATTTTAATTGCTGTACTGCAGTTTTCTCTTCTTCAGTCATTGGTGACAGCTAGAAAACAAATGACAAAGTCATTTTTTCCAAAACCTTTAAAAGCTTCAACTATAATTTTAACAAAAACACCTTTAAAGACTGTTAATTTAATTAACTTCTTAAATATATATATATATATATATTAACTTCATATATATATATAATCTCAGAGAGGAAGGGAGAGGGAGAAACATCAATGATGAGAAAGAATTATTGATTGGTTGCCTCTTGCACATCCCCCACTGGGAATCGAGCCCACAACTGGGAATCGAACCATAACCTCCGTGTTCATAGATCGATGCTCAACCACTGAGCCATGCCGACCAGGCTAGTTAACTTCTTTATCACAACAATAAATGTTTCCATAAGCTCATACCATGTATATGATACAAATTTCAGAAAGCAGGAGAAAAAATACATTAGTTGGCTACCTACATACAAAGTGCTTTGATGTTTGAGCTTCCAAAGAACTTGCAATTAAGTTGAAGAAACAGCCCTAGCTGGTTTGGTTCAGTGGGTAGAGCTTCAGCCTGCGACTGAAGGGTCCTGGGTTCCAGTCCAGTCAAGGGCACATGCCCAGGTTGGGGGCTCAATCCCCAGTAGTGGTCATGCAAGAGGCAGCTGATCAATGATTCTCTCTCATTATTGATGTTTCTGTCTCTCTCTCTCTCTCCCTTCCTCTCTGAAATCAATAAAAATATATTTTAATTTTTTTTTTAAAGTTGAAGAAACAAGACCAAGATGTCAAACAATTTAAGGACTATAATTGGACAGAACCAAAGAAGTCAAGTCTGAATGCTATATGTAAAAGTATTTTGATAAAGAAAGTAAACAAAAATAATCTGGAAGTTTCCTCAGAAGTAGAAACTTGGGCTAAATTTTGAAGGATAATTAAGATGCTTTTAGCTGCAAGTAAAAGAAACACATTTCAAAATGGATAAGTAATACAAGTTATTATTACTGCAAAATAAATAGGACAGACTTTAGGGCTGGTCTGTTATCAGATAAAGACTCAGTTTTTCCAATCTCACAGCTCTGATATTCTTAATGGTAGCTTTATCTTTAAGAGGTGATGCTGGGCATCACCTTTATACAAAATGTTTATACAAGGTGTCCGCGCAGGCGCGCCCCTCGAGGCGGCGCGCTCCAGGCGGAAGTGAAGTCCGAGGCCCGGCTGCGCAGCTTGGGCGGGGAGCGCGGGCTGTGGAGAGGCAGGCCAGGCGGAGGCGGCGGGGTTGGCGGAGACGGAGCTACAAAGTTCAACCCACGCAAAGAAGCAAGCCTCGCGGTGTTTGTCCCTTGCGGAGCCCCTTCGCCAAGCCGGTCCTCCAGACTCAGGACGCCACCAAAGCGCGTTCTCAAAGTCATGAATCCTGTTTATAGTCCTAGTTCTTCTGGGGTTCCCTATACAAATGCCAAAGGAATTGGTTATCCAGCTGGTTTCCCTATGAGCTATGCAGCAGCAGCTCCTGCCTACTCCCCCAACATATACCCTGGAGCAAATCCTACCTTCCAAACAGGTTACACTCCTGGCACACCTTATAAAGTGTCCTGTTCCCCCACCAGTGGGGCGGTGCCACCATATTCCTCCTCCCCCAACCCATACCAGACTGCTGTCTACCCTGTGCGAAGTGCCTACCCCCAGCAAAGCCCATATGCACAGCAAGGCACATTCTACACACAGCACCTGTATGCAGCACCCCCTCACGTCATCCACCACACCACAGTGGTGCAGCCCAACGGCATGCCGGCGACAGTGTACCCTGCTCCCATCCCTCCTCCAAGAGGCAACGGGGTCACCATGGGTATGGTGGCTGGGACCACTATGGCCATGTCGGCAGGTACCCTGCTTACTGCCCACTCCCCAACTCCTGTCGCCCCCCACCCAGTCACTGTGCCCACCTATCGGGGTCCAGGAACGCCCACCTACAGCTACGTGCCCCCTCAGTGGTGATCACCTGCAAATGTTTGAGGATGGAGCTGTGCAGTCACATCCTGGATATTCCACAGCTGGTGCTGCAGGCCTTGTGCCTCCAACCAGGACTTTCTCTTCTTAATGCTCTCGACACTTAGCTAAATACTACTATGGTCCAGCCTTGCAGATCTCAGCACCATTAGTCTCCAACTAACTATGGGTTGGTCTTAAAGCAAGTCATGTTTTGGGGCTGCCTGGCAATTTTTTTTTAGCTAACTGTAATGATGAAAAGGGAGTATTAATGTATTCTGAAATCATATCTAGTTGAATGCATGTTTAAAAAAACAAACACAAAAACAAAACTTGCTCAAACTACTTGCAGTGATTGATGCAAAACCTTCATATGCAAAATCCAAAGGAATGGAAAATATTTTATAACTTGTATCACTAATGCAGTGTTGTAATGTATGCAGAGTCTTAAAGATGTAAGTGTTAAAGTGAATTTCTTCATAGAGCATCTGAAATCTCTAAAGTGATTCTTCATCCTTTGGGGTTGATGTAGGTTGCCAGTTGGAAACATGAAATTTTAGTTTTTAGCCATCAGTTTATTTCATACTGATTGCACTGGGAGAGAGTTGTAGGGTCTGGGAGAGTATAGGGTGGGCCACAGCTACTTGGGGTAGCCAGGTTAATGGGCATCACTATCTTTTCATTTAGGCTTGCGGGGTCAGTTTGATGTAGACATTCTTAAAAGATTATCATGAGAGACTAGAGTTGTATGGCCAGTACATTTAGGGGCAATTTGCAGTTTGTCCATCAGCAAACCAGTTTTCTCTGGATTGCTATGTGAATTACCATTACAAAGCTCTTTACAGATCGAGATGCTGTTTTCTATATCTTTATTGGAAAAGCCCTATGTAGAATTAAGTTATTTTCCTAGGATGGAAGATAAGTGAAATAAACAGAAAAACTTGGAGGAAAAAAAAAAAAAATGTTTATACAAAAAAAGTTTTCACCCTGGCTGGTTTGGCTCAGTGGATAGAGCATCAGCTTGCGAACTGAAGGGTCCCAGGTTCGATTCCAGTCAAGGGCACATGCCCAGGTTGCAGGCTCTATCCCCAGTAGAGGGTGTGCAGGAGGCAGCTGATCAGTGATTCTCTCTCATCATTGATATTTCTCTCTCTCCCTCTTCCTTCCTCTCTGAAATCAATAAAATTTTTTTTTTTTTTTTAGAGAAAGAAAAGTTTTCTCTTGCCAAGTCTCTCTCATTAGTGAGGAAACTCTTCCTCATTTCCCACTTCCAGGCTCCCTCTTCACATGTCAGCTGGGTTACAAACCCATTCCTGAATTAAGTTTACTTAAAGGAAAATCCATTCCCGTTGCCAATCAGGCACACACTGAAGCTGAGGATAGTGCCAGCTTTATTTACCTCAGGCATGAGGCTGTGAGGGACAGCACACATCTCAAGAAAATCAGTACTCTGTAAGGCAGGAAGGAAGAACATAAATGCTGAGAAACAACCAGCGAACAGTATCCAACATGTCAATTGAAAGCATTACCTCCAGGTCTGTTTGCTTTTGTAGTTCTTGTATCATGGTCATAGTCTTATTGAAAGTAGCACAAATGCAGCTCTTAATCTCTTTCTGCTCATCAGCAATTGGCTTAAAGCGTGCCTGCAAAGTTTGATATCGGGACTTTATTGCTGACAATTCCTGTAAGAGTGTAACTGGATTTTTCTATATCAGGAAAAAAAATTAATATATATTAAATTGTGGAAGTGAAAAATTAAGCTTCTTTTAATAATTAAAATTTATGCAACACATTTTACCGTCCATTTAATCAAACACTGTATTTTATTATACAACTGTGTAACAAGGATGGAAAAGGGGAAGAAAGAAGTAAGACCTAGATTCTATTCTAAAGAAATTTAAAGCCTAGGTGCAGAAGTACAGCATAGGGAATATAGTCAATAATAGTGTAATAATAGTGCAACCTGTATGGTGTCAGGTGGGTACTAGAATTAATGGGGGGAATCACTTCGTAAATTATATAATTGTCTAATCACTATGCTATACACTTGAAAGTAATATAAAATAATACTGAAATATCAACTATAGTAAAAAATAAATTAAAAAAAATAAAGCCTATGTACAGAAATAGCTCACAAAAAAAGCAACATGAAACAGCAAATAAGGTCACTTTAGATACATATTTGATGCATAGTTCACAACAATTAATTACATAATATTTCTAAAATACAATTCTAAATACTATTCAGAAGATGATTAAAGGAACTATATTAATTTGTCATTAAAGAATAAAACAACTTGAAGCCACTTATAAATTCTTAAACATACTGCCATGAGGCTTAAGTATGTATAAATACTAATTCATTGACTTCACTATATAAAATTCATGTCAGCTCAAGCAACTGTATTTATAAAGGGTGTCCCAAAATTCACGCAAGATTTGAATTTAATGGTGCTCGCTATCGCAATATGATAATCTGTTTTTTTGTGCCTAAATTGCAAGATATGGATGTGGATGACATGTGGTTTCAACAAGACAGTGCCACATGCCATACAGCCCGAGAAACAATTCAATTACTGCACGAATCATTTCCTGCACCAAATTACTGGTCGTGTAATTTCCCGTTTTGGTGATCAGAATTGGCCGCCCAGATCATGCGATTCAATGCCATTGGACTTTTTTCTTTGGGGTTTTTCGAAGTCTAAGGTTTATGCCAACAAGCCCACGACCACCCAAACCTTGAAGGAGGAAATTGAGCGCTGTATCAAGGAAATTCAGCCACATTTATGCAAAACGGTCATGGAAAATTTCAACAAAAGAGTGCGTATGTGCCAGCAAAGCCGTGGAGGCCATTTACCCGATATGCTATTCCATACATAACCCTATACTGTATACTTTGTGAATCAATAAAAAATTTACAATTTTTGATTATAAACGTGTGTTTTCTATCAAAATTACTTCTTGCGTGAATTTTGGGACACCCTTACATTACATTGGTTTTTCAAATTCTTTTTAAAATATAGCCACTATTCCATAAAAGACATTTTTTACTGTATTTTTCCAGTTTTTCTACTGGAGATCTTTTATCCAATACAATGTCCAGTATCTAGAAACATGGTAGAAAATCTACCCCTAAGGGTGAGAGGGGGTGTATAATGAGTAGATACTCCTAAAGGCATCTTAATATATATTTGATGCTATTTATTATTTCTTTGACCATAACAAACATACTAAGTATTCTTTTTTCATGGTGTCTATCTTCTGTTCCTTTCCTACTTGTAATGGCCATGCCATAGGTCTTGATAATTCTCTGCAGAATTATTTTATCAGTCTTTTTTTTGTAGTATATTTTCTATTTATTAAACTTTTAAATATATATTTTTATTGATTTTTTACAGAGAAGAAGGGAGAAGGAGAGTTAGAAACATCGATGAAAGAGAAACATTGGTCAGCTGCCTCCTGCACACCCCCCACCGGGGTTGTGCCCGCAACCAAGGTACGTGCCCTTGACCAGAATCAAACCTGGAACCAACCCCTCAGTCCGCAGGCCAACGCTCCATCCACCGAGCCAAACCAGTCAGGGCTATTTATTAAACTTTTATACAGTCGTTCGGTCGCCAACAGTCACTTAGGCTTTTATATAGATAGACTGTTCTAGAGGTACCTATATTCTCTCACAATTTCAAAGGCTTCCACAATGGTTCGTATCTCCTGACTCAATAATTCTTTTATAAGGGTTAAAAAATAACCACAAATTTCCTTGACCATGGGTATAAAAATATGCTGTGACCAAGTTTCCAACATAAAAAGATTTTAAGATTCTTTGAGGTCAGTACTTAATACTGTAATTATTATAATCACTATTATTAGAAATACTATCAGAAAATCTTTTGATAAAATATTCTGTTGAAAAGACATTGATTTTGCAGATTACCTCGCCTGCTGAATCAGGATGATTAGTCTTGATTTCATATTCCAGCCTGTATTGAATGTAATCCAGATCAGAATCAGCTTTCTGGAACTAAAAATCAGCATAAATCATTATTCTGTGAACCAAAAGTCATATTAATAAACATGATCCTGCAACTATTCTTCCTTTTCTCTTTATATTTTTTAGTATTTTAATAATGTGATATACAACTCATTTTGAAAATATGGAAATAAAAAAGTATAAAAAAAAACGTAAATGGTCTATAATAACCAGGCTATATTAAAAATTTCTTAAACTAGTTAACATTTTGAAAATCATTTCTCTCTGCATGTGTCTTAGATTTTGAGCCAAAATTTAAATACCAAGAAGCCACCACCATCATATATTAATACAGTAACTAATAATGTCTTCAAGAACTCCCTAGGGTCACTGACACCCTCATCAGTGAGGCAGTGGTTTTTCCTCTCTTGTAGGAAATGAGGTTTCAAGTTAAAACACAGAACAAATTTATTTTCAGGGATCCTCACAGTTTCCATGATCTGCAACCCTATTAACCAAAAAACTACAAATTAATGCTACACAGACCAAAATTAGAGAGCTTAAAGTCACAAATTATGCAAGGAAAACTACATACTATAGGCCACAAAGGTAGCCGTCTGAATAGACCCAATTTATTGAACATAGGTCCTAGGATAGAACCATCATCTGTAGTACACCTCTCGGGGGGAAAAAAAAAAAAGGAAAAGCTACCACAGACCTAAATATGTATATGTACATATAGAAAAGCTGGAAAGGAAATCTAATAGAAAAAGTAGTTTAGTGCTCGCTTCAGCAGCACATATAGTAAAACTAGAAGCCCAGAGCACGATTTGAAATTGCACAGCACCGCCCACCCTCGAGTTGCCGGTCCAGCCCTGCCTCGCACCCCGGGCCCAGCAGCAGCCACTGCCGGTATGGCCCTGCCTCCCTCTCTGGCCTTCGAAGCAGCCGCAGCCGCTGCTGATCAGACCCTCCCCATGCCGCCCCGCATCTGACGCTGCACATGCAACCTCCTCCTGTCTGGTAGACCCATTACGGTGTCCCGGCTAATTAGCATATTTCTCTATTATATATACAGATTGGAACAATACAAAGATGATTAGCATGGCCCCAGCTCAAAGATGACACACAAATTCATGAATGATTCCATATTAAAAAAAAAAAGAAAAAGTGGTTTATATCTGAATGTGTTTAATTTATAAATTATTCTTAACTTTTCAAAATTCCGCATCTTTTATATTATTTTAAAGCAGGTACTGCCTTGAATTTATCAAGGAAACATCCATGAGTTTCCTATGGAAGGCAAAACATGATTTCCACAGGGAAATTGCCTAGCCTACAGCGTAGGAGACTGCTTTGGGGATAGAGTTTGGACCTTATTATGAACTTAAGCTCTGAACTAAAGATTGGTTCTTCAAATTTTGAACCCTTAGTGGAAAGAGTAAAAGCCAAAAAAACCCACTGTAAAAGTAGTTCTCAGGTCTAATGAGAAACAGTCTACAGATATTTCATTACACAAAAGGTAGATTAAGGCCTCTACTTTGGAATATAAAGTAAGATAAAATGGCTCTCAGAAGTTCAAATGCTTATAAGATCAGGAACTGTCATCATTGAACAAAATTTCAGAAAGGGATATACTGAAATTTCCATCACCAATTGCTCTCATCATTGACCTAAATTTGAATGGAAAATTTTGCAATTACCAAAGTTCTATCTTTATAACCAAAAATTTTTAGAGTGGAAATAAAAGGAGAGAGAAAGCCAGTTTTTGCTTTTAAATTTTTTCCAAAAATCTCTTAACAGCAAAGGAGTTGCTAATGAGCCTAAAAAACAAACAAACAAAAAATGTAGACATTGTTAATTTAAAAAAATTTTAAAGTGTTTTCCAAAAAATAGAGGTGTTTTGTAATCTTTGTCCTACCCTATATAAGCAGCTGGCTTATGGGGGGCTGCAGAGCAGATTTTTGTGGATGACCTGCTGCTCTCCTATACTGCCAGCAGTATTGGAATAAATGCTCATATATGATTCAACCCTGTCTCTGCACTTAATTGGCTCAAGTAGTGGCAGGCAGCAGGGACCCATTGATTGTTTGGTTACAAGGGCACATGCCTGGATCCTCAGTGTGGGGCATGCAGGAGGCAGCTGATCAATAATTCTCTTTCATCATTGATGTTTCTATCTCTCTCCCTCTCCCTTCCTCTCTGAAATCAATAAAAAAAATATATATTTTAAAAATCCAAAAAACAAAAAGAGGCTTTTCATGTCTTATATACTGGTACTTGTTAGATTAGATGCCAAAAGTAAATTAATTGATAATAAGACTTTATAAACATACTAATAATTACTATATATGTATAGGTATGTATAAAGAAATTACTGTTGGCATAATTTCCCATATTAGAATATGTAGGGGATTATCTTTTCCTTTATATAAACAGAGTGCACAAACCTATATAACATGTGGATGGAGAGTATGGGGAGGGGGGTAGAGGAGAGGGCAAATCAAATTAAACAAAGGCTCTAAGTGTTCAAGTACTGAATTGGTTTAATTACTGAAATAGACCACAATTTCATAGCTTTATATATAACACAAGGTTTTACATGACATTCTAAAGCATAATTTTAAATAAAAGTTTTTAAAACAAATTACCACAGAATTCTTAACATTATGGCATTTGTGGCTTTAGGGTTACTTTAAAACAATCTCTAATCTGGAAGCCCTGAATTGTTTATGAACCAGAAACTCTTAGGCCTATGAGGAGTCCTTTAAAATTATTTTATTGATTGATTTTATCAGAAACTCTTTAGAGAGATTTGTTATTCCACTTATTTATGCATTCACTGATTGATGCTTGTATGTTCCTTGACCGGGGATCGAACCCACATCCTTGGCATATCAGGACAATGCTCAACCAAACGAACTACCTGGCCAGGACCAGGACCTATGTGTTTTTTGTTTTGTTTTTTAAATATATATGCATATGTATTTATTTAAGAGGGGAAAGGAGAGGGAGATAGAAACATAAATGATGATAGAGAATCACTGATGGGCTGCCTCCTGCATGCCCCTCACCCGGGGATGGAGCCTGCAATCTGGGCATATGCCCTGACCAGGGATGAACCATGACCTCATGCATAGCTTGACACTCAACCACTGAGCCACAACGGTTGGGCCCTCTGTGTGTGTTTTTAACTCAACACTTTAGTTCTGCTTAAAGTTTAATTAGCATAATCCCATAGTCCATTTAACAATGTCTTCTTGTTAAGAGAGTAGTTTCAGCTATGACTTCCTGTAATACCTGGAGGGCCATCAAACATGCGCTAGCTGGTTTGGCTCAGCGGATAGAGCATCAGACTGCGGACCGAAGAGTCCCAAGTTCGATCCCAGTCAAGGGCAAATGCCTGGGTTGCGGGCTCGATCCCCAGTTGGGGGTGTGCAGGAGGCAGCCAATCAATGATTCTCTCTCATGACAATACAAAGTGTTGGTGAGGATGTAGAGAAACTGAAATCCTAATACATAGCTTTGGAAGAGAATTCAACAGTTTCTTATAAGATCAAGCATATATTTATCATGCTACTCAAGAGAAACAAAAACATTATGTTTACACAAAGACTTGTAATTCAATCTTCATAACAATTTTATGCATAAATGGGTAAATGCTGGAAACAACCCAAAGTTGATAATGTGATATTCTATACAAAGGAATATTACTCAGTGACAAAAAACGGTCCAACTATTAATACATACAAAATGGTCAAATCTCAAAAGCATTATGTTAAGTGTAAGAAACCAGACAGACACACACACACACACACACACAGACTGTATGTTGCATACAAGTACATTTACATGAAATTCTAGAAAAGGCAAGTGGTTGTCAGGGAATTTGGGAAGAAGAGGTTGACTGCAAAAAGGCATAAAAAGGGCATGGTGGTTACATGAGTATACACATTTGTTAAAACTCATCAAATTGTACTCCTAAAATTGGTGAGTTTTAATGTATGTAAACTATATCTTAATAAAACTGATTACAAAAAAATAGTGCTGATTCATACTTTATTATATCTCAATTACAAAGAAAGAACTTTAAATCAAGAATTCTTAAGTTTTAAATTTGAGCACTTACTACACGATGCACAGATTAAGATATAGGAAAAGTTATCATAGGAAATATATAACTGGCATTACTTTAATCACTTACTAATTCATTTTAAAATTCATTTAAATAATACCTAAGATTTGCCAGAGCCAATCAAAATCTGTTACAGAAAGTAGCAAATTATAAAGTACTACTCATTTAGACTAGCCTAAACAACTTTAGCTATAAAAATTATTCTCTTAATGTATTTCATAATGCAGTGTTTTTAATTAGTTAAAAACTTTTCTTCAAATTATGACCTTTTTAAAACACTTTTGGTAATAACATTTTTTGTAATACAAAAAACGTTTTCAGGAACAAAGATTTTGGTAAACTACTCACAGATATTGAAGATGCAAGGCAAGAATCAAAATTCTGGTGTGCATCCTGCTTTCAGATGCTTTGACAATACTATTGCACTGCTAGTGTCAAGTACAGTAGTGCAATAAAGTCAGAGCATTCGTTAGCAGTAAAGGTAGAAAAGGAACACAAAAGCATCTTGCAAGAGTTGAAGCTTCAGTGAGAAAAGAATTTAAAGAAGAATTGCCATTTTGGACAGAAGACATGCAAAACCTAAGAACATTTTTATCAATGTTAAAAATTAAAAAAAAGAATCACACTTAAACATCAAAATGAGGTTGTTTTTTATGACTAACCTATGATTAATATTGAAATTTAAACATACATTTAGATAAAGTAATTTTGTAAATATGTCCTAAGTTTTACAAAGTTCAAAAATATTTCTGTTCTGCTGAGATATATTGGTTAGCTCGTACATAGCAATTGATTAACTGCCATATAAAACAAGTCTTTTGAATAATATCAAAGAAAAAAAAAAGTAAAATAATGTTTCCCAATCTCTATATACCCAATCTATCTCTGGAATATGCCCTAATATGCAAATAGACCAAATGGTGAAACAACTGAACAACCAGTTGCTATGATGATGATGTGTGCTGACCACAGGGGGTGTGCGCAGAACATGGCAGGTGTCTGCAGCAGGCGGCAGAGCGTGGAACATGGTGGCATCAGCTGCGGCAGGATGGTGGAGCAGGTGAGTGGGGGTGCCAGGCCAAGGTGGGGCACCAGTTACTGTCATAGGCGCGAGTTTCTGGTGGTTACTGAAAATTCTTTGCTCCCACATCCTTCGGTCCCACCCGGCGTTTGCACCCGCTGCCAGCACCCGGCACCAGTCCTGATTGCTTGGCGCCGTCAGTGGGTGCAAGTGGCAGCTGCCGGACCTAATCACCCCTGAGGGTTTCTCCACCTCCTCCTGCTCCTTAGGGTGATCGGGGCAGCAGCTGCCGCTCGCACCCACTGATAGCGCGGGCCCCACTCGCACCCACTGCTGGCACCGGCCCCAGTGGCTCCGTGCCGTCAGCAGGTGCAAGTGGGATCAGCACCGTCAGCATGTGGGAGCAGTAGTGGTGGGTGCAGGAGTGTCGGAAGACAGGGGACCAGGGGCCACAACGAGAAGAGCCCAGTGGGGACATGGAGGATGGGCCGAACCCACCCCTGTGCCCACCGCAGCCTTGTGGCCCACAGTTCCTTTCAAGGTGCATGAATTTGTGCACTAAGCCCCTAGTTTAATCTATAATACAAAAAGCGCTTACCATCTTAGGGCTTTTTATCTAGTTTACAGACTTCCAGGGAATCAACGTATCCTAAACATGACATCATTAGCCCTACCTAGCTGAATATTATGAAAGGGCATTTTCAATTTTCAGTTAACCCCTAAAACATCAAAACATCTTTCTTAAACTTAAAAATCAAAGAGGCCCAGCTGGTGTAGCTCAGGTTGAGCATCAACCTATGAACCAGTAGGTATGGTTCCATTCTGGGTCATGGCACATGCCCAGGATTGGGGGCTGGATCCCCAGGAGGGTGTGTGCAGGAGGCAGCCAATCAATGATTCTCTCTCATCATTGATGTTTCTATCTCCCTCTCTCTCTGAAATCAATAAAAATATATATTTTTAAAAATCAAAGAGAGCCCTAACCGGTTTGGCTCAGTAGATAGAGCGTTGGCCTGCGGACTGAAAGGTCCCAGGTTCGATTCTGGTCAAGGGCATGTACCGTGGTTGCGGGCACATCCCCAGTGGGAAGTGTGCAGGAGGCAGCCAATTGATGTTTCTCTCTCATCGATGTTTCTAACTCTCTATTCCTCTCCCTTCCTCTCTGTAAAAAATCAATAAAATATATTAAAAAATAAATAATAAAAATCAAAGAGAAAATAATAATGGAAAAATGGGCAGGTGGTGGGCGAGAATGGGAGGGTGTCCAAAATGTAAATATTTAAGTATCAGGTTTCCTTGAATGCAAGCCAATTGACATCCTAACTGGTAAGAAATCAATTCAAAAGTCAGATGTAAGCCCAGAAATAGAAATAGTATCACACTATACTACCTTTTGTGTACAATCAGTGGTACCACAAAAGAAAGACACTAGACAAATACCCCTCATTAAGTGAAGGAAAAAGTTAGAGAATCCTACAATAAACTTATTTTCCAATTAATAATGTTGACTGATGAAAAAACACTTTCCATTATTTTCATTAACCTTCCCTTAAATCAGCGGTTCTCAACCTGTGGGTTGCGACCCCTTTGGCAGTCGAACGACCCTTTCACAGGGGTCGCCTAAGATCATCCTGCATATTAGGCATTTACATTACGATTTATAACAGTAGCAGCATTACAGTTATGAAGTAGCAATGAAAATAATTTTATGGTTGGGTCACAACATGAGGAACTGTATTTAAAGGGCCAGAAGGTTGAGAACCACTGCCTTAAATGGTCCAGTTCAACTACTTAGTTAGATTGAGCCTACGAAGAAATGAACAAAATTCAGGACAGCTGGAACATGTCTTAACCTCAAATTCTGGGCCACATAAATCAGATATTAGAATATTTCAACTAAAAATCAAAGGATTGCATCAAAAATTATTTACCTGGGCAAAGGATCTAAATAGACACTTTTCAAAAAGGACATACAGAAGGCCCAGAGACATACGAAAACATGCTCAAAGTTACTAATCATCCGAGAGATGCAAATCAAAACAACAATGAGATACCATCTCACACCTGTCAGAATGGCTATCATCAACAAAGAACAAGTGCTGGTGAGGTTGTGGAGAAAAAGGAACCCTCGTGCACTGATGGTCAGAATGCAGACTGGAGCAGCCACTGTGGAAGACAGTATGGAGTTTCCTTAAAAAGTTAAAAATGGAACTCCCATTTGACCCAGTAATCCCACTTCTAGGACTATAAACCAAGAAACCAGAAACACCAATCAAAAAGGATATATGCACCCCTATGTTCATAGCAGCACAATTTGCAATAGCTAAGATTTGGAAACAGACTAAGTGCCCATCAGTAGATGAATGGATTAGAAAACTGTGGTACATCTACACAATAGAATACTATGCGGCTATAAAAAAGAAGTAACTTTTACTATTTGCAATAGCATGGATGGAACTGGAGAGCATTATGCTAAGCAAAATAAGTCAGTCAGAGAAAGATAAATATCACATGATCTCACTCATATGTGGGATATAATGATCAACATAATTTGATGAACAAGAATAGATCCAGAGACAAATGGCAGGGGAGTGTGTGTGTGTGGGTGGGGGGTGGGGGGGTTAGAGAGCAACCAAAGGACTGGTATGCATGCATATTAGCATAAACAATGGACACAGACACTGGGGCGGTGGGGGCTTGCCCGGGGTGGGAATGGGAAGGGGGGTCAATTAGGGAAAAGGGAAATAAAAAAGACAATAAAAATAAATAAATAAACAAAAGCAAAAAAGAAAAAATTATTTACCTTTAGAATCTTAGAAACATAACTGGTTCACAGATGTAAGGAATTCAAGAAGAAAGACCTTTCTTCTCTTCCTCTTTTAAAAAGATTGTTTTAAAAAATACCCCATCATTCAAACATCTAAAAGTTAGAGTCTGGCTACCACATAATTCTCTAAAACCTACTTTTCAAGATGTACACTTAATCATTTTTTCCTTAAAATAAAATATGTTCATTCTATAAAAAAAAAAGTCCTATGAGAATATTGACTCAATATATTGCAAAGTCCAGAAAAGGCTTAATTGGTACCTCAAATAAACAGCCAACTTGAGGAGAGAAAAACTGTTAAAAGCAAAAGTAATATCACTTAAGCATCTTACAATTACGCAAAAGTGTGGATATGGAGGGAATTCAGAATGGGGGAGAAGAGCAAGACAATGTAAACATTTATGCTGTAGATAGAATCAAACTACTAACAATTCTTTAACATGTTTTTGTGGTTGGGTTTTGTTTTGTGTTTTTTTTAAAGAGAATTAATGATAAAAATAACAAAACTTTGAACTAAACGTTCATTATTACTGCTTTGGAAAGCTGCAGAAAATCCTTTTTCTCTGCCATTTCTCTTCCTATCTCCAGCACACACACACCCCACTCCCCCAAAATTTAAAGCTCAAAACACTAGAAACAACTGAAAGTTCAAATCGAATTTTTATATGAGGCACTACAATTCATTAATACATCTAAGAAAAATAAGTTATATCAAAGTCTCACATGTTCTGGGGGGTGGGAATAGGGGCGAGGATGGTATTCAGTTTCTTCCAGGATCATGAATTACATGTGCGGATGGTCAAGCAACCCAAGATTCAGCTTGGAGAGGGCAACACAGGCAAAAAAAAAAAAAAAAAAAAAAAAAAAAAGATACCTAAAAAGTAATGACAGAGGAAAGCAAGGCGAGAAGGGGAGGATTGCGGGTGGAAAAGATTTTGGCTTCTCAATCTTATTTTTCTTTAACGGAAAAACCGACGGGAGCTCAAGGATGGGTGTGTCTTCCAAACTGCACGTTTTAAAGGAAGCCAGTCCACTCAAAAAAGCTGGTAATGCAGGTGAGAAAGGAGGACTGGAGATACGGAACTAAAAAGAGAAGGAAAAAGCGCGGGCGATCAAGCTGGCAGTCCAGGGACGGGAGGGAGAGAATAAAGAGGGCAAGAGAGAGGATCCATAGAAGAAAACTGGGACAGCTCTCCAGCGAGGCGCCCTCGCGCAGGCCAAGCAGCAGAGGGAGTCCTTTCCAATGATTTGCCCCCGCCCCCAACTTTCACAAATGAATGAAACCCGGAGACTGGAGAGCAGGGTGCCTTCCTGGTCCCAATCCTGCCCGCGCACCGGGAAAGGAGCTCACGGTTCAGGCGCCCACCGCTCCTTCCCCCATCCAAGGGCTGCCTGCCCCCTTAGGACCAAACAAAAACTCGTCTAGAAGCTTTCTTGGCCTCTAGGAAGTGGAGCGCGCAAGTCTAGCATCCTTCTCAGGCTTTTCAGCCCGCCGTGGAGGATGCAAACCTGTTCAGCCCTGAAGGGGTTTCCCTCCACCGCACTCGGTTTATCCCCACCCAAACCCACCCTCCATCCCTCTTTTCTGGGTGTGAACGACCTCTCCCCTTCTGGGACGTTTTGGGACCATTCCAGTCTCATCTTTTTGGTAGAAATACAAGCGTCTGCACCAGCCACAGGTCCGTAAGGTGCGGAAAGGTGAGGGCAAGGAACAAACAATCCCACTGGCCCCACACCCTCGGCAACTCCCGCCATTTCCCTCACCAGTCTCCCGGATGTAACCCTTCCTCCTCCGCCCCCCTCCCCCCGCGGCGGTTAAAAAACCAGACGGCGGCGACTCCCTTTGGTGCAGGAGGAGGGAACTCGGGTCTAGTCCAGCCTCCGCCGCCCAGGGTTTCCGGCGACTCTGAATTGCTTCCCACTTTGGAGGCCACAGGGGAAAAAATAAACTACCCAGCAGATATCCCACACTTTACACTCACCATCAATTCCAGCTTATCGACCTCCTCCTCCATGTTGAATAGTTGACATTCCTCAGGCCCCGGCGGTGCTTAAGGCGCAAACCGTACTAGCACTGAGCGTCCCTATTGGACAGCTGTCACTCAACATCTTGCACTCATTGGCTGCTCCGCTTCACCGGCGCCCGCCCATTGGCGATTAGGCAACGCCTCTCCTCATGTAACACCTTTTCCAGTTGGGCAAAGACACAAAATGCCGCCGGAGGGTTGGTTGCTGTATACTTATATTTTTACATTGGCTGCATCCTCATCTCTACTTTCAATTTCATAGTTAGGGCTCAGCCGAGAAGACTGCGATTGGTGCCATCGGAAGAAGAGCCAACCAATGACACAAAGGCTTCCACAAAGAGCAAACGGGAAGTGACACACCTTCTTTCCACTCCTGCCTCTCTTCCCCTTCACTCCCGCCTTCTCCTTATTCATACGAGAAGCGCCTCAGCTCTAATTGGCCGAAGCGTGTTGTCGTCTCAGCCAATCACAAGCCAGGCCGTGCTCCTACGTTACTGGGAGACCTGTGCGTGGGGAGACCGAGACTACGATTGGTCCCTTCTCCGTCAGGTTTTAATTTTGAATTTTTCTTCATGGCGAGGGCGAGGCCACTGCCTGGACTTCATCTAAATCCCCGGCTCTTAGACTAGTAAGTACAGGGATATCTTTTCTTTGTCACCCGGGCTCGCGGCTTCCATGGCTTTGCCTGTTGCTGCTTGTGTTCCTAACGGTTTACGGAGGTGGGGACTTTGGCTGGACTCGGAGGGGAGATGGAGCGGGGCAGAGGAGGTCGAGTCGGGTAAGAAGTGGTCCGCCTGGTGCCACCCTCATCATATTTCTATTTAATTAACACTCTGAAAATTATGTTTTGGGGGAAAGTATCTGCCTTCCTTTTGCACAGTCCTTTACATCTTTGCTACTCAAAGTGCGGTCCACGGACCTACGGCATCTACATCACTTGGGGAGCTTGTGCACAAAGCAGATTATTGGACTGCACCCAAGCTTACTGAATCAATAATGCGTTTTAACAAGATTCCTCACTTACACAGACACAGTGATTCTCATGCACATTAAAGTTCGAGAATGTTAATTTCTTGACAGGTAGTATTACTATAATCCTTTATGTAGTCTTACTATCATCCCACAGTCAGTGAGAATGTCAACTTTAGAAGTATGCCCTGTATACTATGTACCTAATACTGTGTCGGACTAGGGTTAAAGAGCTTTAATTTCTTTTTTTTTAAATTAAATCTTTATTGTTCAGATTATTACATTTGTTCCTCTTTTTTCCCCCCATAGCTCCCCTCCTCCCAGTTTCCGCCCCACCCTCCGCCCTCACTCCCCACCCACTGTCCTCATCCATAGGTGCACAATTTTTGTCCAGTCTCTTCCCGCATCTCCCACACCCCTTTCCCCCCCAAGAATAGTCAGTCCATTCCCTTTCTATGTCCCTGATTCTATTATGATCACCAGATTATTTATTCACTTGATTCTTAGATTCACTTGTTGATAGATGCATGTTTGTTGTTCATAATTTGTATCTTTACCTTTTTCTTCTTCTTCCTCTTCTTAAAGGATACCTTTCAGCATTTCATATAATACTGGTTTGGTGGTGATGAATTCCTTTAGCTTTTCCTTATCTGTGAAGCTCTTTATCTGGCCTTCAATTCTGAATGATAGCTTTGCTGGATAAAGTAATCTTGGTTGTAGGTTCTTGGCATTCATCACTTTGAATATTTCTTGCCATTCCCTTCTGGCCTGCAAAGTTTCTGTTGAGAAATCAGCTGACAGTCGTATGGGTATTCCCTTGTAGGTAACTGAGTTTCTTTCTCTTGCTGCTTTTAAGATTCTCTCTTTGTCTTTTGCTCTTGGCATTTTAATGATGATGTGTCTTGGTGTGGTCCTCTTTGGATTCCTTTTGTTTGGGGTTCTCTGTGCTCCCTGGACCTGTAAGTCTATTTCTTTCACCAGGTAGGGGAAGTTTTCTGTCATTATTTCTTCAAATAGGTTTTCAATATCTTGCTCTCTCTCATCTTCTGGCACCCCTATAATTCTGATGTTGGTACGCTTGAAGCTGTCCCTGAGGCTCCTTACACTATCTTCGTATTTTCGGATTCGTTTTTCATTTTGCTTTTCCAGTTGGGTGTTTTTTGCTTCTTCACATTTCGAATCTTTGACTTGATTCTTGCGCTCCTCTGGTCTGCTGTCGGGAGTCTGTATAATATTCTTTATTTCAGTCAGTGTATGCTTAATTTCTAGTTGGTTCTTTATCACAACATCGAGGGTCTCATTAGATTTCTTGAGGATCTCACTACATTTATCGGCGGCTTCTAGACAGTTCTTAAGAGACCTTAAAAGTGTGGTTCTGAACTCAATATCCTCCATTGACAGTTTGTCCTGTTTCTTTGTCTCCGCATTTTTTATGCTTTCTTGGTGCACCCCCTAGTGGTCTTTGTGCGCAGTCTTGTAGTTAAGCCTTGATTGTTGTTGGCAATACCGGGGGTGATTTGACCTCCAGGCTAACTGGCTATGAGAGTTAGCTGTGTCTGCAGTGGGAGAGCTTCTGTGCTGGATCTCTAGGGCGGTGCTAATCTAGCGTTTGCCTGAGGCTATCCAGCAAATGGCTCTGCACAGGGCTTGGGTGGGGCGGGTCCCCGGGGATCTACAGGGCGGGCCGGAGCGGGCAGTTATGGCTGCTCTCAGTTCCGTCCCTAGGGGCTCTGCCTCACAGAGTCCCGGCAACTGCTGCAAACCTCGGAGATAAAGCTGCCTTCGAGTTCCGACTGAAGCCAGACAGTCCCGCTTCTCCTGTTTGAGTCTGGGTCCCTAGAGACTCGCCCGGATCTGGAGCTCAGAGTCTGAAACTCCCTCCCGATTGAAAACAACAACCGCGCTCTCCGTGGCCAGCCCACTCTGCGCGCACTCCGCACCTTAGTATTTCACTTCAGCACTGCGCCTCCTCTGAGTCTGGGTATGATATTCTCTTTCCTCCTAGTTGTAGAATTTTCACTCAGCCAGCCTTCCTGTGGTTCTGGATGATGTCCGTTCCGTCTTTTAGTTGTTTTTCGAAGTGGTTGTTCGAGGCAGCAATCTCTGGCGTTAAGCTATGTCGCCATCTTGGTTTCTCTCAAGAACTTTAATTTCTAAAGAAAAAAAAAGAGCCAGGAACTTAAAAAGCAATGCTGTACAGCATGAAATGTAAAATTAAATATATGAAAGTACCAGAAAAGCCCTAAGGATGTTCAAGAGGAATCAATTGAACTGGTTGGTAATGGAATTTGATTAATGGACTGAAAGCTGTTTATGGGAAAGTGTAAGAAACTTCCATAAAAATGTGTTTAGGAAGATATATGACATAAAATACATTATATTGCACGCACACCTATACAGAAAGAGATAACAGATAATTGGTGAATCTAAGTGAATGATATGAGTGTTTAGTACCCTATACTTTAATTTTTCTCAAGGTTTGAACATTTTCAAAATAAAAAGAATAGATGAAAATAGGTTATAGCAAAAGACAAAAACAGAAGAAAGCCCAGGGAAAAGATGGTAAAAGCACCTGAAGTTAGAGGACAGAAGGGGAAGGGATGGTAAGGAGAAGGAACAGAATTAAGTTAGTCAGAGGAATATTTATGACTCATATATGAATATATGTATGTGTGTCTTATATATAATACTAGAGGCCTGGTGTACAAATTCATGCACAGGTGGAGTCCCTCAATGTGGCCTGCAGGGACTGGCTGAAACTGGCAGTCCAACCCTGCCTGCCGCTCCTGCCTGCCACTCCCGCTCATCCCAGATCCCAGCCGCTCTGTGCCTGCAGCTGGCTGGAGTCCAGTCAGTCCTGATCGTAAGCCCTGCGTCTAGTGCCTGTCCCTAGGGGGATGGGAGGGGGGCCAGGACATGATCAGCCCTCTGGGTGGTCGGTGGGATGCCCTTAGCGGCCTGGGATCTGGATCCGTCCCTCTGATGTTCGCTCCGGTTGTTGGTTGTCAGGAGCCACCTGGCAGCTGCTTTTATATCATTTCTTCTTCGTGGAGCGTCTAGGGATGGGAGGCAGCCGGTGCCTGAGGCCTACTTACAGGAGTCTGGAGGCACTGTCGGGATTGTGCCAGCAATGCCAGTCCATCGGTGCCTGGCCCGTTTTCTAGAGATTGGACCTGCAGGACTACTGAGGGAGTGAGTGGGCTGCACCAGACTGGTGGGCCACTTGGACCGGTCAGTCAGCTGAGTGGTGCTCCTGCTGTGGGAGTGCACCAACCACCAGGGGGCAGTTCCTGCATTAAGCATCTGCCCCCTGGTGGTCAGTGCACATCATAGCAACCAGTCGTTCTGGTCCTTCTGCCCTAACCATTGCTTAGGCTTTTATTATATTGATACTTTATATATTCTACTCTACAATGGAGTATCCTAATTTCTTCACTTATTTTTTTTATTTATGTTGTGGTATAGATTCTTTGTAATTGGCCTTAAAATCTTCTCAAAACAGGGCACGTAAAAAGGAAGGAAGAATACTTTTCAATTAAAAAAAAAAAAGGAAAAATGCTTTGAGTAATCATGGAAGAATGAGCTTCTACCTAGTATTAGTAATTGGAATCCCACCTAACCCAGCAAAAAGAATTTGTATGTTTTTATTACTCTTTTGGAAAGGGGACAGTTACGGTATATGTGTTTTTAATCCCAAGGAAAATTGCTATATAGTCTTTCAATAGGATAGTTATCCTCTACAGAGTAGAAAGGATATGCTTATTGATGAGAGAGAGAGAGAGAGAGAGAGAGAGAGAGAGAGAGAGAGAGAGAGAGACATCGATGTGAGAGAAAAACATCGATAGGTTGCCTCCCATATATGCCTGACTGGGGATCGAGCCCTAAACCTTTTGGTGTACGGGACAACACTCCAACCAACTGAGCCACACAAACCAAGGCTGTAGTAATTTTAATAAAGCAATGAAAATAAAACAAACCTTAGCTTGCTGAGTCCTTTGTCCTGTTTGAGGTAGAAATTAATTATCTTTAATTTTTGGAAGAGCTGTGATTATTATTTTTAGGTATATTTTATTGATTTTTTACAGAGAGGAAGGGAGAGGGATAGAGAGTTAGAAGCATCAATGAGAGAAACATCAATCAGCTGCCTCCTACTGGGGATGTGCCTGCAACCAAGGTACATGCCCTTGACCAGAATCGAACCTGGGACCTTTCAGTCCATAGGCCAACGCTCTATTCACTGAGCCAAACCTGTTAGGGCGAGTTGTGATTATTTTTGAATGGAATATTAGTCTAAGAATTATCTCAGATTGCACCTTTCTACATTGACAGATTTGACATAGTCTCTAAATTGTCTGCATGTGCTAATTACTATATTTAATTAGAAGACTATTAGAGTGAGAATGACCCAGAGCCCAGGACACACACACACACACTCTCTCTCTCTCTCTCTCTCTCTCTCTCTCTCTCTCTCTCACACACACACACACACACACACACACACAGAGCCAGAGGAGAAAATATGACTTAGTTCCTAGATTTTTTTTTTTAATTGAAAAATAATCTTCACAGTGGCATGCATTGGCTTTTGTTGGACTCTTAAGAAATGTGAATGCATGGGTACTGGAACAACCACCAGGAAAGAGCTAAAAAGAGATGGCCCAGTTTCAGAATGGTGGTATTCTATTTTTCAAGCTAATAATATATTCTGAAGGTTAACTGTCAAGTACTAATACAAGGCTTATTATAGTTAGAACAAACAAAAAATGGCAGTTCTCTAAATTACCTATAATCCTGGTTCCCACTTGCCAAAGGCAATACTGTCCACTCTTGTAATTTTTTCTGACATTTACCTCCATCTAAATAACATTCTTATAATAACGTTTCTCTCTTTTTATTTTTTATTTTTTTTTTTAAATATATTTTATTGATTTTTTACAGAGAGGAAGGGAGAGGGATAGAGAGTTAGAAACATCGATAAGAGAGAAACATCGATCAGCTGCCTCCCGCACATCCCCCACTGGGGAAGTGCCTGCAACCCAGGTACATGCCCTTGACCGGAATCGAACCTGGGACCCTTCAGTCCGCAGGCCGACGCTCTATCCGCTGAGCCAAACCGGCTTTGGCAGTTTCTCTCTTTTTAAAAAATTTTTAGACACTATATACATTTAGACAACTACTAAGTCCTACTTTTCTTTCTTCCCAATATACCCACATCATCATTTTTGGTTGAGTAAACATTCAATATTTACACTATTAAATATTTAACAGTGGAACATATAGTAAGTATTACTATGATTATTTTTCTTCTTGCACAACTTTTTTTCCTAAGCATTTTTATATGCTTATATTTTTTAGCTCTTAGGAGTAATCTGCCCCCAACTTTACAAAAGTACAGTCAAAAGTAAATAGTTAATTTTCTTTCTTCTGTTACCAACTTCACCTATTACAGTAGATGCTAAGTAAATGTTACTGGCAAAGAAAGTTAATTCTTTTGAGTCACATACCATAATCCAACTATAGCTATTTTCTCTGTTATAAATAAAGGGAAATTCACTTAATTTAATGAAGAAAATCAAGACAAGCAAAACAAAATTAGTAATGTAATGCCAAAGCCAAAGCCTCTAGAGATAGTTTAAATATGGACTTAAATTTTTCTCTACATTAGAAGACTTCTGGGATGCTTGTAGTGATCTATTTTCTAACCGAGGTGGTGGTTACAGAGTAAGTTTAATTTAAGTTTAATTCATTAAACGATACACTTAAGATTTGTGCATTTTATATACGTACATAGTAGTCTTCAAGAAAAAAAATTTTTTTTTGTTAATCTTCATCTGAGGATATTTTTTCCATTGATTTTTAGAGACAGTGGAAGGGAGGGGGAAAGACAGAGAGAGAGAAACATCGATGTGAGAGAGACATCAATTGGTTGCCTCCCCCATGCACCTTGAATCAGGGCCAGGGATCCAGTCTGCAACCAAGGTACATGCCCTTGACTGGAATCGAACCTGGGACCTTTCAGTCTGCAGGATGACACTCTATCCACTGAACCAAACCAACTAGGGCTTCAAGAAAAAAATTTTTTTAATATATTTTTTCTCTACAGAAATCATGCTCAAGTTCAAGCAACAAAGAAGGAAGCGAAAAGTAAAAGCAAAAAGATTATTTAAAAAAAAAGAATTCTCTCACTTTCAGTCCAAGCTAGTTACACCTCCCCCTCCACCATCCTCAACAGAAAGGTAAGGCATAATGTGGAACAGAGAAAAATATTAAAAATCCCATCAGTTTAAGATAAAATTACTAGATTTAGCAAGTGAAGATACAGAATGCCCAGTTAAATTTGAATTTCATATAAACAATGAGTTTTTTTCTATTGTCCCATGCAACATTTCTAATATACTTATACTAAAACTTATTCAGAAATTGAATTTTAACTGAGCATCCTTGAATTTTGTGTGGCAACTATAGTCTACGAGTTGAAATGAAGTAATGATCACAAGGAATTGTGTTGGAGGTGCACAGTAACTATTTTCTCTTTTCCTACTCAATTTAATTGCATAAATATGATAACCAAGCAATGAAAGCGAGGTATAATATTGGAATTTAAATCTCAGTTTTGGTAAAGTTTGGTCAGTATTCTCTGGGACTCAAGGCTTAAATGTGTTATTGAAAGAGACTCTAAGTTCTAGGGACCCAAGGGTACTTTGTCACAATAACAATTTATACATTTTGTTGTTTTAGCTCTCTTTACAGACAAAATTTAAAACAAACAGGCCCTCAAAAAGCAGTTACCATGATATCATTCTCTTTTCCATTTCTCCCCAATATTGAGAAAGTCCCTAACTGGTCTTTCTGCTTCTGCCTTTTTGCCCTCTTCAGTAAGCCTGTTAAAATCATGTCATATTGCTTCTTTACTTAAAGCTTTTCAATATCTTCCTCTCTCAGAGTAGAAATTAAAGTCCATAGTATGACCCCCAAGGCCTTTATGATCTGACTCTGACATTATTTCTTAATCCTTCTCCCTTCTATTTCTCCACCCAAGTCATCCTGGCCTCCTTGCTATTCCTCAGACATCTCAATGAACTTCCACATCAGGGCCTTTGCACTCGCCCCTGATGGAATGCTCTTCTTCTAGATATTTGAATTGCTAGCTTCTTTATTTCCTTTAGGGTTCTCCACCCCCCACCCTTCAAAAGTCTCCTTCTCAGTGAGACTTTCCCTGGCTACCATATTGAAAATTTCATCTCCACCCAACATTTCACATTCCCCCTCTCTCTATCTTTTTATTTTTTTTTAATATTTTATTTATTTTTTTACAGAGAGGGAGGGAGAGGGATAGAGAGTTAGAAACATCGATGAGAGAGAAACATCGATCAGCTGCCTCCTGCACACCCCCTACCAGGGATGTGCCTACAACCAAGGTACATGCCCTTGGCTGGAATCGAACCTGGGACCATTCAGTCTGCAGGCCAACGCTCTATCCACTGAGCCAATCCAGTTAGGGCCTCTCTCTGTCTTTTTCTTCTTAGCATTTATGCACTAACAACCCACATATGTTATTTATTTACTTATTTTTATCTTTCTTCCATTAAACTGTAAACTCCACGAGGGTAGGGTTTTTGTCTATTTTGTTCATTACTAAATCCCTGATTCTTATTTATTTATTATTTCATTTATTTTATTTGTTATTATTTATTTACTCAACAAATATTTGTTGCATAAGTGAATCCCAGAATTCTAGAATTACTGAAGAATTTGACTTTAGGAAGTCTCTGTTCCTGACTTCTACTATAAAACTAGCTTGTTGTTTAATTAGGGGCTATGATTCCAACTCAGGAGTTTTTGCTTTATTTAGTTTTGTTTTTCCCACAGAGTGGTTATTTCTTCAACAAACACACCTCCTATCAGAACCTGGCTAAGATCATCCTGGAATTTCAAATTTCCCAGTATCAAAGATGCAGTCAAACTTTGGACAAATAGAGGACGGTTTATATACAACTGGTGCCAGAACTGCATAGCCCAGGTATGGGTTTGACATACCTGTTTCCAGCACTACACACTTGCTGTGTGTGTGCACTCAGGTCAGCACAGCATTCAGGCTAAACTCAGATAAGATGAAGTTATGGGGTCATGTCTGCCTTTGTTTCTATAAGAAACAAGACCACTTTCTTGTCCTCTTTTCTTGTCTTTATCTTATTGCTCATCAGAATCAGGCTTGTGTATTTTTTAATTTTAGAGCTTAGAAGTATTGAAAAACACCATCTTTCCTTCCCGTTTCTGCCACCAAGAGCTTCAAAGTCTAAAACAACAGTTTTGCATTTTGGAAAGTGAATTATGCAAGCTCCAGGAAGCACTGAAGGTTAGTAACCTATATAATAAAAATCTAATATGCAAATCAATGGAATGGAGGAACGACCTGGTAAGCAGGGGGTGGGCCCAGCAAGTGGGCGGCTCCAGGCCAGCCAAGTCAGGTGCCAGCGGGCAGAGGGAGTGGATGGTAATCAGGGGTCAGCGGCAGAGGAGCGGAAGGGCCGGCCACTCGCCGGCTGACACCATCCTCCGATCGGCCTGCTGGTCGCCTCCTGCAGAGGAGCAGGCCTAAGCTGTCAGTCGGACATCCCCCAAGGGCTCTCGGACTGAAAGAGGGTGCAGGCTGGGCCGAGGGACTCACCCGAGTGTACAAATTTTCGTGCACCTGGCCTCCAGTTATCAAATAAAAAACAAATCTGGGTCCTTAGCTGGTTTGGCTCGGTGGATAGAGCGTCAGCCTGTGGGTTGAAGGGTCCCAGATTTGATTCCGGTAAAGGGCACATGCCCAGGTTGCAGGCTCATGCCTAGTAAGGGGTGTGCAAGAGGCAGCGGATCAGTGGTTCTCTCCCATCATTGATGTTTCTAACTCCTCCCTTTCCCTTCCTCTTTGAAATCAATAAAAAATATATTCAAAAAAACAAAAAATAAATCTGGGATTTGGTAAGGAGGGAAGGGGTTGTCTCCCATAAGAATCTCAATGTGCTTTTAACTAGAAAAGGAGTGACTGCAGGTGAGTGCTAATCCTAGGCCTGTTTGCCCTCAGATCTGTTCCTTAAAACACTGAGGTTCTGCTCCATATTGCAGGGATGTTGGCCCCTTTAGGTTACATTCCCCAAGCTCCGTGTCACCTGGTTCCTGGTTGTGCTAGACTAACAGTAGACATGGATGAGAGACTAGAGGGAGGGAGAAGATAGGGCAGTGATGGCGAACCTTTTGAGCTCAGCATGTCAGCATTTTGAAAAACCCTAACTTAACTCTGGTGCCGTGTCACATACAGAAATTTTTTGATATTTGCAACCATAGTAAAACAAAGATTTATATTTTTGATATTTATTTTATATATTTAAATGCCACTTAACAAAGAAAAATCAACCAAAAAAATGAGTTAGCGTGTCACCTCTGACACGCGTGTCATAGGTTCGCCATCACTGAGATAGGGTGTTTTTCCCCTTTCATTTTCTGTGTTGGGCGATTTCCCCAGCAATGGCTGTAATTGTTTCTCAAATTCCAGCTCCCTCAGGTAAGTCTGCCACATTTCTTGATTCTCTGGGTTAACCTAGCTCCAGAGATCTGCTTCTACTGCTCTTTCCTTTGTCCTTCTATTCGCAGGATATTCATAGCTTTCTGCTCTTGAAAATTTCTGGGCTGCCTCACTGCCCCCTGTGTGCTTCTCATCTCTTCCAGCAACAGTGGCACCAACTGCTTTCATTACATTCCCCATCTTTGAAATACTCAGGGTGTTTTTATTTTCTTGACTAATAAAGGCAGGAAAGAAAACACCCCAAACTGTAAATATCCACCCCCTTCACTCTCAGGAGCAAGGCCTCTATTCTCAATGTCCAAAACTCAAAAGAATAAACATTGTACTCATTGGTTTAGAGAGAAACCTCTGAGGTTATATCCCTGCTCCCAGAATTTGTACCTCACGATGAACTGGCCCCATGGTCGGCAAACTGCAGCTCGCGAGCCACATGCGGCTCTTTGGCCCCTTGAGTGTGGCTCTTCCTAAGCCTTAGGAGGACCCTAATGAAGTTAATAACAATGTACCTACCTATATAGTCTACGTTTAAAAAATTTGGCTCTCAAAAGAAATTTCAGTCGTTGTACTGTTGATATTTTGCTCTGTTGACTAATGAGTTTGCCGACCACTGAACTAGCCAGATAGGGGAAGACAAATCACCTCTCAGCCTCAGTTTCATTATCTCTAAGTGGGGATGATGCCATCTTTAGTGGGCTGAGTGACGGCCCCCCAAAAGATATGTCCAAATCCTAATCCCTGGAACCTATAAATATTAGCTTATTTGGGAAAAGGGGTCTTTGCTGATAAAATTAAGGATTTTGAGATAAGGAGGTCATCCTGTGTTACCTGGGAAGAGACTACATCCAATGGAACTTCATAGTCTAAATAAGACAACGATTTTGCATTTCGACAAGTGAATTGTCCTTATAAAAGAGACACACAGCCCTAACCGGTTTGGCTTAGTGGATAGAGCGTCAGCCTGAGGACTCAAGGGTCCCAGGTTCGATTCTGGTCAAGGGCATATACCTTGGTTGTGGGCACTTCCCCAGTAGGGAGTGTACAGGAGGCAGCTGATCAATGTTTCTCTCATTGATGTTTCTAACGCTCTATCCCTCTCCCTCTCTGTAAAAAATTAATAAAATATATATTTTTTAAAAAAGAGACACACAGAGCAGAATACACAGAGAAGGAAGAGCAGTGGGACCACAGAGACAGAGGTTGTAGCGATGCAGCTTCAACCAAGGAATCTACCAGAAGCTGGAAGAGGCAAGGAACGGATTCTTCCCTAGAGCCGTGGGAAGGAGTGCAGCCCTGCTGACACTTTGATTTCGGACTTGTAGGCTCCAGCACTGTGAGAAAATGAATAAATGAATTTCTATTATTTTAAGCCACCAAGTTAGTGATAATTTGTTACAGTAGCCACAGGAAACTAATATACCATCTTACTTCATAGGATCATTTTATTTGTTGCTAGGGCTACCATAACAAAGTAGCACAGACTAAGTGTCTTATACAGCAGAAATTTATTTTCTCACAATTCTGGAGGCTACAAGTCCAAGATCAAGGTTGGGTTGTTGTTCTTTCTGAGGCCTCTCACCTTGGCTCGCCTTCTCACAGTGTCCTCACATGGACTTTGCACCGTGCACGCCCATCCCAGGGGTGTCCTATATATTCATACTTCCTTTTTTATAAGGACACCAGTCAGATTGGATGAAAACCCACCCTGACAGCCTTATTTTACTTTAACCACCTCTTTAAAGACCCTATCTCCAAATATATTCTGGAGTACTGGGAATTAAAACTTCAACATATGATTGGGGGCGAGGGGAGTGTACACAAATCAGTCCATATGGTCATGTTACAGCCCCTTGGCCTTTTTATCAATTTCTTGAATATACTATACTAGAGGCCTGGTGCATGGCATTTGTGCACTGAGGGGCGGGGGCGCAGAGGAGGGTGTTGCAGCCTGCCTGTGCCCTCTCACAATCCGGGACCCTTCAGGGGGTGTCCAACTGCCGGCTTAGGCTTGCTCCGTGGCCAGGTAGTCAGACATCCCCTAGGGGTCCTTAGCACTGCTGCAGAGGCGGGAGAGGCTCCTGCCACCACCACTGCACTCGCCAGCCATGAGCCCTGCTTCTGGCTGAGTGGCACTCTCCCTGTGGGAGTGCACTGGCCACCAAGGGGCAGCTCCTGCATTGAGTGTCTGCCCCTGGTGGTCAGAGCATGTCATAGCGACCGGTCATTCGGCCGTTGGGTCGATTTGCATATTATCGTTTTATTATATAGGATTCTTGGCTGCTAAGTATTTTCCCCTCTGCTAGGAATTCTCTTTCCCCAGTCCTTATCTTCCTTCACATGATAAATCTCAATTCATCCTTAAGATTATAGCTAAATGTTGCTCCCCAGGCTTCTCACTCTTTATGCTCTCAGCACACTTCATTACTCTTATTATTATTTTATTTGGTTTTGAGCATATCATATGTGTTTAATGTCTGTGTTCCTCACCAGACTGTCAGCTCCATGAGGTGGCACACAGGGCTCTCATTGGCCTATAGTGCCTGACATATTGCATACATAAAACAAATGTCTGAATGAAATTTAAATATATCATTCAAGATTGCCACTGTTAACATACTATTATTTATAATTCTAATCTTTTTCTAGGCATATAATCTATTGTTTATTATACTAAGATACATAATTGATTTAACTGAATAACTGAATGAATGAATGAACTTGTGATAAATGAGAAAATATTATGAAACATGATGTACTGAGAAAGTATTCTATATAGTACCTTTTTCTTGAATGACCCTCGGCTACAAGAACCAAATTAACCTGTTATTTCTTTGCCAAATGTAATGTCTTCTTTCAGACTATCTCAGAAAATTCTTCCTGTCCGAGCTGTGGTCATCCCTGTTACATGAATGGTAAACTTACAATAGTGCCTGCCTGTGCTGTAACCACCCCTGGAGAATCGGGAGCCGTACTTCCTGCCACACTGCCAAAGCCAGCAGGCCATCTTCCTCCTCCACCCCCACCTCCCCCCCCTCCACCTCCACCTCTGCCTCCCCCTCCACCACCCACAGCACCTTTGCTGCTCAGAAAATCCAATCTCACCAAAGCACTTCAGGTAAAAAACAATCTAGTAAAGGTGTGTTTTGGTCAGTATGTAATGGAGGCGTAAAGACAGGTGTCATTTTAAGGCTGGCCTAAGGACTTTAACAGGAAAGCTATATTCTGATTCCATATCTTAATTATGTCAGTTATTGTGTTTATAAAAAAATCAGTCCCCTGGGAACTCACAAAAGCTGGATATAGAAAAACAAGTGATTTTGTTTAAGGATAAATAAATATAATTTAGTAGAATAGAAGATTTCTGTTGGCTTCTCAGCATATCTTTTATTTTTTTTCTCCAACTAAACCAGTAAGTTTCCCTTGAAAAATGTCAGCATATCTTTTTACCAAAAGGAAAACCTCCCTGAGAAACCAAATTAAGAACAGAAGATAGCTTAGTGAGTGAACTCTGCATAAAAAGAGTTGGTGGATCCAGAGAACCAGTCTCCATTAGGTTTACTTATCTGTCACAGGGACTGAAATATTTGTAAATCACTAAGATAGCCGTGATCCTGTTTTAAAATCTGCTGAATTTTCACTATGGATACATTTGATTTATAATGGCTGAGTTAAATCCAGAGCTTACAGCTATATTTGCCCTAATGTATACCTCTCTGACTATACATTTTTGCTGTATGGGAACTGGATCATCTTTTTACGTAGTTCAGGTAAACGTCATTTGATTTGAGGAACTATTTCAACTCGTATCTTGTAATGACTACTGAGGAAGATGCATAATTTCAGGAACGAGTAGCTCATCTCTTATTATCAAAGTTGTACCGTTTGATGAATACCTTCAATAGCCTTAGTATCTTTGGGTACTGAAAACAGGATCATTCTTGATTAAGTGATAAGAATTTGATAGGTTCCTAGGGTAAATAAGGGTTAACTTTTAACTCTAGGTCTTTGAAAACTATATTATGATTTGCATTTGACTAGATATCATGGCTCCGAATTGAATTTTAATCTTTCCATGTATTTTAAGGCTGGACCATTGAAAAAAGATGGACCCATGCAGATAACAGTTAAAGATCTAATGACTGTGAAATTAAAGAAAACCCAGAGTTTTGATGAAAAGAAAAAGGTAAGATATCATTGATCATACACAGAGTCTTTAAGCTATTAGCCTGATTGTCCCTTTATGGAAACAAAATATAAGTCTTATGTATAGAAGCTATCCCAACGTAAGTACTTGATATCTTATTTAAGTAGTTGTGGATCTCTGCAACAAAATATGTAGATTCCAAGGAACTGGAGAAGAGACTGTGATTGATGCTCTGTGTGTGCCTGTTCAACTGGACACCCGCTTTTTGGAGACCGTATTAAAGTCTCGTTTTCCCCCAGCCGGCGTGATTCAGTGGTTGAGCAGCAACCTATGAACCTGGAGGTCACGGTTAGATTCTGGGTGGCTGGCTCGATCTCCAGTGGGGGGCATGCAGGAGGCAGCTGATCAATGATTCTCTCTCATCATTGATGTTTCTCTCTCTTCCTCTCTGAAATCAATAAAAATCTATTTTTAAAAAAGAAAAAGAAAAACAAAACAAAAACAAAACAAAACAAAAATATGTAGATTCCAAAATTATTTAATGAGGCAGTTTTATGTGCCAACCATTAATTAGTCTGAAGAGGTAGAGACATACTTTGAAGTTTTACAGTAAAACTTAAGTAGAGTAGTGGCTATATCTTATGCATATCCAGCACTCAGATATTCATTGTTTCAGCATGTTTACATTTTGAATATTTTTAATGTGTTTTTTAATAATGTCTCATTTTGCAATTAAAGCTTGTTCCATCACCAGAGGTACGGAATCCGCTAGTTACCGTCTCTGACCTGCAGCGCGTTACCCTGAAGCCCAACTCCAAAGTGTTATCAACTCGAGTTACAAACGTCTTAATGTAAGAAATTGCACCGTTATCCTCTACCACTACTTAAAAAATGTGTTTTTTGCTTTTTTCTAACTTTAAAAATTATATATGTGCATTGTAGAAAAAATGGTATCTACAAAAAAATTTAAAGAAGAAAACAAAAATCATCCAACTAAATATATCATTAAAGATTCCTACTGTTAACGTACTATTATTTATCATTCTAATCTTTTTCTAGGCAGATAACAGATTTTTGGGGAAAAACAATTACTATCAAGAGTTTTAGTAACTTATATACCTCAATAAAATAAATTTTAAAGCAGTTCGATTTCAGAAATAATAAAATATGAAAATTAGTGTGTCTTAGAATCAAGGAAACATAATATATGTGTGTATACCTGTGTATAATCATATTGTAGATACAGTTACGACTTTTCCCATTCAGTGTGTCATGAGCTTCCCCCATCTTATTAAAAATTAATTTAAAGCATCATTTTGATTTCTTAAGTACATATTGTTTATTATATATAAATTTCATAGATAAAATCCTGTTTTGAGACATTTAGGTTGTTTATGCTTTTTTATTTCAATGAACATCCTTATCAATCATCTGTATGCATAGCTGAGTTTTCCCTAAGGTGGATTTGTATACATGTAATTACTAAGGCAAGAAGTATTGCTCTGAAGAATTATTATATCATCTTATGCTCCTATCAGCAATACCCACTGCTATTTTTTACTATTTCTAGGATGTTGCCTATAAAAATGACTGCTTTGCTTTGGGAAAAATGATAATATCTAGCAAGTTCTAATTTTGATGTCTTTATTTTATTAGTAATCCTGGTAAAAGTCAGATAGACCTGCGGAAACTACTTAGAAAAGTCGATGTAGAGAGGTAATAAACTCTCTTATCTTTATGTTTTCTAAATCTACATGGTAATTGGCATAAAATACAGTTTCTAATAGTTTTATTACCTTTGCAGGAGCCCAGGTGGGACCCCTCTTACCAATAAAGAAAATATGGAAACAGGAACTGGACTGACTCCAGTAATGACCCGGGCCTTAAGGAGAAAGTTTCAGGTAAGCCTTTAGAAAAAAAAAAAAAAAATTGGGTTCCTTTTCTTTAAAATCATTTATTTAGAATCTTAATCTAAAGCAGCTTTCTTTTTTTTGCATATATATATATATATTTTATTGGTTTCAGAGAGGAAGGGTGAGGGAGAGAGAGATAGAAACATCAATGATGAGAGAGAATAGTTGATTGGCTGCCTCCTACATACCCACTACTGAGGTTTGTGCCTGCAACCTAGGCATGTGCCCTTGACCAGAATCGAACCTGGGACCCATCAGTCCGCAGGCCAATGTTCTATCCACTAAACCAAACCAGCTAAGGCTAAAGCAGCTTTCTTAGTAATAATAATAATAATAATAATAATCTTTAAATGATACTTTATGCGTTACAAAGCACTCACATATTTAGGCTTCATAAAATTCTATGAGATAGTGAAGATTATCATCTTCACTTTACCAGTGACTGGTTTTTAAAATTCTTTTATTAACTATTTATTAAACCTCATATGCCAGGCACTGTGCTGGAGTATCAGGGATATAGTGATAAGCAAAACAGACACAAATCTACTGTTTTGGAACTTACAGTCTAGTGGGGAAAATAGATGTTTACCAAATGATCACATATATGGATAATTGTGCACGAAAATAAGTGCTGTGAAGGAAAGGAATAGGGTTCTGTAGAGCCCATGATTTAGGAAGGATTTTCTTAGGAAGTGATGAGGTGAGACTGGAAGGGTGAATAGGCATTCGCTGAGAAGGGTACCTATGTAGTATGGGGGTGGGCCTCCCATGGATGTCATGGAAGAAAAAGTACCGAACATAAAGAACAGCATGTGAGAAGGTCTCACAGTGGGAGGAATCATGGCCGTTCAGAGGAACTAAAAAGTAGCCAGAATGGCTGCTGAGAGAGCAAGTTTATCAGTGGTGACAGACAGGGATGGAGATGTCGCTAGGAGTCAGATCATGCAGAGTTGATAGGAAAAGGTATTGGCAGCTTTTTTCTTTGTCATCTACATGTATGCCCACTCACCAAAATCCAGCACATCAGTTCGCCTTGTGTGATTTTTTTCCAAACCCCGTTTGTCCCTATCATTTCCCTGATCAGATCTGTACGGAATAGCCATCCTTCTGCCACCCCTGCTAGAGTGCGGGGACACAAGGCTGCTGGCCTCTTTGGCTATGAAGCTTACATTTCTGTGACCCTCTGGCAGCAAAGACGCACCGTAGACTTCACTGCTGACACTTCACCCCAACACTGTCCTCATTAAGAATCAGTGCCTTTTGCAGGACAGCTTGGTTTCTCTCTTGCCAATTCAGCTGGGTCCTCCTGGGACTACATGGTCTTCTTTGGAGGTGTGGCCAGATTCCTCTCTCCTCCAATAGGGCTCTACCTCTGGATTACCTTCCTTGGTGATAACACAGATTGTGAAGGACAGGGGCAGAAGGCAGAGGCCTCACCGAAGGACTGAGCCCCTTCCTTCCCTTCTTCAATTCTAGGATCCTTTTTGTCCCAGTGGGCTGGGTAATGTAGAAACAAATAGAAATATAATAAATAACATATCCACATATTTAGCAACAACATCAAAAATCACAGATAGTCCCTATGCCCTATATGTGCTCCTCAAAAGTCACTTGCTAGGAGGATGTCTAGTAAAAAACTGTTGCGCATAGAATGACTTTTCCTACCCAGCCCTTAGGCTTCCTTCCTTTACCTTTGAAGCAACTGCATTCGTTAGGTCTTGCATTTGGTTGCAGGTAACAGAAATCTGACTACAGTGTCATAACCAACGAAGGGCTTTTTTTCTTACCTACATATTCCCTTGAGAAGCAGGCAGTCTAATTGGTACAGCAGCTTCACCATGTCATCACTGCTTTCCCATCCTTAATGTGTGGCTTTGATTAAGGTGCAGAATGACTGTACTTCCTGAAGACTCATGTCTACATTCTAAGCAAGATAAAAAGTGCAAAGGACAAGAGGGTGTGCTAGCTAAGATATCCCTAATCTCTTTAAACAGGAACTTCTGATTATATCAGGGAAGTCGGGAAAATTGTTTTTTAGAATCTGGATGCATTGCTTCTTTGTACAAAACCTGGGTTCTGTTAATAAGGAAGAAGGAGAACTGTGTTAGCTACAGGAGCATAATTCACATTATAATTGAGACTTTTCTTTCTTTTTTTCATAGCTGGCTCACCCTAGAAGCCCAACTCAAACTCTGCCACTTTCTACAAGCAACTATGATGAACAAAACTGATGCCAACTCTGCCTGACTCCATGTGATCATCCATAAAATATCCATAAAATCACTCCACTCCTTCTTTAAAAATGTAGTATGTATAAATAATTATTCTAATTTATAATTCCATTTAAAGAATTACAGTATTATGGAGCCCATATTTACTGTAGATACTAGTAAAGTGGGTATTTGGATATTTTCTGGTTTACATGATCAATAAGAGAACAGAATGGAAAATACAATCTCCAAAGTGATGTTCATCCTGGAATTACCCAATTTAGGTTGGAGAAGTTTTTTAAATTTAGCTAGATAACTAATTTGTACTCTCTAGGTGCATTTATGACCTTAAGACATTAACCTAGTTCCCATTCATCTTGGGTATTCTCAGGTAATTGAAAAGTATTTCAGCTTTTAAAGCGCATGCATTCATTAAGTGCTACAAACTTGATCAATAAGAAAGACCTCTAGGTTTTATTTATGTTCATTATGAACAGTTAAGAGATAAGAGCATCCTACATCCAAACCCACCTATTTTCCAAAAGGTTTGAAAGCAAAAGGTCCAATGTGATCTTAAAAATTAGAATATATCATTTCTAGCCTCTTAGGTAGGGAGTCATATCTGGCTCACTGAAGTCTGAGATATTCATTATTTTGATGTCTGCTGTCTACATTCATACAGCTAAATATAAATTTCATGAAGACTTCAGCCTGAACCTTGTATTGTCCACAGTGCCCTAGCAAGGATTCTTTGAGGTCCATAGCAGGTTCACTATAAGACCTGATACCCTGTTGATTCAATATCAATAATAATGTACACCTAACTGGATTTTTGTTCTTTCCTGCCAATCCAGGTTTTCCAGATTTAATAAATATAAATATATGACACCAATCAAATTTGAATTTCAGATAAATAACAAATAACTTTTCAATATAAATATGTCCCATTAAACAATGAATACTTTGTTTAGTATAATATTGCATGGGACATATGTATACTAAAAAAAAAAAAAAAAAAAAAAGTCAGCTCTGGCTGGTGTGCTCAGTGGTTAGAGCATTGGCCTGAGAACCAAAGGATCATGGGTCTAGGGTATGTACCTGGGTTGCAGGTTTGATCCCCGGCCCCAGTCAGGATGCATGCAGGAGGCAACCCATCGATGTGTCTCTCTTACATAGATGTTTCTCTCTCTCTCCCCTTCCTTCCACTGTCTCTAAAAATTATTAGAAAAAATATCCTGGGTGAGGACTAACCAAAAAAATTCATTGTTTACCTGAAATTCAAATTTAACTGGGCATCCTTTATTTTATTTGGTGACCAACGAGTCAGTCTCCTACAAATTTGCCAGGTATTTCTGGGAGGCCCCAGTTTGTCAGACACATCTATTTAACAGTGAGCACGATTATAGATTTGTCAAGGATCCCCATTACTAACGCCCTAAGTGTCATGGAGGAAGGGAAACTCATTAGTGCGAGTGTGACTGAACATGCAGGACTGTCTTTAATGCTGTAACCTCCACTGCAGTTCCAGAAAGGCGGCTAGTAGTTCTTCATGGATAGGGACCCAGGGGTTTCAGCTACATAGATGATATCCTTGAAATAGTCCCTGGTTAGCTTAGGCTTAAAAGGTATTTTAGCATTTTCCAGAAATGCTTGTATTTCCACAGGTAAATATGGCTGTGAGGTGCCAAATAGTGTTATAAAAGTCACCAGACTGGAAAGCAGACCTGGGGATACTGTTTTGTTTTTATGAAATCCACATTTATGTTTACAGCACATTTATAAATAAAAATTCAACAGATGTTAGTTAAGAAACGTATGTGCTTCCAATAAATTTTTTTTAACCTGCTAACTACATTTGTATTATGTGTGAATGATCACTGAGAATAAAGTAGTTGAGCATTTGTACAAAATATTTTATTAGGCACTCATAATGTTTCTAATATTAATAAACCACTGTGTACTATATCGATTTTAAATTATGTAATCATTCTTGTAGAATACAGGTTTATAAAAACATGTTATAGAAATTCTATAGATAAATATTTGTAAAGCTGCTATTGCCATTATACCAGTATTAAATTGTATTCTATGTTGCATCATTTAAAATTTTTATGGCAGATTTTATATTGTACCCATTTGAGAATCCCGTAAATGTTATGGCTTCATTAAACTGTTGCTGATCATATGTTCCCAATGTTTATTTTGAGACTAAATGACAACCAAAGAATATAAACTACTACCATGGTACATCTGGTTATGTTTTTAAATAAAGAGCAATAAAAGAGCCTTTAGTTTTTCTCTTTTTTAATGTTTTCACCAGAACAATAGCACATAGAGAAAGGTACATAAAATGTAAGTAAATAAATTAACAATTCATAAAGCAAACACTCATCTAACCAAGAAAGAGACATTATAAATGTCTTTAGAAGCCCTGACTGTCCCCCTCCCATATTATAATCCCTTTCCTCTAAAACTAATTACTGACATGCTTGTTACAATAAATATTTATTGTTTAGTCCTTTTAAGTATGCCTCCCTAAATGTGTGGTTTATTTTGCTTGCTTCTGAACTCTTATGTAAATAAAATCATACATTATTCTTCTTTCATTAATCCTCAATCAGAGGATTTTTTTCCCGCATTGATTTTTTATTTATTTAAAATACGGAATGCTTCACGAATTTGCATGTCATCCTTGCGGAGGGGTCATGCTAATCTCTGTATCATTCTAATTTTAGTATATGTGCTGCTGAAGCAAGCACTCCCATTGATTTTTTAGAGGGGAAGGGAGGGAAAGAGAGAGAGAGAAACATTGATGTTAGAGAAACACATAGATTGGTTGCCTCCTACATGGTGCCAGGGATTGAATCTGTAACCCAGGTACATGCCCTGGACCGGGAATCAAAACCATTACCCCCTCGCTCTAACCACTGAGCACACGAGCCAGGGCTCTTCTGTCTTCTTTCAATCGACATTTATTTTTTTAAGGTTCAACCGTGTTGCCCCAGCTGATAGAGCATCGGCCTGTGGACCGAAGAGTCCCGGCTTCGATTCTGGTCAAGGGCATGTACCTGGCCCAGGCCTTGGTCGGGGCTCCTCCAGGAGGCAACCAATGGATCACATCAATATTTCTCTCTTTCCCTCTCTCTTCCACTCCAAAAATCAATGGAAAAATATCCTCAGGTGTGGATTTTTTTAAAAAAGGATTCAATTATGTCATTGTGCAGTGCTATAAATCATTATTTTTGATATGTGAATCTAGTTATCCATTCTATTGTTAATGAACATCAGGGTTATTTCTAGTTTTTGGCTATTATGAAACTGCTAGGTTACAAAGTGCCTATTTTGTAGATAGTGTCAAACTGGATTTCCAAGTGATTGTACCAATCTGTGCTCCCTTCAGCAAAGTGTAACAGTTGTTTCTCCTGTTTTCTTCAAGAGAGTCTTTTCTATTTGGTTTTTCAACATTTTGCTTACTTGGGAAAACTATACAATGTGTGAGGTTAATATACACTATTTTTCCTGTATTTATAAGTCAAAGAATTGTTAAAATAATATGTCAGCAAAGTCACTTACTAAACATAGCAAATAATCTCCATGTTGAGGACCACAATGTAATTTATGTGGATGAACGTGTGGATGTTTTCATTTTAGTTGGCTTTTCAAAGAAAAATAGGATCTGGATATGTAGAAGGGAGGGAACAAGTAGAAAAATAATTTAAAATAAATTTTAAAAACCCACCACTACTCCTTTCTAAAATCTTACAAGTTGGTTGAGAAGAATTACTGGAAGCCAAATATAGCCTAATATATTAAAAACACCAAAACCACCCACCACAACTTAGGGTCCCACCATTTTATTGAGATACAACTAACATATAACAGTAGTAGTTTAAGGCACACAACATAATTATTTGATATATGTATATATTGCAAAATTATTCCCACAGTAAATCTAGTTAACATCATTACCTCATATAGTTACAATTTTTTTTCTTGCAATGAGAATTTTTAAGATGTACTCCCTTAGCAACTTTCAAATATGTAGTACAGTACTATCATCTATAGTCACTATGCTATAATTACATCCCCAGAACTTTTTATTTTACTGCTTCAGTATGTACTTTCTGATCACCTTCCCCCACCTCCTGCCCTCCCGCCCCCCAATCTGTTCTCTGTTTCACTGTTAGGTGTTTTTCTTTTTCCTTTTTAAAATTCCACTTATAAGATCACATATAAATGAGATCATTCCTGTGAGGATATCCTTTTCCCCCACTGATTTTTAGAGAAAATGGAAGGGAGGGGGAGAGACACAGAGAGAAAAACATGGAAGTTAGAGAGTCACATCTATTGGTTGCCTCCCACACGCACCCCGAAAGGGGCTGGGATGGAGCCTGCAACCGGGGAGGTACGTGCCCTTTGACCTGAATGGAACTGGGGACCGAAGTCCGCTGGGGGCCTACACTCTATCCACTGAGCCAAACTGGCTGGGGCATTGGCACACTTCTTCTGCAGTGTTTTTAAATATCTTGAAATGCAAACTAATTGCTTCTGAGTGTCTTTTTATATGATATCTCAAATCCTACAGTATCGGGTTGAGGAAAACCTTAAATGGCTATTTTGCAGGACTAGGGGAAACCTTGGAGAAAAACTAGGAGGGGAGGTGCGAGCGGCGGAACCTATGATGAAAGGACAGCAGGAACTGAAGGAACGGAGGAGGGATTTCAAGACAGGACGAAGGTCGGTTGGGTTTACCCGGCGGACCGGAAGGACTGGAGAGAGTCTCAGCACCATGGCGGGTCCTGTCAGCTTGCGAGAGCTTCTAGTGGGAGCTTCCGCCTGGAACAGCCCTGAAAGCACGGAGGGGGCCCCTGCAGAGGGCGGAGGGAGCGCGGCGGGCGGACCGGAGCCGCCTTGGCGAGAGGATGAGATCTGCGTGGTGGGAATCTTTGGCAAGACGGCTCTGCGACTGAATTCCGAGAAGTTCTCACTTGTGAACACGGTGTGCGACCGACAGGTCTTTCCCCTTTTTCGCCACCAAGATCCTGGCGACCCAGGGCCTGGAACCAGGACCGAGACTGTCGCCGCCGGGGAGGCCGGTGGAGCGGGCGACCCTGGGGCTGGGGCCGCGGATCCAGTTCGGGGGGGTGTAGCGGCCGCGGAAGGTAACCAAACTGGGCCAGGCCCCCAGGACTACAGCCTTCTGCAGGCCTATTACAATCAGGAAAGCAAAGTTCTGTACCTTCTTCTCACGTCCATCTGTGACAATGCCCAGCTTCTGCGGGCTTGTCAGGCCCTTCAGAGTGGGGAAGCTGGAGGTGGCCTCCCTTTACCGCATGCAGAAGCACACGAGTTCTGGAAACATCAAGAAAAACTGCAGTGCCTCAGTCTCCTCTACCTTTTCTCCGTCTGTCACATCCTGCTTTTGGTCCATCCCACTTGTTCCTTTGACATCACTTATGATCGAGTATTCAGAGCCCTGGATGGACTAAGACAGAAAGTACTGCCCCTCCTCAAAACAGCCATTAAGGATTGTCCAGTTGGCAAAGACTGGAAACTCAACTGCCGGCCTTGCCCACCTAGACTTCTTTTCCTCTTTCAACTCAATGGAGCCCTCAAAGTGGAGCCCCCTCGGAACCAAGACCCAGCACATCCAGACAAACCCAAGAAGCATTCTCCCAAGAGGAGACTGCAACATGCCCTGGAGGACCAGATTTATAGAATCTTTCGGAAGAGTCGTGTATTGACTAATCAGAGTATCAACTGCCTCTTTACTGTGCCTGCCAACCAAGCTTTTGTGTACATAGTTCCAGGAAGCCAGGAGGAGGACCCAGTAGGCATGTTGCTGGACCAACTTAGGAGTCATTGTACTGTGAAGGATCCTGAATCTTTGCTGGTGCCTGCGCCCCTTTCTGGTCCCAGGCGATACCAGGTGATGAGGCAACACATCCGGCAACAACTTTCTTTCCACGTTGATAGCAGCAGTTCCAGTTCTTCAGGGCAACTAGTGGATTTCACTCTTCGGGAGTTTCTGTGGCAGCATGTGGAGCTAGTCCTAAGCAAGAAAGGTTTTGATGACAGTGTGGGTAGGAACCCACAGCCTTCTCATTTTGAACTTCCCACTTACCAGAAGTGGATCTCAGCAGCTTCAAAACTGTATGAAGTAGCTATTGATGGAAAAGAGGAGGATCTGGGGTCTCCCACTGGGGAGCTAACAACTAAGATTTTAAGTAGTATTAAAGTCTTGGAAGGGTTTTTGGATATCGACACCAAATTCTCAGAAAACCGGTGCCAAAAAGCTTTACCCATGGCCCATAGTGCCTATCAGTCAAATTTGCCTCATAATTACACAATGACTGTTCATAAGAATCAACTTGCCCAGGCTCTGCGAGTCTACAGTCAACATGCTAGGGGTCCAGCCTTTCACAAATATGCCATGCAGTTACATGAGGACTGCTACAAGTTTTGGAGCAATGGCCATCAGCTCTGTGAAGAGAGGAGTTTAACTGATCAACATTGTGTACATAAATTTCATTCATTACCTAAATCAGGTAAAGTTTTCTTAGCATTTTGATATCAAAACTTTTGAGCTGTCTTTTTATTCTGGTTTTAAGGGTGTTTGTTCACTATGTATTGATATATTTAAAAAGAACCCCACAGAAATGTAGGCACATTGTATTTTTTCTTTCCTTCTGTAAAAAGAAAAGAATCAGCTATGCCTACTAATTATTTTCTTGTATTTAGAAAATGAATTCTAAGGGATTAGGAAATGAGAACTGTTAAAGAATACAAAATTTCATATTAACATTTTTGGGGTTAGATGTTATAGAATGCAAAATAAATTTGATTCTGCTTTTTGTGTGTACCAAATTAATAGTGACTCTTATATTTTCCAGGAGAGAAACCAGAGGCTGATAGAAATCCTCCTGTGCTATATCACAATAGCAGAGCTCGATCCACTGGGGCCTGTAACTGTGGAAGGAAACAAGCACCTCGAGATGATCCTTTTGATATCAAGGCAGCTAATTATGACTTTTATCAGGTAGACTCTGGATTTTTTTCTTGTTTCTTTTTCTTGCTTTCTTTTTATTCACTACCAACTGAATAAAAATACATATTTTCAGAAGTAAAATATCTAGAAAAGTAAATGTGACTATAGTGAGATATGTAGACAAAGGAAAGTACTTGCTTACTCATTAATTGTTGATTATGCTTTTTAGAGTGAAGACTAACTTTAAATGAAAAATTCACAGGATTTTTTGTTTGTTTTTTTCTTTCCTCCTTCTTTCTTTATAGCTTCTAGAAGAAAAATGTTGTGGAAAATTGGATCATATTAATTTTCCAGTATTTGAACCAAGTACTCCAGATCCTGCTCCTGCTAAAAATGAATCTTCTCCTGCCCCTCCAGATACAGATCCTGATAAACTTAAAGAAAAAGAACCTCAAACCCAAGGAGAGAGCACAAGCCTGAGTTTAGCTTTGAGTTTAGGTCAGTCCACAGATAGTTTAGGTACCTATCCAGCTGATCCACAAGCAGGAGGAGATAATCCAGAAGTCCATGGTCAAGGAGAAGTTAAAACGGAGAAGAGACCAAACTTGATTGATCGACAGGCATCCACAGTTGAGTATCTCCCAGGCATGCTACATTCAAATTGCCCTAAAGGTCTCCTACCCAAATTCTCGAGCTGGTCTTTGGTTAAACTAGGCCCTGCTAAGTCTTACAACTTTCATACAGGTTTGGATCAACAGGGCTTCATTCCAG